AATGGCAAGTGCTCTTCGTTGGTAGCGTAACTGATCTCATCTTTTTGGCGATGTGCTGAGTATTCCGAGTGCTGGAACTTCACGCTCCAAATGGTAGGACAAAGGACTCGTAGACATGCTCCTCTGTACTGATAGACGCAGGGGGCCACCCAATCGTCGCTGCTTTATCAGCAAGCGTGTCTCTTACGCTTTGCCGTTCGAACGATCTCGCGAGCGAGCAGTGCATTCGGTGTGGATTCCCTCCTGTCTTCGTACGTTTGTGGAGGTATGTCTTCTCAGCAACGTAACGAGGTACTTGGACCTAAGGAGGAATGATAGCAACCACACATCCTTCAACCTACGCCTTGCAATATCAAAGCACGACCACGTGCATAGCACGTGTCTTAGTACACGCACGGAAACCTGGAGGGTAAACAAGCACGATGCTTCGCATTATCCACGCAGCGAGGGCCTCCTCTTCGACTTCGAGCATCGGACGTAGGTGGTCGTCTGGCTTGGCCTCCCACAAACGGGTTGTAGCCCTGATCCAGAGCTGGTGTCGCTTGTCGCCAATACCGCTACCTTCTCCCTATGGACCCACGTCCTTGTCGCTAGTCGGTTGGTGTCTTGGTCCAGAAAGCAATTCTATACCGAGCGAGGTGCCATCACGAGCGTACGTCGGGCAAGTCTACTGTACCGACAGACTTGTGCACTTGGCCGACCCGCGTAGATTCCGTCTGACTCGGATGCAGTCTATGCATGATCGGTCGCGGTCGTTCGCGCGTGATTGTTGGCATTCCAATTGTGACATATCTCCATGGACGCGGCCTGTCGTGGTAGATTCCCAAGCGTAAGCATTAATCAGCGGCGGTGTATTTTGCAGCAGCAGGAGACGACATCTGACTTGACGTTGCGTGCCAATTGCTACCTCTGGTGCGCTGAATCGGACCGCCAGTTCCCACGGCCGAATATTTGGTCTGTTGGTGCGCGGATTCGCCGACCGTAGAAAGAATCAATGAGCTCTTTGTACCCCAATTCGAAGAAGCCGTTCGTCCGCAAGTGTGCAAGGCCGAAGTCTGTCAAACTTTCGCGTGTTTGAAGCCCCTTTTCCACGTTATCCGCGACACAGGGACTGGCAGCTTGCAAGTACTACGGCCAGGAGGCCAACTCTTTCGGCTTCATCGGGAGGAGAGCAGCAAGTAAGCAGCCGGGCGAGCTTCAGCACCCAGTTATGTGATATTGTCAACTGTCAAAAACTGAGGCGAGGAAGACTGGCTTAGTGATCCGCCGTATATTGCTGACACCGCCCGTCCTGATCGTGAAGAGACGCAGCGATCCAGGGACGCAGCATCAACTCGAGAGGAGTGTTCGTTGTTGTCTGAAGGAGTCTGTTAGGACTGTTGCAACCGGTCAACCAGAGAGAGGCGCGTGCAGACGCGGTCCGCGGTGGGCCACGAAACACACGTGGCCTGCCAGGCTGAAACGTTGCCAACGTGAGCCAAAGTCTTGCATATTTTACCCGCTGCGTCTTGCACGCGATCAAATGAAAGCCAGTCCGACCTCTCATGCCTGCTTGGATGTGTGCAATTGCGCCGTGATGATCTTGTGACGATAAGCCTTGGTGATGGTAGAGTGGTGCCGCAAAAATCGGTTAAACAATTATGTAGCCGGTGCTCCGCCCATCTTGATGGCTCGAGTACTGCCGCCCCCATCTCACGATACGTACTACCACCACTTGAGAATTACCTTAACACCCATCGCGAGGACCTCTGCGGCTGAAACCGAATACAAAGTAAGTGGGTACCATTGCCAGATGCCGGATAGCACGTCTGCGGCATCTAAAAAATTGCCAAAAATAACGACAAAGTGAGATGACGTCTCTTCATGAACGGTACGAAGCAGGACTGCAAAGGCCTGCGAGAAGTCGTCCCGCTGGAGTGCTAAGAACAAAGATGCCTGAAAATCATATCGTGGCATAGTTTCAAATCAAAGCCATTCTACAAGTTAAACCATAATACAAGTAGAGCCGTTCTACGTCGAATGGCTCTCACTTGAAACTCCGCTACCTCCGGCTCGGCAGAGACCGCATCGAAGACCGTATTCATCATCATTTTACGTCCCTTAGTCATCGGTTGACATGTGTAAAACCTTTCTGCGAAGCACTATTTCGTGTGTTAGTCTCTCTTTCCGTCGCCAGGGACACAACAGAGAAGCAAAGAGCGAACACGGTGTTCATAGATGAACAGAGTAAGTGGTATTTAGTTTGTCCGCAGTTGCACGAAAAATGCAGCGCTACGCTCCACCCAACAACTGTTGTGTAGATCACGCAATTCCCAATACAACATGGTGAGTTTATTAAGCTTCACCTTTTCGTCCACAAAGGAACTCCGTCGCTGCATCTTTCACTTCGGCAACTGTTCACAACGTGTGTTGTAAGATGCACTCGAGTTGAAGCAGTCGGCTCCTCGAATGATGCCGTGTGACAATCGTATCTCTATACACATCTTGATGGATCTCATTTATCGGTCAAGGTTTGCAGACGAGATGGCAGCGTTCGGGTTGGCATCGAACCAGAGGCCGCTGCACCTGGTACTCGCGCAATATAGCACGACACGGTCAGGAGCTTATGAAGGCTCATGGTGCTGTCGGGGTCAGCAACAAGACCGATCTGGGAATCTCTTCCACTTTTCGAAGACCTACGTGATACTCTAGGACAGGAAATTGAAATCGTCGCGAGAATGCACCCTTGTGATCCCAAACCATACGCTGGAGGGTCCTTACGTCAGTGAGCCCGGCCGACCCTCCCGTTGAACATGCCCGGTCCGGCGGAATGCATTACAACATTTCTATATCGGCTATGGAGCATCCTAAGGTCGCTTGGATGAAAGACTTTCGATATCGTTTCGCCTCACGAGGGTGAGCTGCCGGACCAGTGCGTGACATCGATGAAGCAACTCAGCAGCTCGGAGAACTAAACGTCAGGGAAGCGACGATCATCATACGAATCGCAAAGTAGACTTCAAAGACGCATGACATGGAATCAGGGGTTGAAAAAGCACAAATTGAGAGGGGTTTCACAAAGGCCACACACCCTTGTACGAAGCGTGGCTTCTACCGGCGCATAAAAAATAGCTTGAACTGTCTCGCCCGCCTTGTAGTGGCTATCATCCACGACTACGAACGCTGTATAGTTTCAAAAGGTGGAAAGTTGTGATGCATTCAACTTTGATGGCTGTACAGGTCAGCCCGTTGCGTTCTAGCTCGCAACCTAACTAAAAAACGTTCGTTACAATTCTTTTCGCTCTTTATTTTCTGTAAACCGAATCGTGCGCATATCACCTAATTGTATGCAACCGACGTGCCATACTGTGCGCTATCACGATATGTGTCGCTCACCTCAATATATACGACGGTAGAAATTACGAGGAAGTGTGACCCACGATACTTGCGCCAAGTCTTCGCAGACCAGTCGTATCTGTAAGAACTGTTGACGACTGATCACTACATCAAAGCGTGCATAGTTGTCAAGTTGAAAGGAGGTTTTGCACGGTAATTGCATCCCAAGCAGCTCGATCGCAAGCTTATCCTGCTTGCGATTATGTAAAACTGCTAATCATGTACCTCTCATGCACGTTCGTCTACTTCACCAGCCTTACTTTGGAGTTCCTGATGGTGAACAAAGCCCTTACCGGCCGATGAATGCGTCGCTGTCTGATGCTTCACCACGTGCTCCATTCCCTGCTTGGATGATAAAGATGAAGCGTACATATTCGAGAGTTATAGTCATCCATCCCACGAGCTACCAATTACAAAATACAACTCATGAACCGAACCTCTAGAAGTCGCTTTGCCTTTCGTGAATCCTTCTCACAAAGCAGTTCAACTATCGTGTACCTATCAACTCGTACACGAGCGCTTGGAAGAGGAGCACGACATCGTCACTACTAGTACGAGGGGTTGCCCCATGCACGCCAGTACTCGAGTGTACCGAACATCGGGGCTGCTACAAGAGGTCTTTCCGACCTCAGTCTTGATCTTAGCAGCAGTCATAGCACCCGATCTGTTCTTGACTTGTGGTCCAGGGAAGTCGATTTTCCCCACACCACATATTCTCATACAGCAAACACGTGGAAGAGCGTAGCGAACAACGGTCGTCAAAGTCGACTACGAGGCAGACCTTTGCCATCAGCATGCCATACAAGGCCGCCTACCACTTGCGCTGAGCATAGGCCATGACGTCACAAAGGCGTAGAACAAACAGTCCATCGCGATCAGTCATGACTCGTTTTGTGGATGAACCATACTTTCACGGAGCTAGCGGTGCAAGTTGCGTCAGAGGTGAAGCAACGGATGGGTTGTACAGCCAGTACCGATAGCGTGGGCTATTCGAAACATTCGTAGCAGCTTCTCGTTCGACGAGTTGATCACGCGGCTCTTTGTTGCACTCGCTGGTTAATGAGACCCACTGGAATGGAACAGAGACCACCAAACATGAGGCTATGGCTCAATGTTCTTCTTCCCCGCAGCCATGAACGAGCAGCATCTGTCGATGACGTCAAGCTCGACGCTCCATGTTCCCTTCACTTCTGCTAGTGTCCCATCAGCAGCAGCAGCACCGATGCGTTTACTACTGACTGTATGCTTTGTCCACCCGGCAACCGCTAGAAGACCGTAGCAGGTCACCTTCACGATTGTCTTGAGGTAACGACACCGAAAACATATCCAACGTGTTCCTCGTATCGCTACACACAGAAATCAGCTTCTCTCGATGCACAGCACATGGACATTACGCGGCATATTCCTCACTACCACCGCACAAACGTAGCCAACGAAGCGCAACAACGTGAGATATCTGATGCATTGCATTCCAACCACCAGGTACTACATACACCGCGTACAGACTTCTACAGAGACTAGTGCCCTCCTCCTCGCTCCTATCTGCCTACCTTCTACTACAAACGAGGGAGGAGGGACTGGACGATTGACCGCTAGGCGGTCGAAACTGCGGGCGCGACAACCACTCACTTGTGCTCGAGCTCGAGTCGGGCCAAGTGCAGCGAACTCACGAGGCCAATCGACGGGTGAAACGACGCACGGATGTACTTGTCCACGGGCGGCTGTTGGCCGTACTTGTTGACTCGAGCGACAAACTTGTCACGAATCAAGTGGAACAGCTTTTCCCGACGGGCAATGCCGCCACCAATGACAATCACGTCGGGCGACGTGAGGAACGTCACGTTGAGGCACAGGTTCGCCAAGTAGTGGGCGATCGTGTCCCACACGGGGTCATCGTCCGTGATAGTAGCGAGGTCGCGACGGTCGACGCCCGTTCGCGCAGCAATTGAGCCTGACGCTACCATACCTTCGACACAGTTGCCGTGGAAGGGACACACGCCTTTAAAGTCCGTCTCCATGTCCTGAGGCGCAGGGGGCACAATGATGTGGCCCCCTTCCGGGTGCATAAAGCCGTGAATCGCGTTGCCGTTCGTGCACACGCCGACGCCGACGCCAGTGCCCACGGTGATGTACACGGCACTGCTAATGTCTCCGTGGCCGCCGTACGCGACTTCGTAGAGCGCGGGCGCGTTCACGTCCGTGTCAAAGCCAATGGGGACATTCGGGAACGCGCGCTCGAACACGCCGACGACTTCCGTGTTGCCCCAATTGGGCTTGGGCGTGCTCGTGATGTAGCCATACGTCGGCGACTTTTTGTTCAGGTCCACGGGCCCGAACGACGCAATGCCAATGGCGTCGAACTGGCGCTCCTTCAGCCAGTCAATGACGGCGCCAATGGTCGCTTCAGGAGTCGTCGTGTCCACCTCAAACTTCTCGAGAATGTTCTCCGGGTGGTCTTCGGCAATAGCAGCGACCCACGTCGTGCCACCAACTTCAACGCCAGCGTACCGCGTCATCGTGCAAGGAAGAAGAGGAGGAAGACGAGAGTGGGGAAGAGGAGGATGTCGAACGACCTTCTGCGCTCGGAGCAGCTTTCAAAGTGCCGTCGGAGCGCATGTGCTCGGACAAGCAGCAGTGGAGCTCGTGGATACGGGTGGATGGTCGGCGGTTGGGCTGCTGTGCGGGGACAAGTCATCCCTCCTCGAGCGCTGCTTGGGACAGGAACATCAACCAGCTGTTGTCTGCAGAAGAGCTCCTCGTGCAGCGAAGATGGGCGTGCCAGCTGGAGGCAGTAGACCGACTGCGTCTATGCGACGCAGCGCGCGACAGCAATCCGCAAAATGGACCGACAGCCACTACTTCGATTGCAGAGGAAGAGCCAATATCAACTGGAAGGTCCGGCGCCAAGCGACCTGTGCCAACTGTGCCTGCCATTCTGTCGCGGAACACCCAATTGATCGGATGGAGCACAGAGCCCTGTCAAGACTTGCGCTGTTGTGCCTTTCCGGCCAGCCCAGCGCTGACAAACGATACAGCTCTGTCCATGCGCGAGTTCCTGCCATGTTCACGCGCGATAGCTGCAGTATCGGCGTCTAGCAGCGCAAACGCCATGAGCGAGTCGAGATTTGCGCTGTATCTACATCGAATGTTTGGGTGGACACGCTCGCGCGTCGCTCTTGCGCGGTCCTTTCTTCTTGTTGAAGCCGCGACAGCTTCCAGCGTGCATACCTCTCTCCTACCTACCTGCGTACATGCATACAGAGCCACGGCGAAAGTCCGGTCGACGATCCGTGGAAACTCATGACAGAAGCACAAGGTCAGTAGTCTCTGATCCTGTCAGTTCAACGAGACCTGGCTATCGATTAGCTTCAACGATCGTGTGATTCAAGACCGGTCCGGTCCACTGCGCTTCCCTCCCCGGTACAAAATAGCGATAGCGCGTCATGCAAACAAGTAAGGCACAGGAGCGTCCGCATGATCGGCTCGAGCGATGGACCCGTCGATGCGAAATTTAGAGCGAACGCCACCGTACCGATCACATGGAGCTGCATCATCGGACCGATCGTGCCCACTGCGCAGTTGGTTTGCTTGGAAGCGACGATAGCTCGTGCCTATGGCCTGTCGAATGGCTAGTTCTCGTTATTGGCAGCTCTCGTGGATACACTTCACATGTCTCCCTGTCAACGAACACTCGATGTAGGAACGCGGCGCTCCACGGGATATAGTCCGACAAGATCGACTCCGCTGATCACGGCCTCGTCTCCTCTTGCTCCCGATCTTTCGCACTTGCACCTCAGTCTCGACCGACGCCTCTCTGTACCATCAATCAACTACGTGCAGTTGCAGCTGTACCGAAAGCTCTGCGACTGCAGATGTTCGACATGTCCTCGTTGAAGTTGCGAACAGAGTCGGATCAGCTGCAGCAGACGATGCCAACAACACGCCCAGGCAGAAGCCGATGGCACCAAAGCATCGCCGCGATCGATCACCCACGCAACGATACGGGTTCACCACGTGTGTGTGATCGGCCAAAAGGTATCGCTCACTATGCAGGCGTAAGGAGTGGCGATAGAACGGAAGCAATGGTCTTTCTTGACACCGCGTGGAATACGGCATAGCGCGTCAATGGTGTGACCTGGTGATGATCGCGACGTTCTTCTTCAGGCTCGCAGAACTGATTGCGTGGCAGATTCGGTGCGTAGCGTTCATTTCTCTACCTCCCGCGTGTTCCATCGGGATCACGAGTGACCTTCTGCAAAGTGCTGGCATTGGTTCTGCTTGAAGTGCACCATACCTTCTCTGCTGTTTGTGCGATGTCAACAACACAAGAGCCTACTACGCCGTCAATTGCTCCTAACCGATAACACTACCGACGGCACGTGCACGTTGCGTTGGGTATCACCTCCACGTCATGTACGCATCGTAAACGTGTAGCCCTAGTGACGGCATCGTGCATGAACGATGCTGTATGTGTTGTGTGTGTACTTGCCGACAACAAGCGAAGCGGTGTAAACAGCGCTACTTGTCATTGCTCCCAACAGTGCAACGGTTGTGCTTCCTCACGTCGAACGGCGTGTCTGCTTTGCCAGTGAGGAACACACATGTCCACTACGCTCATGCCCGGAGAGAACGGTGTTTTGCAGTCTACTGCACACATGAGTGAGAACTGCCACGCGACGCGTGCGACAAGCACCAAAAGGATAGCTGCAACTGCAGTCAGTAGCTCTGTTTCATCGCTTTCTGTAGCAGGACAGCCATCCATTAGGTTCGCGCAATCGCACCGACCGTAGCGTTGTTCGGTCCCAAGTATCACCGTCCGGTGTGAGTGCCAGTGCTCCGCTACTCGACACTGAGATGTCAAGACTGAACACCAGAGACGTAGCGCCAGTGTACACGACGACGAGGATCGACATGTGGGCAAGTCCGTCGGCCCTGTCTGCAGCCATAGACGACACGGATCGAGGCGAAACGTTGGGGGACATGCAGACCAAACTCCCAAACAAGCGGTGCAACTCGACTTGCACTGTCCTGCACGAGTCGTCTCCAATCGCTTTATTATTGTACCGCAACACGCGGCTCATAGCTTCAGCAAGCGCAGTACTTCCTTGTCAAAGCACGACTTGAGCAGCGTGTCGCCGTTGATGATCTTGGTCGTCGCCACGATGATGTCGTAAGGGCCTGTGGCATACAAAACACATGACGCACGTAAGCAATTGGTACACAGACAGATTCGTGAATAGCCACCTCTTTGCACAGCAGACAACTTACAGTCAGGCTGGCGGGATACATGACGCAAAGCAGCAATCTCCATAAAGGTCACGCCGCCGAGGTAGTACACGAGCAAGACCTTGCGCTCCTCACTGCCAAAGTTGTCCAGCTTCGAAGCGGCTGCAGAAGCCACGGGATCATCACGTGGATGTTTGCTCGTCGTCTGCGAGACCTCTCCTGAGGGCCCGGGCAGCTGGCGCAGGCCTTCCTGCACAGCACTCCAACCACGAGGCTTTATCGCGCTCTCAACAATACGAACAGATAGCGGGGCGTACCCAGCGGCGTGACTGCGACTAACATACGCACAGTCGCGCGGATTGCGCGGGTCCACGTCCTGGTTGATCAGGCGGAACGACTTACAAGCGAGGCCAAAGCCGCTTGCATCGTTCCACAGGGTATCGCGCTTACTCAGTAGCCCCGCTTTTTCCAAGTTACTCATTGCCAGCATCATCTCAAAGCCATAAGTCTGCACGAGCTCTCGACTGAGGTGCGTGTAGTTTTTGGTCTTGATACCGCCCGCAGCCACAGACTGCAGACAGAGCTGGCGCAAGACACCAAGCAGCGGCTCCTGGAACCCGATGCGCTCCTCAAGCTGTTCAAAGATCGTTTCGCCAGTGAGCACGAGGTTCTCTGCGTCCTTGAGATCCCGGAAACTCTTCGAGTCAGTGGTCTTTTTGATCAGTTCGGCCAAGTTGATGTGTTGCTGCAGCGACTGGTAGTTCTGCTTGAGACCTGGAATGCGCTTGACGAATTCCCGGATCTCGCTGATCGAAGCGTCGCGGTTTTTGCGAAACTCGTCGTACCGCTCGCGGATCTCGCGTGCCTGTTGCTGCAGGTTCATTCCAAGCCGTTCAACGTGGTAATCGCGCACTTCTGCGTACAACTTGTCGTTCGAGTTGAGCGGTACCGACACTTGTGCAGGTCGCGCGGCACTCCCCGCATTGGGTCCCTCGTCGTCGGCAATGAGCTCGGCATCGACCGTAATAAAGCCGTGCGTGATCCCCAGCGTCTCGTCCAGCAGTCCTTCGTACGTCATGGGGCTGCACATGGGCGTCACGAGATCGACGTTGCGGTCCATGAGCACGAGCGTGTCAATCTCTGGGTCCAGCACGCCAATCGGGTTGCCCGCGACCTCTTGCTCGCGCCGAAAGTGGGCCATCATCTGGTAAATGACCTTGGCCATCGTTCCCTTGTACTTGACGTGCGGGATCATGCCAAACACCGTCTGCAGCTTAATGAGCGACGCGGCCACCGTGTGCAAGTTGGTCTTGTCGCCGTCGACGTAGAACTCGCGGAAGCACGCGTCGAGCTCGAGCGTGAGCACGTCGTCGTCGAACGGAATGAGGTCGAGCTTGTACTCGCCGACACTGACGCTGCCAAACACGCCTTCTTTCTTGAGCACTTCGTCGCACACGAGCGTGCGGCGGCTCACGTAGTAGAGGAAGAAGCGCTTCGCTGCCTTGTGCTCCGTGGTGAGGTCGCGAATGTACTTGGCCACGTACCGCGTGGCCCGCACCGACGGCCGCACGAGGAACAGCACGAGCTCACAGCCCGTCTTGACGCTCTTGCCGAACGCGTGGAAGTCCTTCACGCCGTGGTCCTTGAGCACGGCCGTGCCGTCCACCAGCACGTGGTTCAGCGGGCCATTGAGCTCCGGGTCCAGCACGAAGCAAATGTCTTTGCCAATGGAGTCCAAGATCGAGAACAGCTCGCGCCGCGAGTCCTCGCGCAGCACCGCGAGGTTCAGCACGCCGTTCTCCAGGGTACACGCCTTTGACATGGCCACGACTAAGTACGCACGCCGACACTCGGTCGGTGTAGTTTACTCGGTGTTAATTGATAAATGACAGGCGAATGGATAAATGGATCGCGCCGTGTGTGTGTGTGTGCGTGTGTCGGACTTTTATGTGGGCTCGTTTGTATCCGGATAATAGGGGGATGTTTATCTACCACGCTCATCGTAACCCGCGCACGACATGTTGGCACATTCTTTTTGGATTGGCGTTCGTGTGGGGATACGCCACGTACTCGTAATAAGGACACGGACCTCTTTTTTTTTCCTTGGCGACACATCACAAATAATAAATACCACACTACGAATAATAGGTCCACTACTAGTACTACTTCAAACAAAAACAATGACCAGCATGCTGACAAAATGTCGAAGCGCACGACGTCACGCGCTGCGGGGGACGCGTCCCGCCGTCCTGTTGCTGCCCGCGGCCGTGTCGTCCCCTTCTGCTCACTTTGCTAGCACTGCCACTGACGCGGACGCCGTATTGACGCGCGAGTTCATCTACGCGTCGCTCTATGCCCAGCACACGGGGTACTTTACGACTTCCGACCGTGCCGTTGTCCAAGTGCCCGCGCAGAGTATGGACTTTGGCAACTTGTGGGGCGCTGGCGAGTACCGAAATGCCGTCGCCCAGCTCTATGAAGCGAGCAACGAGGCCTGGCTCACGCCCGTCGAAGTCTTTGCCCCGTACTACTCGCAGGCACTCGCGCAGTACATGTTGACGTCGCCGGTTTTCCGCCACGAGCTCGAGATCTACGAAATTGGCGGCGGCTCGGGGTCCAATGCACTGCACGTTCTCAACCACTTGGCGATCCACGTGCCGCACGTGTATGCCAAGACCAAGTACACGCTGATCGAGGTCAGTCCCGTGCTGGCCGAGCAACAGCGAGAGCGCGTCGCAGCGGTGCATCCGCAGCAGTGCACGGTGGTGAACCAGGACATTTTGACGTTTGCCGACGTGCACAAGCCAGTGACGAGGCCGTGCTTCTTTGTGGCGCTCGAGGTGCTGGACAATCTGCCACACGACAAAGTGACGCTGCACCATGGCAAGTGGTACGAGACGGTTGTCAAGGCACAGAGCAGTCCCGACGCGTCAGAAGCAAACGATCCAGTGCTGGAGGAAGCCATACGTCCTGTCAACGATATGCTTATCCGTCAGACCCTTCGCCACTTTGGCTGCGAGCTGCCGCTGCGTGTCACGTACAAACACAATGGCCGTCTCGCACAGCGTGTGCGGCGTATGCTTGGAAACGACGATCCGGTGCTGCACTCGGCTTTCATCCCTACCGGCGCCATGCAGCTGCTGAATACGCTGCGCACGTCGTTTCCCAAGCATCACTTGATAGCGGCTGACTTTGACTCGCTTCCAGCGCCAAACCTGGATGCCGAGTCGCCGATCAAGGCGATCAAGCACAAATTGAGCCCCACAGCGACATCGTCCGGACCGCTCTTTGCTGGTAATGCACCGCTTGTTGCATCGAAGGTGGCAGGTACGAGGATAGGGAGTGGTATTCACTCGGCACTTGTCGCGTCAACGTAAATGAGCCTTTTGTCGTTGCAGGTGTGACGAAGGACCACGACACGTATCTAGTGGAAGGCGGAATCGCGGACATTTTCTTCGCCACGGACTTTGCAAGACTCAAGAATGCGTACTGCTCGTCGCTCCGACGTCAGCCGCATGAGGTAGACGCGACCATGTGGTCCAAGCTTGCCACGCTATATCGCTGACAAACTGCCGCCTGATGTGTACAGGTCTCAATCGTCAAGTCGTCCGCGTTCCTAAAGGAGTTTGCTGATATAGAGAAAACTAACACGATTACCCGGTACGCAGCTGCGAGGCATGGTTCGAGGTTGCAAGCTGACAACGTGCTTTGATTCGCGGCATGCAGGTACAACCCGCTGCTAGAAGACTACGCCAATACAAGTTTCATCTTGTCTTAATCAACACTTGCAAACTCCGTCGAAGTGTGGTTCTCTCGACTTGTGCGAGCGTTGCACTTGTCTAAGAAAAGGTTGCGGACGTGCCTTCGGATGGAGACAGTCTCAAGCACTGGACAGTACGCATCAACGTTTACCAGCGCGTCGTCGCAAGAGCTTGGTGTAAAGGTCTGGCTCGATCTTCTCTTGCTTGAAGGCGTCTTGAGCTTGCTGACTGCACCTGGGACACATCACGTACGTTGCAGTGGCAATGTCTCGTGTAGCGTGGCCGAGTCGTCGCACGTCTTTCGGCAAGTGATCCTTCACACGAGACAGAATGCAGATTAGTGCGTCTAGCATCACCGTCAAGAGCAGCAATCGACAACGCACAGCTTGTGTACCTCGCAATACGATGTCACGCAAAAGCGACACGAGTACGGAGCAATGACACCGCAATCCTGACAGCGATGGCGCGGACATACCCACGTCTTGCCTTCTGGCACTTTGTAGCCCAAGCAGTCTTGAGTCGCAGGGCAAGCAGCACAGAAGGGTCAGCAAAAGCGTCTATCCCAGCCCGTCACGTTTCAAGGCATTTCTCTCACCTTCATGATACACCTTCGGACAGCGCGCCATAGCGCCATTCAACCCTTTCCAATCGCACTCGATCACGTTTCCGCCATCTTTGCAGCAAAAGCACACATCTTCCGATTCCTCAAACGCGTCTTGCATCTCACGCTGTAAAATGAACTTGAAGTACGTCACGGCGTAGTCGATCGGCTTCATGTCCGATACCGAGCGAAGAGCTGGTACCAGCGAGTCTGGCTTGTCATTATCTGCTTTGCTAGTTCCGTCAGTCACGGTATATCGCTTCCGCTTCTTTGGCTTGGCTGCTGCTGCTGTCATGACAGTGCTCGCTGCTGACGCAGGTCCTGTTCCTTTTCCCTCTTTCCGAGCAAGAGTGCTATTGTTGCCCGTGGTGCAGTTTGGACACAGCCACTGCTTCGTCTGCCACACTGCAGGTGTTTGCGCCTTGCCAATCAGCTTGTTGATACACGGGACACAGTACACACGTGTGCAGATCAAGTGGGCGCATGCTTTCGTCGACTTGGCCGGCAGCTTCTCAGTGGGCTGGGCGCACAGTCCACAATAATTGTCCTCCCGACTCTTCTTCACCAGCGCCTGCGTCGCCAACCGCAGCTGCAGCACCCGTTGCAAACACACTTTGCAGATGTGCACCACTTCTCCCTTGCCATCCTGTGCAGCAGCAGCACCAAACAAAGTCATCCCAAATGCCGTCAACACAATTACCTGCATCAACATCCAACAAGCCAACAAAGCTCAGCACCCTCAGCACAAACCTTGAGCACGAACGGATGTTTCGGGAACTCGGGTGCGTCGCGCTGTCTCGGCACGCGACACAAGACGCACCGCATGGTACGAGGCGATACTACCGCCACTGCTGTCGTCCTCGCTCGGGACTTGATCGGCACCATGTGCGTCGTCCTCTTGTTCGTCTTCGCCACCTTTTCCTGTTGCTTCCGCGCTCGCTCTTCCTCTTCTTTCCGCTTCCTACGACGGAGCTCCAGTCGGTGCTGGGCTTTGGTTGCTGCGGCCTGGAGCCGCACGCCCTCGTCCTGCCGCCACTTCTTGTCCTCGTACGCAATGGCCATCTCCAGCACCACAGAGCTCTGCACGAGCGCGTACCGCTGCATCCGCGTGAGCGCTGCCAGCGTCCGTGCAAACAGCTCGTACTCAAACTCCGAGCCAAAGCGGAAGCAATAGCAGCGTCTCGGTCGTTCCTCGACGGCGGGACGTCCTCCTTCGAGCGTCACCTCTTCCTCCTCCTCCTCCTCCTTCTTCTTCTTCACCTCTTGACCTGCTGCATCGCTCTCTATCGCTGCAATATCTTTTCCACTTGGACGCTCCTGCGTCGGTCGTCTGCTCCAGAGGATCGACTGTTCTTCGGCTTGAAGCGCAACTGTCGCAAGGCGCGCGATGCAGAGAACGTCGCGTGACTTCCCGTCAATGACCACGAGCTGTTGGTGGCTCCACGTGGTCACTATTGGCTCGTGCAGAGGCGCTGGCGGACGGGGGAGAGTGAGTTCGGCGGTCCGTGTGAGCACTTGGAACCCGTTGGCGCGCGTGGCTTCGTCCAACTGGAGCAGTACGCCACGGAACGCCATGCGAGCGGATCAGCTGCGGGGACAGAAATCGAGACGAACGGGTTGTCAGTATGCGGATTGGGGGCGCAATGTATCGGGGCGGGGGACGCCAGGCGACCGACTGATCGATTGCTACCGAAGTGACGCAGTAGGGAGTCAACGGACGTACAGTATGTGAAAATGTGAGGACTGGGGATTTGGGATTTGGGATTTGGGATACGGGATTTGGGATATGGGATCGCCAGAGGGTGAGGGTGTCGTCTTCCGGTCCTCTTCAGTCGGGAGAAACTCAGCGCAGTACTTTTATTGAAAAGTCAGACCACATCGTATCAGCTGATGGATCGAAAGCGATGTACGTTTGTCAGGACGTTGTCATGTGCTGGTGAAGTACACGCAAAGATGAGGACAACTACGAGTGTGGTGGGTCCTGAAGACGTGCTATTGCCATTACATGCATGACACGTTTCAATGCAATGTGGACCTCTGGACTTGTTCTTGTCATATTATGAGCAGTTCTTTCGAGCTTGACGTGAGTGCTCCCAGACGTAGCAACTCGAGCAGCTCAGTGGCGAGCCGAATGTGGTAGTGACATTGACTGCAAACGCTGCAGATAACGGCCATGTCGGACGCAAGCGTTGCTGCGTTTTACACTGATAATGACGACAAATCGTCAGTACAGCAGCGTTCTTGGGCTTCCAAGCAGCAGCTCTTGACGTGGTCATTCAGACAGCCGGGATCACCCAGCACGAGCTGCTCTGCGGGCTATGCCACGTGCAGTCAAAGTGCCTGACAACGAGCCCGAACGTTCAGGCAAACTGACATCATGACATACACGCTCTTTGTTGATGCTTCCACTTACCATCAAAACTATTGTCACGGGGTGAGGCCGTCCGTCGCTATATCCATGGGTATGACGTGTTCTAATCTCGCCTTCATCTCGGCCGCTGACGCTCGCACGTTCTCGAACGACAAGACCTTCCTCTCTTCGCTGTTGCACTGACGACTGCTCCTCTCTTGGTGCATCATATCGAACGTCGCGACGAGCGGTCTGTGGTCTGACACCATCCGCCAGTAGTCCACGAGCTGCTCTTCGTCCCTCAGCAGCAAGGGAGACTGCACATGCCGCCAGTCGTGTCCGAACTGCGGCCGCTTCAGCCTTGCCACATCAGGTAGTCGTCTTGGCACAAGATGGCAGTCCACGGGCTGCAGCTGGAGTCTCGGCTCGTCCTCACTTCTTGACTGGTTATTGCCGTCCAGCGTCAACGCTGCATGCCGCAGCATTGCCGACGAAGCATCTCCATGGATGCTGCTGCTACTGCTTTCTGCACTCGACGGTACCCCTACAGCCGGTACCGAGCTCCCCAGCCGCGCACCAAAGATAAAGTCGACCCCCACTTCCCGGTTATTGTGATTGCAGTGCGTGATCCTGGCTTCGCGACCGTGTCGATGCGCAAACATGCTGGCAAAGCCATGTTTCGTCACAAGGCGGTACACGGGATCATCATAGTCGTTAAAGTCGCCGCACAGCAGCACAGGCACGTCGTGCAGCGCTTGACGCGCAATGTACTTGCGCACAGCCGCAAGCACGCGGTCAATCTGATTGAGCCGCAAGCTCGCGTACAAGTGGCTGTGCGGGAACGTCAAGTGCGAGTTGACCACGAGGAACGAGCGCTGCGGTAGCTGTACGCTCGCGCGGTTCCACTTGGTGGCCACGTGCAGCAGCAGCGCCACGCGGTCGCCGGCTTCGCCCACGAGGTCGACGTTTTCCACGTAGTGGAGCTCAAATTTGCGCTTGTCGACCAGCACCGCGAGTCCGTCTTCCTTGTCGTTCGGCCGCTGGGCCGTGTGCAGGTAGTGCGTCGCGTCGAACGCCGAGCGGAACGCGCGCTGGTACGCGCGCTGGAACCAGAACTCCTGGAGGCACACGACGTCGCACTGCTCGCGCTGGATCGCTTGGATCGCGGCCTGGGCCCGTGACAGGAACGCCGTCTCGTCGTCGCTCTCGAGGCGGCCGCCGTGGCGGAAGTAGCACGGCGCCAGCAGGTTGAACGTCATGAGCGACAGCGCGCGCGGCGGCGGCCGCCGGAGCGTCTCGAGGAACATGCGCAGCGGAGGCGAAAGGGCCAGTGGAGACGCGACGGTGATAGGTGAGAATGCAGCACTGGGGGCGACGAACGAGCCAATCAGCAGCGAGACAGAAGCCGCGCGAGGGCCGAAGGGGCGTCTGGTTCCGGTGGAGTGATTTGGGCGTGACGACGGACGACGAGGGGGGGGGCTAGGGTTGGGTACGAATACATGGATGGATGGGTAGGTGTGTGTGTGTGTGTGTATTTGTCTGTCTATTTGTTTGTCTGTCTGTCTGTCTGTCTGTCTGTCTGTCTGTTTGTTTGTTTGTCTGATTGTTTGTGGCGGAACTGAGGGCGCGCAGCTTATGGACAGATGGGATGGAACGGACGCTTTTTCTCTCTATCGAGTGGGCATTTTGCCGCTTGTACGCAACAAGTGCGTGGAAAGTCATGGAACGACTGTCGATCGCTTGTGAGCTCTCGACGCTGGTGCTTATTGTTGGAGTGTATCGCTGGGCAGTGAGCTTGCTCAGATCTGCAGACATGGAGTATGGCTTGGCTTGGAGCTCGACCGCCGAGTTTACGTGCATGGTATTGGCCTTTGTCCTGCCAGAAAGATGTGCGGCAATTGCGGTTATCGCGCAACTGCTCGACATCGCGCGGGGCTCTTTTCTATGCATGTCGTCCTCGCTAGCACTGTGCAACAGGTAAATGACAGGCAAACGGCGGGGTGTGTGGCTTTTAGAGTCCAATGCGGCTGTGGCAAAGGCGAGCAGCAATGCTGGTCCAACGCTACGTCGACTGGGATGAACTTAGCGCTCTTAGTGTAAGTTGTATGGCCCTTTTACTGTCCTAAGTCAAGTAGGCAACACGGTGGCTTTCGCTCCCCCGCCCCAGCACAACATTAGCCGATTTAGCATAATGTCTCCGAGCGGGAAGCAGTGGTGTCGAACTGCTCAGTCACTCTGGAGCTGCTGGCGTAAGCGAGGCAACGTGTACCGATCAACGGAGAACCCCCGTAGTCGGTATGCTGTGATAGACGGTGGTACTATCGAGCCAGATAGACGGAGAGCGGTCACGTGTCGCTGTCCTCGCCACGACACGCTCGTTTAGACAAACGGAGACCGCATCCCATCCGTTTCTGTCTCCGGATCAGATCCGTGCTTTCCACGTACCCTCCGAGAGAGAAGGAGCGTCTTCCACCAGCTCAAAGCTGCACGCGCGCTCGACACCAGCAATGTGGAACAGCCATCCAAAAGAGCACGTCGTGCGTCTCGACCGCTTCAACAATCAGCCCAAAGGCAACTGTAACGCACAGGCCCTGCCTCTCGGTCGACCCGCAGCCATGAGCCGCTGCACAGTGCTCGCAATGATCGCCACGATCAGCGATCGTCATGCCAGAGCTTGACGGTCCACGTTGAACAACGATGCGGTGCAGAACCCGTCCCGGTGTCCGCGGTGGCTGAGGTACAATCGGCCGACACCACAGCAATGTCACAACGTGCGACCGTCTTGAAGCGCACTCGGTCTTATCCAGATCGACCATAGACGATCTAATGTAACTGCCGAGTGGGGTTTGTAGTACTGCAACACGCCGGTCTGTCTGCACTGGGCGTAGCCACGAGCTCCAGCGCCAACCGAATAGACCACAAACGTGGGTGACTGTCTCCTCGTACATCTCTCTGGTCGCGCTGGACTTGTACGGATCAAGAGAGTGCCACTCCTGCTGCAACGTGATGGATGTCACGGGAACATCGCATAGAAACGTTGCCCTCGCGTCCCGCCACTCGACTAGCAAGACGACGTGACGAAACAACGTTCCTCGCGCCTTCTTCCCGGGCGCTGCGTTCGAAAATAAGTGCTGCGACACGGCAAAACAGTACCAAATCGACGCGTCGTTGAGGCAAGGGCGGACTCGGCTCGACACGACCTGACTGCGTAATAGGAACGGGACTCGCGCAGCAGTGTCAACTGGTTCCGATCCGTTCGTAGCGCGCGGATCGTTTCGAGTGTAAGGTGTAATCGAATTGGTCTGCATCGCCCATAGGGTTCGTCCGTCACGGCCGAGGTCGCAGCTACGCGGCGGAAGAGGCCAGTCGATGCGTGCCAAGCTATTCCCCATGTTCCCTATGCGAGCTCCGATCCAGCCGACGTTTCGACGACAACACAACCGCCGTCGGGAAACTGTCGCTCAATGCGGTAGTCGTAATGAACTTGGCTTACAGAGCAGCAGAAGTAGCAGCAGTAGCAGCAGCAGTAGCAGCAGCTTCAAGAGCCCGTCTGTCGCTCGCACGGGCGCGAACGAAACCTTCGCAATCGGCGGACCGTCGCCACACGGGAAGCTTATTCAACACGACCACGCAGAGCATACAAACACCAAGTCAATGGCTGGACCGGCTCTTCCCACTTGAGCTTTGCAGATGGAGAGCCGGTTGGGACGACCCCACTTGGCGTCGGGTCTTACGGATTACTTTGCGCGAGTAAAGGCCACGCCCGATCCATAGGCTTCTCCTCGGCCTTCTGCCGCGGCTCTGCCTTTCGAGACAGCGCATGTTGAAGAAAGCTGCTGTCAACACTATCTATCGACAGCGTATCGTCAAAGCAAAAGAAAACGGATACATTCGCGATACGCGAGCACCGCTTGGTCCACCTCTCTGTGCTAGAGACCTTACACCACCAACCAGACCTGTGCCGTCGTGACCACCGCGCAGTCCAACCAGAGGTGGGGCTGCTGCAATACTGTAGTGGGGAGCTCGAGACTTTTGTTGGAAGCGATATGTGCGAATAAGTTCTCTCTCTCTCGCGCGCGCGCGCGCGTGAGATGTAAATCGGTATAGAGCGCCAGACAAAAGCGACTTAATAGGGCCCTCCCATCGGCAGACTTATCGACCGTTTCGCAGCCCTTTTCCCTGCTTCGCGTGTTTCTGTAGACCGTCCGGTCTCTGCACGCAATCCCCGAGCGTTTTCCGTTCAGTTGGTACCCCTCCCCAGCCAGAACCCCTGCCGAGCATGCACTTGCCACTTGCTGCAACGCACTTGCCACTTTCGCGCGTGGTGGTTAACCAGTCGCAGCAGCAGCACCAGAGCAGCAGCAGCAGCACCAGAGCAGCAGCAGCAGCAGCAGCTTGACACAGGCGACAGCACTCACTTCATTTCCGTCCTCGGCGCTAGCAAAGTCCACTCGCTCCTCGTCTGGAGCGTGCTGCCTGCTGCATCAGCGCCCCGCTCTCTGCTCTTCGAGAGCCTTCCGTCGGCAGCAGTAGCAACAGCTGCAGTGAAGACCGGCACATTTTGCATTCACCGTCTACACGTGCATGCACAACTCGTCCGACCGCGAGCAGCTTGACACAGGACTGCAGCCAGACAGCGCCGATCGAGGCAGCGAGCTTCACCGTCAACGCCGTCTCAAGCGCAGCCACCATCTGATGACCGACCAAGATGATGGCTTCGCTTCTTCCCATGATGATCAACAACAGCAGCAACAGCAACAGCAGCAGCAGCAGCTCCTGTGCAAATACAAGTCCGGCAAGTGTTCCAATCCACGCGCTACAAAGCGAAATGGACAGCTGCATACGCTATGCCATTTCCACCGAGATCGTCAGAACGAGCACCAGCGCAAGAGCGACCGCAAGCACCGCATGGTCAGTGTCACACGGCGTGCCAAGCTCGGCAGCATCGGCGTCGGCAGCGACAGCACTCGACGGCATAGTCTCCACTCCATCACGTCGTTGGAAGCCGCTTTTCCTAGCGGGTCTGCAGCCTCGCCGTTGAATCAATTTAGGTACGACCGGAATGCGCCCGACGCGTCCACGAACGTGCAGTACCCCGCAGGCAATATACCCATTGGTGGATCCGGACCAGGCGATAGAGGAGGTCTAGTGTTGCCACCGCCGCCGCCGCCGCCAGCAGCAGGAATGACGCGCTTGCCTCCCATTCGATTCCTCATGCCCGGCAAGCTCGATGGTTACCGCGCTTCCAGCACATCTGCACCTGGTCCACCCCCTGGTACCTTTATCGCCAATAGTTTCGACGACGACGACGACGACGCGGACGATTCAGCATGATCGAGCGATATTTAGCGATGCGATGCCGTCCCGAGACAACGCCTGATCACCCAGCGTGTAGCGCTTGACGCGGCCTTGTGTTCGCCTGCCATGTCGTGTGCGAGCTGCTGTCTTGCAGTAACCGCTCGTCGAGCCAACGTGTACCATACCTGTTTCAACTAGCTAGTCGCAGTTGCCGTTATTTAACTAATAGGTCCACACGTGCACTCACACGCCAACACGCTCTACTTTTTCATCGTTTGTCCGCCGCCTTTGCTTGTCAACCACGTGGCTTCCCATCTCTTTGCTGCCGCGACGTCAAGCACATCGACAACAGCAGTAGATCGCCCAATGGTCTGGCGCTGGTACATCGCGCGCTTGTGCGGCCTTAGCACAGTGCAATACGTCGACTTGCACCGCTTCTTCCAGCGATGGTGCAGTCGGTATAGCTGAGTGGTCCGGTGGCCGTCACGTACCGCCGCCACGCCATGTCGACGGAAGCCAAGTGAAGCAGCGCACGTGCCTTTCTTGGGTGCAAGTAGCCGGACAGAGCGTCTGGCGTAGGCAGCCACTACCGACGACTGCCTCAGCTGCGGGGTCAGTGTGTTGGAAGAGAGACCCACGCACCCATCCAAAGAGCTGCTGCAGCGATGAACGTGCGGGTCGTGCCGTCGCTCGGTCGAGATGTTGTCGCAGCGACGGGAGCTTTCAATTTGGGCACCTGCGGCCGAGCTCCGAGCCCAAATTCTGGACCGGGCGCTGGCAGCTCGTGCAAATGGTCCTTTTTCGTCCTGTTGTTTCGGACCAAACGATCTCCAAATGTGCACACCACCGGCAGTATTTCTAAAGAGAACCCTTTTTCGCGGCTGCCCCAAAATACCCTTTTTCACGACTGCTTAAAAGGACCCTTTTTCACGTTTTATGCACGCACTGACGTAGCTATTTCGACGTTTCGGCTCTCTCGTCGTCCGACGAACTTTTGGCCGGGCTAGTCACGTTTCAGTTGCTCGTTGGCGTCTCCAGTTGCTCGACGCACCGTTCGCGCAACGGAACGGAGGGAGGATTTTTTGGCAAACAAACAACGAGAAGTCGAGTGAGCCGGCCACGCAAGCAGAGAAGAGTGGGCGAGAGACCAAGAGACGACGCTCCGTGCTTCCTCGGCTCGACGATACACAGACGTAGCGTTGTACTGTACACGCGCCACTCGTTGTTAGTAGCTGCCGCAGGTAAGCAGTCGGTTCTCGTGCGCAAGAGCGCGTTGGTTGTGCGCAAGAGCGCGTGTTGCTCGACCCCGTCGCGCTTGCATGTCTGGACGGCGGGAAAGAGTCAGTCGTGTACTCAGTGCTAAGCGATTGAGTTGCTCCAAGTCGACGCGCTTTCCTTTCTGTTGCGGGTACAGAGTGATGGTCGTTGTCACGTGCGAAAAAAAAGAAAGAGAAACCAAGCGACCATCACTCTGCATTCCGCACTGGATCGTTGGGCCTCAGTGTGTATGTATGTATGTGTGTCTAATTCACTGACTAACCGCATTGTCTCGATGTTTGTATGGACTGCACGTGCCATTTCAGGACTTGTGGCCCATCGATGCAGCAATGAGCGCTGATGAGTCTCCGCAGAACACTTCCGAGCAGCCGTTGCCGCCGCCGCAACAACAACAACAGGACGACGACGACATCCTCGTGACGTCGCCCACCTCGTACGCGCTCCGCGAGTCCATCCGCCGCACGTCGTCCTCGACCTCCGCCGAGATGAACGCCTCGTCGCTGCGCTTGACGCCGAGCGCGGAACAGGGCCGCCTGCCGCGCTCCACGTCTCGCAGCAGCATCTTCAGCCGACCACCGCCGCCGCCGCCGCCACCGCACGCGCCTCAGATCTCGCCGGTGCTTCCGAGTGCTGGCGGCAGCTCACAGCGCATGCCTCGGCCGTCGTCGAACCCGAACATGGACAGCGCCCAGGAGCAGAACTCGGAAAGCAGCGGCGGTCGGCCCTCGGGCCACTCGCTCGGGCCGAACTCGATGCAGTTTGGCGCGAGCCACCAGTTTGCCAATACATTGGGAGTGCCACCGTTTGCCGCCACTACTGGCGGTGGCAGCAGCCTCAATCCTGCTGCCTCGACTGGTTCGGGAGGCAACTTGGACTTTAGCCAGACAGCGCCGATAAACAGCCACGCGGGGAGCCGTCGCTCGGTGTCGAGACGCAGCATCTTTAGCCGCGAGACGTTTATGCTCACGCGTGGCGAGAAGGAGTCTCGGATGATGGTGCCCGAAGGAACGCCGAAGGAGATTCGGTGCGAAGGGTACTTGACGAAACGAGGGCATTTGTTTACAAACTGGAAGACGCGGTACTTTACGTTGCGCGGCAACGTGCTGGAGTACTACTCGGGGGAAGAGAAGAGCAAGAAGTACGGCGCTGTGACGGTTGAGAAGGTGGCGACGTGGTCGGGCGAAGCACATGGATTTATGTTTTACACGACGAAGCAGATACCCTACTACGTGTATGCGTCGTCCGAGGCAGAGCGCGCGCGGTGGCTGCGTGCATTGAAGTATTTCATGGTGGAGACGGAAGAAGTGAGCTGTGAAGGATACTTGACGAAGCGCGGCCACCTGGTCCCGAGCCAGCGCATGGCGTATTATGTGTTGAACGGTACGTCGCTACGCCACTATGCGGACCAGCAGGCATACCGTGAAAATCAGTCAGCGATGGCTGATGTGGAAATACGATCTGTTGCGCCGTGGGATGGGGAGACAAATGGCCTGATGTTCATGACCGTCACGGGCAACGTGTTTTATGTGATTGCGGACACTGTTGGCGAGCAGCAAAAGTGGCTGGCGACTGTGAAGAAATCGACAGCGAGCGTTCCCGAGCCTGTGTCGTGTGCCGGGTATCTGACAAAGCAGGGTCATAAGCGCAAAAGTTGGAAAAAGCGCTATTTTATTCTGCGAGGAAATCTGATCTCGTACTACTCGGATTACGATATGGCAAATAACACAAAGGGTAGACCTCTGGCTGAAGTGCTGGTCGAGGACGTGCAGAAGTGGGACGGTGAACCGTTTGGTTTCATGTTTATGACCAACGAGCAGGTGCCATACTACGTGTACGCCGACAACGACCGTGAACGTAACAAGTGGATGAATGCACTGAACAAGCTAAACGCTGTAGAGGAGGAACCGCAGCTAGAAAAGAAGCGTTGCTCGAATTGCAACGCAGTTCTTACTGGATCTCGCTTTTGCGGAGCATGTGGCTTTAACTTGCGCGGCACTACGCTGGGTGAGCAATCGATGCACGGACAGACTGGTAATGGCGACGAAGATGAAGACATTGATGGGCGCGACATGGACGATGAAACGACACCCTTTGATGAGCTGGAAGCATTATCCGAGGGAGCAAGAACGCTCTTGCTTGCTGTAATGCAGACCCCGGACGGTGTTGATATTGGCGAGAGGGACAACGCGCATACTAATTGGACAGCGAGGGGTTCTCCGCAGCCTGACCGTAACAATAATTCGGCCATGTTTGATCAGGACATTGCGGATACTCCCAGTGAAGTAGATACCGAGCCAAAAGCATATGTGGACTCCGGCGACGAAGATGGCAAGAGTGACTCGGATGAGCTAGCGCCGACGCCTCGTTCGCCGGCGCGACGAGCTGGCGAAGAGTCGAGCAGTGGTGCGCCATCTCCGGCGTCGTCACCACGCAATTATCGTGAAGCTCCAGCACCGGTCGCGGCTCCACCTACGCCGCCGAGAGCAAAGAAGGAAGCGCTGAAGCCAAACTTTGGCATTGTAGAGCCTGAGCCCAAACGGAGCAGCTTCACTTCATTCAGTGACTCTGAAGAAGAGTCCAAGGCAGAGCCGCCGTCTGCTCCCAGACCTGCCCGCGCATCTTCACGGTCTTCAGCAGGTTTGCTCATGGCTGGTATGGGCCGCCGCAAAACGACTGCAATGCTAGCGATGGAGTCAAGTAGTAGTGATGAGAGCGAGGATGATACGCAGCTTCCGACGAAGCCGCCTTCTGACGCGTACAAGAGGGATGAGAACGAACAGAAGGACCACGGCGAGGAGGAGGACAAGGCGACTACCGACGCAGAAGAAGGTCACGAGCGCAAGAGTTCTGCTGACTCGTTGGAGCTGGACACTCGCGGCATTTCGGCCTTCGACGAGCCCGTGCAGCTGCCGAAGCTCAAGCATCCCGCGAACCCGTCTATTCGGAAGAGCGAGCGCAGTGACAAGAAGGACATTTACAATTTCATGGAGAGAGAGCTCGATTTCACGCCACAGTTTGTGCCATCGGCCGACTCCCCAGTGCGTTGCCGGTTCTATAGTTCGATGGCGTACACGACAGCAAAGAAAGTGATAATGTTTCTTTCCGATTCCGGCCCTCTTGGCCTGTGGAAGCAAGATCCGGAGAACGCAAAGTTGACGGTTGATCACAAGTGGTCAATGACGCCGTACTTCAGCCGTGCTCAAGAAGAAGGCTTTGGAATTGTGGTATGTAACCCGTTCTCTAACTCAGCTGTCGTGTATGAGGCGGGAGGCTTCGAGCGTGAAGTTCCGATTCCGAACTCTTCATCACCGATGGAGCATGTCCTTTTCGTGTGGGATCAGTTTATTACGAAGTGCAAAGGCCAGGTGTCGATCATTGCGTATGCGCGTGGCGGTGCGCTCGTGAAGTCGATTTTGGAAACGTACGAACTAAGTGCGCGTGAGAAGATTCACCGCGTTGCCCTGATTGAGTCGAAGCACGAGATCGACCACAGCGAATCACCTGGTGTTTTGGAACTCCTCGGTCGCCGATCGATTAATTGGGAGGCATCATACGAACCGCTTGGTGCGCAGATCGTGGATTCTCAAGCGCGTGTGAACTGTGTGTGTCTGTCCTTGGGGTTCATGCCATCTCAGGAAGCAGACAACACGCCGAAGACGCTGGAGAAGGCGGAAGACCCCGCATTCGTATTCATTGCCGCGAACCCAAGCCAGCCCGGCATGACTGCTGTAGTCAAGCACGTACGGTCGGAACTGCGCAGACTAAAGACAGCTCCAAAGGCCACTGGCCGCGCACCGAGACAGTCTAATATAATCGTGATCGGTGAAACGGACGGCGATGGGCCGAGCGATGTGTCAGTGAGCGCTGACGACGGTAAAAATGTAAACAAGATAAGTGATAGTAACGAGGATGACGAGAGCAAGATCAAGGCCACGTACTATCTTCCGAAACCGGTGTCGAAGCCCAAGCGTAACCCCGGACCTAGCGGCGTAAGTAGTGACAAGCATCAGCGCCCGATTTCGGACAAGGACTTTGAGCTGATGAAAGTTGTTGGTCAAGGTGGATTCGGTAAGGTCTTTCTATGTCGGAAAGTCACGCCTCCTCGTCTGGGCGAGCACTACGCTATGAAGGTGCTGAAGAAGCAACAGGTCGTTTCGTCAGGTCTCGTGAACACGACGATGGCTGAACGCAAGATTCTGACGGACATCTCACATCCGTTTGTTGTCAAGCTCCATTACGCGTTCCAGAGTGAGTCAAAGCTGTATCTCGTAATGGATTACCTCAGCGGTGGGTCTCTGGCCACGCACCTGCGTCGCCGCCGTAAGTTTCCGGAGGAGTGGGCTCGCTTTTACGCCGCCGAGGTCGCCGCTGCCATTGCACACCTTCACAGTGCGAACATCATTTACCGTGACGCAAAGCTGGAAAATGTGTTGATGGACCACGACGGCCACGTGCGCATCACTGACTTCGGTTTGTCGAAAGTTGGCGTCTCCGGTTTGAAGGGCGCTACAACCTTTTGCGGCACAGCTGCTTACATCGCGCCTGAGCTGCTGAAGGGCAGGACATATGGCAAAGCTGCGGACTGGTGGTCGTTCGGCATCTTGTTGTACGAGATGATAGGCGGAAAACCACCTTACTACCACCGCAACCGAGACATTATGTTCCAGACTATTTTGAAGCAGGATTGGGTCACCTTCTCGCCCAGCTTCTCGGACGCGGCGATTTCGCTGATCAACGGGGTGAGTTGCCGTACTGTATATTTCGTACTTCTGCATTGCATGTTGCTAATGCACTGTGTTGTCGTTGTGTTGTTGATTACAGCTGTTGACACGCGACCCAATGATGCGTCTTGGCAGTGGCCCGCGCGGTGCCGACGAGGTGTTGACGCATCCGTTCTTTGACAGCATTGATTGGCCGGAGCTGTTGGAGCGCCAGGTGCAACCTCCGTTCAACCCGGGCGTTGGCAAGATGGACACGCACTACGCACCGCGCAACATGAACGAGATCACAGCGCGTGATCGTGCGCCGAGTGTGATGATGGCAAAAACTGACCGTCCGAACGACTTCGACGGGTTTAGCTTTGTCGGGCGGCCGTCTTCGCTCTCGAATGTGTGATACGTCGAGACCTGCGAAGCAGGATACGCTCGATGGTGCTGCAATAGTGCGCCTGGTGACAGCGAAATGGAACAAAATACGAAGGGATAGTGAGAGAGCGGGTCGAGGGAAATCGCGACGGCCTCTTAGAACGCGGGCCACGTGCAAGACCGAAAAGTGGTTGCGAGTACGTCTTGCTTGGGGCGCCGGCGTACCATGAACAAGTGAACATGTTGAAATCGGAGTGATGCATCAGCTTGTTCTGTTTGATGAGTTCTGCCTACGCTGTGGTGTGTTCTCGGGTCTGTTGCGCAGGTGCAGCTGACAGGCAGATGACGGAGCGGTTACGGTCAGGTGCGGCTTCGCTTGACACACTGCATGTTTTGCCTGGATCCTATGTCCAGAACGAGCGCGCGGATCGGCGTCGGAGCCACTCAGCTACAGCAAGCGACTTACTCAGGTCATAATGAATGTCAGCTTGCCCTGATCTGACTTCTTGCTGCATCGGCGCAGCAAAAATGACCGAACTACGGTTGGCATGACCAACGGAACGGCGCAAGGCATCACCGTAGATGCTGATGGACGAGCTGCTATTGCAGTGGACCAAGCGCACGAGTATGAATCTTCGCACGGACAAGCACGTGGATCAAGAGCGAGTAGTCGAATACAAGGGGCACAACGCTTCGTGTCAAAGAGTCAAGGCATTGGTCGTTACAAAGCACATGGATAGAATGGAGGCGGTGAACTCCATATAGCGCAAGTGGTCACTCGAGTCAGTGCAATCGTTCACACGTGCACCGCTGAGCGCAAAGACGTCAAGCTACTGCGTCGCGGTCTTTGCCAGCGCAAGTATCGTGAAGCGCATCTCGTTCTCGTCTCGGGCCATAAACTTCCTGATAACTTGGCACGCGTCCTGGCGTTCGTCGAGCGATAAAAATGCACACAGCCGCGTCAAGCAAGACATTGGTGCAAGACAATGACGAGCACGCATACCTGCAACACTGTGTCTGGACTCGAAGGTCCGTGGTTGATCGGACTCTTCTTTCGGCCATCCAGTTCGTACAGGTGGCCGTCCACGCAGCTGTTGATGCAGGTATGTGCACGTTAGGTCGTGTGCTGCAGTGGCGGTACGTGGAAAGGCACTGACCTGAAGCACACAAAGTGCGTGTTGATCGGGTCGTCCACGCTTTGCAGTTGCTGCAGAGCAGAAGCAAATTGTCAGCACCTGCAGCCATGACAACGAAGCTGCGCCCACTGGTGCGCACCTCTGACTGACCAGCTTCGGCTGCGCCGCCGTGGGTCTTTTCCAGCTGCCCTCACCACGCAGACAAGCACAAGGCGAAAACATCACACAACTGACCAGAGCCAACGCCAGTCAGCTACAACAGCTCGAACCTCATCATCTTCTTCCAGGTAGTGTGCGATTTCTTGAGGCGTCTTGGTCTTAGTCGACGTGAAAAACTTGTCCAAGTAGCTCCCCGGAGCTATTGCAGTCCAGCAATAGCGTCACACCAAAGCACAAACTCGAGACAGAGCTGCGAAACGTACCGAGCTGGACAAGGTGACGCATGTTGCCCACGGCATGCAAGATGCCCACGGTGCCGCACGCGTTGCCTACCGCAAAATTCACAGTAGAGGCCAGTATCAAAATTGTGCGATGCACTTGAACTTGGCAAGAGGTGCCGCCGTACCGACAGTTTGGCGCATGTAGTACACGTTGGGAGACACGACTTGCCTGTCTTTCTCTATCCTTGCAGCCTCTTGCTTGTCCGCTTCCTCTGTCTACATCCATACAGCACACAAAACTCATTAACGTCGTGATCGTGCAATTCCACCTTATTGTGATATTGTTTTAATCCTCGTACGTGAGGTTTTATTGGGAAAAGCATGATGACTGCCACGACGGGCGTCGGCACCATCGCCAGCGCCCACTCTTCGGTGCTCAGCACGTCGCAAAAGCTGAACGAGCTCGTGGGAAAGCCCATCTTCTCCACGTATGTGTTCATGACCTCTGGGTTGGACTCCAACGGGAACCAGCGCTTGCGCTTGCCCTCGTCGCTCATAGCTGCGAGAACGGAGGACCGGGGATCGGAGATCGGCGTTAATTGATTTATACAAAAAAAGAATGTCGAAGCAAAAATGTCTGGTCCGACATGCAAAAGATTATCGCATCGTGTGATCCCACATCAGTGTTTAAAACACAAATCCGAATACATGACAACAACGTGGAGCAAGTTTTCGCAGCATGTTGCATTGTAACGGCAAAGTAGCGTCTGAAAGCCAGCCCGTGTTCTCACTACGACGGAACTACTGCGAGGATAGATACGAAATGGTGGACACGTTGACGGCAAAGAAATGGCACGTGGGAACGAGTTGTAGATTCAAAGAATATGGGAACGACTGTTGTTTGCAAGCGATGGATGTGTTTTATTCCTACAAAACACATGCCGGTCATGTCCAGGAGAGGTGGTACACTCTGGCTCTTACGTTGTATCCGAGCTGCAAGTCACTGGCTCCCTTGACGCGTGGTATGGTCCAAAACGTCACTTGATATGGACAGGTGACGGGCGGGCGTGTAAAGCACTAGCAGCGTGTTAGTGCCACCACGTGCTCGAGAACTCGCAAGTTCTCCAGCTATGTCGTCTGTGGCGCATTACCTCCAGATCCAGCTACGCCCATGACTACCGTATAAATTGACCCCGTCACAACGCCAAGAAGACTGGTACATAATGTGTGATGTACCGGGTCAAGGACAGGTTGACTGCATAGCTGTTACGATCAGCTTCTGCCCAGTCCGTTGTTTGATTGTAACGCTTTAGTCACGGAACGTTGATGGACCTTCAGTGCGACGACAAGGTGCCCGTTGCTAAAACGCCCTACTGCTTCATCACATCCTGCGTTTGATCGCTTGCATCACGTAGTGACATACAGACGCCTCCCGTCTTGCATCAGCCATCTGAAGTTGATCTTGGGATTCGTGTTTCGTCAATGAATCTCGTGAAGTCAAAGCGCAAGTCTCCTGACGTCAATGGACTCAATAGCGGTATGCTGGAACGCTGCTCCTGAGAGAGACTAATTCACCACCGGCATCCGGTATAGTGTTGCACCACTCGGACTCTTGACCCCGAGAAATGCGCGTCACTCCACGTGAATCGGAAGGAAAAGCACTAGCGACCAGACTTGCAATACGTTTGTCATCGGTGTTCTGTATTGCATCGGCACCTCGAAGATCACTCGATTGTTACACACTACTTTAGGTGCAATAACGAGTCTTTTTCTTCAGACGTCTCGACTCTTGATAGACATTACGTTCTACAACAGTCAGCTATTTGCCATCACCACGCATTGCTCAACGACGTACAAGTTGCTTTGGGATGGGTTTATATACATCGCAAACAGGACTCGAGTCCATGACTTCCTGGTGTAGCATGTAACCGACTCAATCAGATGATAGCTTAAGCGCGCGGTTTCTCTCTGGTAGATATGGACTCATGACTCACCCCGTATACCTCATTGGCAACGTGCGCAGCGCTTAAGGTCTTACATCTCCATCACATTGTGCGTCACAATTGACATCGAAGTCACTGCGAGCTTTTCGACCACATCTCCGGTCCAGACCAAGAACAACAAAAAACAGCTTCCAACACTGACCGACTACGCTCAAAGCCTTTCCGTCTAGTACCACAGGATCGATTGGTATAGCGGCACATGCCCAGCTGATAGACGAACAGTGTCTCCAGCACCTCAGCAGATTGCTTAGTTGTCTACTTCGGTTTTGCGTTTAGCGAAATCTCAGGAACTTCTTGTCGTACGGTAGTCAGTCAAATATGTCAAACACAGCCGTAGGCTACAAACGCATCGATCCTGTGTTATCGGTGAATGGGCAATGTGCGGGACATATCCCTTCGTGGATCGATCCTTACAGCTTCAGTTATGGTTTGCAGCTTAGCTGCACCGTCACCACTCTCACCAAAACCTGTCTGAGCTCAGTATGTTCGATCCTTTCTCACTCGTTGACCTACACTCACGGGCAGACGCCGACTATTTGCGCGCTTTTACGAGTCAGCGGGCGCAGTATACGTCCGACTAACAGAGCTTACTACTTGTCTATGATCTGCTACTGGCCGTGGGGACAAGGAACGTCTCGCATGCGTCATCTCGCACGCAAATAGTGCTCACTTCATACTGGCGTAACCCTTTTGGCGCTTTCCGTCCAATTGCCTACCAGACACGTCGAACAGTGTACATGGGCAGGCAAACGTGCAACGCAACCTGTGCGAGTCAGCACTCAATTTACGGGATGTTGGTTTGGCCCTGTCATTGGCCGTGACTTTTCGACCTCGGGGAAGCTAAGTTCATTGCTCTCTATCCTGATCCTTGCCCTATTTCGCCTACACATGAGCTATAGCTACGGATAGTCGGTAGTCCAACACGCACGGCAACCCTGTATGCGTTTGCCGACTTCGGTCGTCTGGAAAAGTAGATAAATCGCTCGTTTGACCTCTACTTGAAGTCGTCGCATAGGATCAAGCACACTTGCTACAAACCAGTCCCAATCCAGGCAATCTGCGTTGTTCACTTTTATTGCATCACAAGAGTCTCAGCCCCACGTACAGGTCTTCCACTGACGATGCGTGATTATAGACCTCTTGCGGTCGACAAGCTTCTCACCTCTGTCAGTCATAACTTGCTGTACTTTGTACGAAGCATTCCTCTGATTACACCAACTCACCGCTCGGCGTTAGTGTTGTCCTCGAATGCATAAGCGCTCACCAGTATGCTCGACTTTGGCGTCAACAAGTGCACCGCCCCAACACGCGAGTATGTATCTGTAATGACCAGCAGTCTCAAATTCAATACTGATTGCTTACTTGTAAACAGTTAGTCAGCGTACACCACTTGCTGTGGCTCTGACAAAACTCAATCCATTAGCTTCCAACTCTTCCGCCGTTTTTGGCTACCAGTATGACATGCATCGCGCACGCTACACTGTCTTCCAGCCAACGTCATCCCTCCAACAAAGCGTGCTTCGATCGTTGTCTTCGGGCACTGGAGACCCAAATGAACCATTCGCTCATGCCAGTGTGGAAAGTGGCGTCCTCTCCTTCTGTAAGCGTGCAGATCGATTCAGCCTTGTACGTCCAGCTGTCTATTGTCTTCACGGATCATGTGGGATTGAAAAGGCGAGTGGACTACGATCCCGGAGTGGATCTACGATACTCAGCAAAGTTACAAGCGCCATCTGTGACGGATACAATCATTCTCATAGTTGCTGGATCCAGATTTCGATCCAGGTATACAGTACGCATCATCAATGTGCATCGTGTACCTAGATCTGTAACTGGAGCATGACTTGTTCACCTGGCGACCATTGCCACGGTTCCTGGTCGTCAATTCGTGATACTGAGTCCAGTGTCACGCTATGCACAACATTTACATGCAGTCAAGTCGATTGCGATTGCCAGTGGACATGAACAACTTCAATGACATATGCATTCGTTGCAGTGTCAAGATACCACCACTTCAAGCTTTGCTTTGCAAGCAAGCCTTGCTTGACCTTTCCTGCATGCTCATTGGCACGGTCATCGACTGCCTCCTTCTTTTGCACTTCCTGCATCGTTACCAACACAAATTACTGCAACCCCTGCAGCTCGATCTTTGTCGGCATGTTCGACCTTCAGACGCGCAACAACACCCGTATCGACTTTCTGTCGACTGCCTCTCGTTGTAATATTCTTGGGTACACTATCCGCGCGATTGTGCTCCACCTTCTCGTTGCTTTGCTTCTGCGGCTTTGGCGACATACTGTGAGGCGGCTTTGGCTACCACAGACGAAACATCCACGATCTCCACGCCAATGTTTCTTATAATCGAGGGTGCCCTCTTTGATCGCATGCGTCTGGTCACTGCGCTTTGCACTTCTCGTACCCCAACCATCACGCCATCAAGCACCTTCTGCGCGAAGCTTACCAGGTGAGTGCATGGTCCGTTCGGCACCATACTGCATTGACGAATTCGAGCTTTCTCGTCTGCCATAGCAAGCTTATCAGCATGACCTCCACGACATCCCTATCTACAACCGCAGATTGCACACTACCCCACGCCGATGCAAATACTAATGACCGCGCCCAGATGTGCATTTGCATCGCCTACAGATCTCGTTCCATCTGCCACTACTTCGCTCACGAGGCGCCCCTATCTGTCGACAACTGTATCTGCTATCGTCAATTTGCCCCAAACTTTCTCACTGTCCGCAGAATGTACAATGTCAATGGCAAACCGACGACGGAGCAGACGGAATCCTATCAATATAAACCGAAACATCGGATCAGGTTGCTCGCCATGTCTCAAGTACCGTACCGTCGCGCTTAAGTACGCCTCGCCGCCAGCCGTCGGACAAGTACCGTCAACAGGTGCTTTGAGGGGGGGGGGGGAAGGGCGCGCGTGTGTATCTGACGTCCCATTCAAAGGTCGAATTGCCACTTACACTTGACATTTGTATCGACACCAGCGACCGCTGCCGAATCTCCTTCCGCCTCGAGCGCCTCACTTCCGAATTTGCCACGAACCTGACTGGTCGAAATGAGTGCACTTGGCGCCCCACCGACGCCGCTGCCGCTTCTTGCGACCACGAAATCGTCCCACGTGACTGCCGAAACGCATGCGACACGCTGTCCCACTGTCGTGCAGATCCCTGCGGTCCGACTACCGCTTCTGCCCGCGTTTCCCCGCAAGTCGACAGCCTCTTGTTCGGCTGTTGGTGTTGTTGCTGTCGCTATCTCTGCTATGGACTCGTGTTCCCCCAAGTGTATGGACACACTGGAAAGAGACGCAAAAAAACCAGTCACGACACTGACTTCAAGCGCGTCAGGTGCTGCTACGGACATAGACACTGACCTGATACGGTATCAGGCAGCAGGACAGGAGCCGACGATCGATCTCGAGGAGCTCGGCCTGGACGCAGCTTCACAGGCTGAACAGCGGCAGCAGCAACAACAGCAGCAGCAGCAGCAGGAGGAGAGTATCGTTGTGGACTATGAAGACAGCGACGGAGACCGCGTGGACCTTCGAGACGACGCCGGTGCGTGCACTCTTAGTGCGTGTAGACCATTGACAGAGAGCGTGGCCGCCGCTGAGGACTGGGCCGGCGGCCACAGTGCCCGTCGTCGCTCCCGCTGCAGCAGCTCCGAGACGAGTCGGTCGAGTCGGAAGCACCAGGTAACCAGCACTGGCGTACAGGACGTTGTAAAGCAGCCCCAAGTCGATTGCTACGAAGCTCTGCGCTGCTCGAACGTGCACAAACTCTGCATGTGCGAAGTGCAGCTGCACCGCACGCTCGAGTCGTGCTGGCTCGTGTCCAGTGGCCACGTGTACGACGTGACGGGGCTCGTCTTTGCCCATCCAGGCGGTGTGCGCTCGATCCTTCGCAAAGCTGGCGGTCCCGACTGTGCACGGGACATGACGTTCCACACGAAAGCTGCGCGCAAGATGATGGACAAGTGCTTCATCGGCAAACTCGAGCAGTGCGGCGACGACGACGACGTGGACGGCGCTAGTGGTGACGCCAATTGCAACGTGATGTAGACGTCGCAGGTGCAGGTGCACAATGGGGCATCACCGACTGTGGACACAGTCACTAATTTAATCAAGAACGCGGTCGGAAACACAGCATACCGTACGAAGATGTGGAGCAGGAGAGCAGGTACAGCCCACAGATCAGCGGCTATAGCTGGAAAATAGACAGACACTCGATCGAAGAATCGTCGTCATCCATCACGTCGTTTTTGCACAACAGTGAGACATGTTTTTGTTACCACGGAGCGTAACCAGTGACCCACCTTTGGCCCCCCCCCCTCCGTCCCTCCTGAGCGTGAACAGCGATTGCCCACTTGTCCCCCCCCTCTTCCTCTTCCTCCTCCCTCCACGTCTGCTTTCTCTCGAGCCTGCAGCAGCACGAGCTCATCAGGTAAACTGCTTCATAAACTCCGTGGCGACAATGCGGCCGCGCGCATTGAGCGAGATCTTCATCTCGCTAATCTCCTTGTCAATGTCCTCCATGAACGTGATGATAAAGTCAATGAGCTTGTGCTTGTACATCGTCTCGAGGTGCTGGTGCACCACGAGAAAGCTCATGTCGTAGCCATCGAGTGGCACGCGCCGCATGACGATAAACTGCTCGGCGCGCTGCATGAGGAAGCGGTTGAACTTGTGGCTGAGGATCGTCTCGATCTCGTCGGCCTTTTTGATGCAAATGCTCACGCGCGTCGAGTTGATCGACGGCTCAATGTAACACTTTTCCTGCTCGTTGCGGCAAATCAGCACGGGGTTCAGCAGCAGCTCTTTGCTCATTCTACACAGTCATATATACATCGACACGCCCCCAGTTAGTCATGAGGGTTTTCACTCGCTCGTCTCTCTCTCTCTCAATAAGAATATCCCATGCGCCCCGACAACAAAAACCGGTACGCACTGCATCTCGACTTCGGGCTTGTTGTGGCGCTCGACGGTCTGCGACGGAAAGTTGCGCAGGCACAGCGCCGAGTCGAGCGAGCTGCGGATCGCACTGAGGTACGGCGCGAGCGTATTGGCCTACAGAGAGCGTTAGCGAGCGCACAAGCAGAGCGTCCGCGCGGTGGACGTACCATTTTGGGCTGCGTTTGAGGTGCTGACGGACGGGGAACTGACTGACTATATTGAGAAGCGCGTTGTTGTTGTGCGACACTTGTTGGGACATGGGCAGCTCGCTCGGTCACAATCTTTGGATACTTGTTTTTTGGCGCGTCTCGAAACTAGGATCCCGAGGAGCAACGTCCTAGAATACGCTTTTTTTGCTTTCTAATCCATATGCTCTAAATCTGGACTGGTCGTAATGATTCGTAGACCATCGCGACCAGATGAGCTAACGTATCTATCTATCTATCTGTGTTATCTATCTATCTATCTATCTATCTATCTATCTATCTATCTATCTGTGTATCTCTCTCTCTATCTCTCTATCTCTCTATCTGCTCAATGATCCAGATGTTGGCGAGTAGCTTCTTCCTATAGAGGCCGTACCTTACCCCTTTGCCTCGCCATTGACGCTAATATGGGCTTTGTTTGTATCCGGTCATACGTATCCAGGTCCAATTTGCATGTCTATGAGCAGGATGGCACGGCCGGAAGTTATCCACCAGCTTCATCCCTGCAGACTTCTCTCGTTGACAGTGTGCTGCAATGACATGAGACATGGAGAAACATCACTGCAAGTGATTCGATGTCCGGCTGTTGTCTCAATTGACCGCATTAGCGCTCTACCCGACCAAAAGTACAGATGGGGAGATATCGGATGCTTCGATGCCGAGTGGAAACAGCAATCCACACGTCGAGATAGCGGTAGTCGCAGCTCACACGTCGATAAGGTCGTGCGAAGGCTCCAGGTACATAGCTCTCGAGTCTACTCGAGTACAGCATTGCGCCATGTCCACCTCAATCTCAACAGTCTGATGACTGTTCGACGGTATCAAATATGGGAACGAAGATACCGCATCCACGTGGAAAAACGCGACGGTCCTTTTCTATGCATCGTCCGCTATAAGATCACGTCGACAACACGAGAAGCTCAAATTGTTGTCGTGTGCACTACTCACGTTGTACCCGTCACGTACAATTGTCGAGCACAGTACACATAGTCTCTGAGCCCTCAATGAGTCACTTACATGATCGATCGACGGACTCTGACGCCTCTCGTGCTCGTAAGCGGCACAAGTCCAGTCAACAACCCAAAGAGACTTTGGTCGTTGTGCCACAACTCGATCCTTTGGAACGAGTGGCGTGGCGCGAGTTTCTCGCCACGAGCTTTTTCCTGCAAGTGCCAAACGATTTGTTCGATGTCTTTGCGCTGGCAACAGATCTGCGTCCTGGTCGTCCATGTGGTGGGTTATCTGCTGACGGCTCTCCAAGTCACACACGTCGAATCGAACACACTTACGTGACGCTGTTTGTTGCTGCGTTGCAGAGGCTTTCGTGGACACGCTGGAAATTCGGCTCTGTGGACCATTTGACCTGTTGGCGGTTGCCGCGGACCAGACACAAGTGGCAGTGGACAAACCCTTGTGCTTGCACGGACGCTTCTTCTTTGATCCGCCAGAGGTGACGACGGTCATGACTGATAGTACCAGTCACGTGGGTCGACATTGGGGCTACTTCCGGTAGCTGACTGCCAAGTGATTGATTCCGTGCAGTCCTAGGGGTGATAGTGATCGTTATGTTGTTGCTGTGTACATTGACCGACTTGTCTCTTGTTGTAGCGACGCTCCGGATCAAGTGCCAGCGTACGTCGTCTGTGCAGAGGACAGTCGCGTGGGCAAGTTCGCCATCGTAGGAAATCGTCTCATTGACGTCCTGCAAAGGCGAGTGCTGGAGCGACGATCGACTCTTGGCGAGGCCATGACCGCGCATCTACTTGGAAAGATAGAGACTCACTGCAGCAAAGTCGCACGTTTGCAAGAAATGCCGACCGAGACAGCGCTTCGGGCGCACAGGGCAAAGTACAGCGTGGCTGCATCGCTCCATCAACTCGGGATTGTAGTGCCGCTCGACGCGAAGAGCCGTACCGGATACCGCGAGCTACCGACCACTGGACAAGCGCTAGCAGACCTGCTACAACAGCTCCAGCGCGTCAGTGGCAAATCGAGAGCATCGTCGGCAAGTCACCAGCTAAGTGACCTGATGACACGCGCAACAATTGCCAGTGACGAGTGCGACTTTGGAACGGGTCTCTTGCTCGGCCTCGACGTCTTTACGGCTGGTGCACGCGTCGAGGTACGTCAAGTTATGGCAATTGTTGCACCTCTCGAATACAGAGCGAGACTCATGCGAGTGCACGTGTATGTATGTATGTGTATGTGTGTATGTGTGTGTGATTGTTTGCGGGACTTTTGATATGTAGAAAGAAGCTCTGCAACTACTTCGCGTCGCGTATCTGCTCCTGCGTCGCACGGATTTCTACACAGTTGCATCGGGACAGTGCAAACATCGCAACGAAGCGGCTCCGTGCACCTCTATCAACTCGCTGCCACCTCTCCATCTCCAAACTAGTTCCAAACACTCCACAACAACAACAACAACAACAACAACAACAACGACGACCGTAGAACTCCCAACACCACTACCGACCGTCAACAAGCGCAAGTCCACCACACAGTAAACGGGAAGTACACGAACATTGAGCTCCCCCACCGTATTGCTGTCCAATAGATACATACATACCCACTACCGTCTTCCAACGCGAGCGATAGAGAGACGATACGAGACGATACAAAAAGCGCTTTTCTTCACAGCCCCGCAAATACCATCCTCGAAACCAAAATAGCGTCGCCTACCACCGCTCGCGCTATCCCATATATCGTTTGGGTGGTTGGCCGCCATCAACAGACCGACAGATAGACCGACAACGTCGTCACTCACCTCATAACGCGTCTTCCTGTCCATCCATTCCTATCTCCACGGCTACCCATCTACACATGGCTACATTCCCGCGCGCCGCCGCCGCTGCTGCTGCTGCTGCGCCGCCGACGCTCGCGCCAATGGAGAAGGCCATCTGGTACAAAGAAGCGCTGACCGAAGACCTGTACCAGTCCGTGGCGCTCAAGACGCTGTCGTTCGAAGCTGCATCGCCGTTCCAGACCATGCAGATCATTGAGACGCACTCGTTTGGGAAGACGCTCGTGCTGGACGGCAAGACGCAGTCGGCCAAGAGCGACGAAGCCATTTACCACGAAGCGCTGGTGCACCCGGCGCTGCTGGCGCACGCGCACCCCAAGACAGTGTACATTGGCGGCGGCGGCGAGTTCGCCACGGCGCGGGAAGTGCTCAAGCACAAGTCGGTCGAAAAGGTGGTGATGGTGGACATTGACGAGCTCGTGTGCACCATGTGCCGCAAGGAAATGCCCGAGTGGGCCGACGGCGCGTTCGAAGACGCGCGACTCGAAGTGCACTACACGGACGCGCACGCGTTCCTCAAGCAGTACGACGGCACGTTCGACGTCATCCTCATGGACATTGCCGACCCTATTGAAGCCGGACCGGGCTACGTGCTCTACACGGAAGAGTTCTACCGCTACGCCGTCACGAAGCTCAACAAAGGCGGCTTCCTCGTCACGCAGTCGGGCCCCGGCGCCGTGTACAACTGGCACGAGTGCTTCTCGTCCATCTACTGCACGCTCAAGACGAGCTTCGACACGGTCATGCCCTACACGGTGGACATCCCGTCGTTCGGCTGCACGTGGGCGTTCAACATGGCCACAAACAGCGTCAACGGAGGAGCAGCAGGAGGACGAGAAGCGCTGCGAGCGATCCGCGAACGCAGCATCGCCGCTACGGATGACCTTGTCGAGACGCGCGTGACGAAACCGCTCGTGTTCCTCGACGGCGTGAGCCACTTGGGGCTCTTTGGACTGCCCAAGAGCGTGCGCGAAGCGCTGGAGCGCGAGACGCGCATCATCACGGTCGACAACCCCGTGTTCGTGTACTAACAAGGCGGCCGCTGCACTACTACTACTACTACAAGTATTGCAACTGCTATAACTGCAACTGCTATAACTGCAACTGCTATAACTACGGCTATAACTGCTGCAAGTTGTGCACCGGCAAGAGACAGAGAGACAGAGAGAAATGTATAGAGAAGAAGAAGAAGAAGAAGAAGAGCTAAGCAGTGTCCATTGCATGTCGCCAACGCGTAATCAAAGCATCATCATCGCCAGTCTCCTCCTCAGCATATCCTCTTCAGTCTCCTCCTCCGCCGCCTCTTCACACGTCCCGCTGTTCGTCCTCCGTACGGCTCTCGCCGACTTCAAAGCGTTCAAAGGCCACGACCGACACCTCCAGCCCCAACTTGTCCGCTGCGTCCGCCACGAACGCCCCGACCTTCGGCCCGCCCTCTTCCACCACGTGGTCCTGTTCCAGCAGCGCAACGTCAGTGAAGAACTTGGCCAGTCGGCCGTCCAGCATCTTGGCCGCAATGTGCGGCGGTTTGCCCGCGTCTTGGACCTGTGCAGCGAGAAACGCGCGCTCACTCGCGACAACGGCCGCCGGCACCGCTGCGCGCGACAGAAACTGCGGCCGCGTGGCCACGACGTGCATGGCGAGGCGCCGGCCCAGCGCGTGCACCTGTGCGAGCTGGTCGGCCGACGCCGTGCGGCTTTCAAACGCGAGCGCGACGAGCGCAGCCGACCGGCCGAGGCCCGGCGCGGCCGCGTTGTGCACGTAGCTGCAGATGAGGCCGTCGGTCAGGCGGCACCGGACGGCGCGCGCGGCCACGACGTTCTCACCGACGACGCCGACGAGCGCCGGCACGTGGCCGGCGACGGTCGTGCCGTCGACGTGGACGACCGCTAATTGGTCGGCCGACAGCGCGTCGGACGTCACGACGGCCGACCGGTCGGCCGTCACGTCGGTCGGGTCGGCCGTCGTCAGTGCGGCCGCCACGCGCGTCACGAGCGCTTGGAACGTGGCGTTCCGCGCGACAAAGTCCGTCTCACTGTTGACTTCGACCATCGCCGCGTGGCGGCCGTCGGGCGACACGTGGACGCCCACGAGGCCTTCGGCCGTGCGGCGTCCGGCTTTCTGGCCGGCCGTCGCGAGGCCTTTGAGTCGGAGCCACTCGACCGCCGCGCGGAAGTCGCCGTGCGTCGCGACGAGCGCGTTGCGCACGTCCTGGAGCGGCGCCTGCGACTCGGCGCGCAGCTGCTTCACTGCGTGGAGGTCGGGCTTGTAGGTGCTCATGCGGCGCGCGGGGCGGAGGGCGGCCGGCCGCACGCGGCGTACGAGAGACGCAAAGGCCATGAGGTGTGGTGGTGGACGAACGGCTGGATGGACGGAGGTGGGGGGACGATAGATTACTTACCGACTATTGGACGATCGGACCATTGGACGATCGGACTATTGGACGATCGGACGGACGACCGGAGCGAGGGCTGCGCACGACTTTGTTCGATTGGGGTTCGCTATGCTGCATCTGTTCACGATAGATGCTTATGCTGATATTGCATCATGACGGAGAGGAATGGCCGCTGGTCGTAGATGAACACAGAGCTGTGTATGTACATACCCTTCCTGTCCATCGAACGACAGACAATGTACACATCTGTTCATGGGAACGACTGCATCGTGTGCGCATAAATGTATTTTTTGCCCAACTTACACACATCCTCAGCACTTGTTGTCCACTTGAGGGACCACATCGACAATCACTGCACCGTACATTGGATCACTTGTCCTATGGACATCTAAAAGGCTGACAGATAGACTTTGGCCGCTCACTGCACGACCGTCGGCGCTCACTTCTTCATTGGAAGCACGTCCGTGTGGTACTTGTTGCGGAAATAGGAGCGCACGGGGCCAAGCACGACGACGTACTCGAAGAGGATGCTCGTACCAACGTTGCCCAGCAGCAGGCCAAGGAACTTGGCGCGAAAGCTCAGCGGCATCGGGATGTCTGGCAGCCCCACAACGTTCGTGCTGCTCGAAATGCGGAAACGGTCCATGACGATACTTGGCTCGCCCAGCAGCATGTACAAGTCGAGCGCTCCAAGCACGCCGAAGAACACGAGCAGCGTGTAGTTCCGCCAGATGGGCTGCCGGTACACCGAGCCAAAGCTGAAGACCCACGCGGAAATGTGCTGCTGGAAGATCACCGAGAAGAAGAGCACGGTCGCCAAGTGGTTGTCCGACATGAGCCACCACTGTGCGACGTTCACGTTCTCCGGCGAAAACGGACAGTACCAGACCTGACTCGACAGCATGTGGATCGCGCAGCTCAGGTAAATGGTATTGATCGCCTGCTGGCCCAGCAGAGACGTCAACGTCGTGGGTCCGATCAGACTGGACGTCGGTCGAGCTGCTTTCAGCTCCTCCAGCGGCTTCGACAGCGTGATCACGTACGAACACCCGACCAGCATGAAGCCTTCCACGAGAATCCAGCACCATTGCGACAGACTGATGGCGTGGTAGTACATGAACAACCGAAAGCACGATCCAATGAGGCCGTACATGATAAGGAACTTCACGGACGCGAACGACGTGGCCACACTGCAGCGCCCTTCGCGGCACAGATCAACCACCGACTGGATCGACTTGTCCCTGCTTGTGAACGGGGACACGACCGACGCCTCGGCATCGCTGAGCGCGACGCCAGCATGCGCGAAGCGTAACGCACCGCAATCATTGCCACCGTCGCCGCACATACCAGTCACCGCTCCTGTCTCCATGTGCAGCTTCACGCACTCGACCTTCCCGTCAGGCGTCATGCGACTAAAGATGCGGATGTTCAGCAGCAAGTCCCGGATCTTGCCGGTGGCCACCAAGTAATCAAACGCTACGCCTGTGACAGCCAGTTCCGCGTCTTCGTCGTGCTCCACCAAGTGCTTCACCTGGGCCAAGTCGTACTCTTCACCCGAGTCCACGTCGCGCCACACGAGCTTCTTCGTCTCGGGTGCCGACGCCGACGTCATCTCAGCTAAAATCACGCGCGAGCTCGACTCCACCATACCGCTTTGACGCGCAATGTAGCACCCGCACATGGCATTGTCACCCGTGATCATGACCGTGCGGATGTCGCCACCCTTGAGCTTCGCAATAGCATCCGCCGTGTCTTCCTTCAGCTCGTTCCGGAACAGGATCAAGCCCAAGAGCGACAGGTTCTCGTCCACAGCGTCCCGGTCGTTGGCAAAGCTCATAACCTCATCGTGCGTCCACTCCTGCGGTAGTTCACGGTACGACAGACCCAACACGTAACAACCGTCCTTCGCAAGCCGGTCAGCCACGCTCTTGTACTCATCCGGCACGGTGGCAGCCGTGCTGAGCTGCTGCATGCGCTCGTACGAGCCTTTGCAGAACACAAAGTACCTGCCGCTCTTGCGGTTGCGTACGACAACACTCATGGACATGCGGTGGTGGTCAAAGTCGTAGCGCTTGATGAACTCCAGCTCGAGTTCCCGATCCGTGTTGGACCTCACATACGGCTGCGCGCCTTCCTCCTCCACGAGCGTCCAGCCCGTGGACGTGAACATGCGGACTTCCACCTCGTTGCCCACGAGACGATCTTCGAGTGACCCTACCGAGTGGCACGTCGTCAATGCGTACAGCAGCTCTTCCGATAGCTGTGCGTCCTTGACATCGCTGACAATGGGGCCGAATCTAGCGTCCTTCACTGGTTGGACGCCGAGGAAGTCGAGCCCCTGCTTCGTGAGCGTACCCGTCTTGTCGAAGCAAAAGATGCGCACCTTGCCACATAGCGTGATACGCTGCACGTTCAGTGAGAAAATGCCTTGTTTCTCGAGGCGCTGCGAGGCGTTCACTTGACCGACCGTAATGACGACAGGAAGCAGGGGACTGATTACACAGGACAGCACGAAGATGGCGTAGCAAAACGCAGCGTATCGGTTGCTCAGCTTCCCGTTGCCGAAGAGGAAGTGGATCACGACGATACAGGCAATGAACGCGTAGACAAGCAGCAGAGCAATCAGGACTTTCAGGTGCTCGTCATACTTGAAGCGCATCGGGATCGGGAACAAGATCGACTGGATCAACTGACCCTTTGTCGTGTGTGCCCCCGTGGTCTGCACAATCGCCAATATCTCTTCGTTCCGACCAGAAGAGAGCACGCACGTACCAGCAAACAACGTGTGCTTCTTGCTGCCCTTCTCGGGGTTGTACACCTCGGCACTACGCTCGGGAATCGGGAACTTCTGGACAGGCATCGATTCGCCCGTCAGCATGGACTCGTCGCACACGGTCGTGCCCTTCACAATGGCCATATCGCACGGCGCTACCCAGTCTTCCAACACCCGCACAAGATCCCCAGGCGCCAAGTCCGGCGACGACAGCTTGCGCCACTCGCCGTTGCGGCACACCATCACGTCCGTGCGATACCGGGTCATCTCGACAATCGACGACTGGATCTGGCGCTGGGTGTAAATGTTCACAGCAGCAGCTCCGAGCACGACGATCGTCATGACAATGCCCATGTTCCAGTACGTAAAGTAGTACCAGACGTAGTAGCACATGACCTGGTAGATGTAAAAGAGCTTGAAAAACTCCTGGGCGATCGAAACGAGGAGAGACGGCATCTCGACGTCCACCGAGTTGGGTCCCACCGTATTGATGCGAAGTCGCGCTTCCGTATCCGTCAAGCCGCCCGCTTCTTGATGCATGTCGTCGTACGTCCGTCCGAGCGCGACGACGCCAGGCACAAACCGCTTGTGGTTTTCCTCGTAAATGTACCGCAGGTGCTGGAACTCGACGATCCGAAAATTGTCTTCAACTCGCACGGGGACTGTCGTGCGGTAGCCACTAAGTCGACCTTTTGGGGCAAAGTAGTTCTCGACCTTTGCCACAAAGTCCGACACGCCCGAGCGATCCGAGAGCATGACTTCCGTCTCGTCGCGCTTGAGCATGTAGACAAAGTCGCACTCGCTCAGGGGCACGCGAAGGCGGAAGAAGTTGAGGATCCGGTCTTGCAGCGCGACAATAACGACAAACCAAACGGACGTGATGACCCACACGATGATAAACACGAGCGCATTGTGCTCGGTCGCGTCAAAGAGCGGCGGCTCAAAGTTGCCATAGTAGTCGACGATAATGACGACCAGGAGGACGTTCAGGCCCGCGGACGCCACGACGACACAGCCGAGCACGGCCGACCCGAGCATCGAGCTCGTGAACCCCATCTGGAGAAGGTCGTCCGCGCCTTCCGTCGGCACGTGGGCGTCCGAGACACAGGCGCTGGAGAACTGACTTGCTGCATTGTGGGCGACGGTCCGCGACTGCTGCGTCTGGGGCGTCGGCAATAGCTTCTTGTGCATCTCGTCCATTGACTGGTTCGTGGTCTCGTGGACCTTCTTAAAGGCCACCCAACTCCCGAGCACGAGGAAGAACGCGAGGTACAGCAGGTAAATGATCACCAGCGGCGTCTCGTGGAACGTCGTGAAGCGCGCGTCCGAGACCGTGGACAGCGACTTGCACGCGGCCTTTTGGTCCGTATTGACCGAGCCATCGGCCTCCATGAGGCTGTAGCAGCGCGCGCCAATAGGGAACGACGCGTTGTTGTTGCGGACATTGTCGGCGTAGTTCCAGTAGACGGTGCTGTCCTGCGACGCGGCCGCGAGCGACGCGTTCGTGTCGGCACACTGCAGTGCTTCAGTCAGTGCCCCTGTTGCGGTGTCCACAATCGCTTGGACGCGACAGATCGTATCGGGTTTGTCGTAGTAGAACTTCTGCGTGCTCGGGTGGTACATTGTATAGGGGAAGTTCACCTGCCGCTGGGCAGCCCATCCCGTGACGTAGTACGACTCAAAGGCGCCTCCGGTCGGCCGATTGTACTTTGTAAAGAGCTCGCGCGTCGTCTCAGAGTACTCGCAGCAGTAGTACTCGGGGCGATGGCGCACGGGGCACGCGGCAAAGTCCATCTGATGCGCTGCGGCCGCGTGCACTTGTTGCACGACCGCTGCAGTCAGAGCCACAACAACGGCCACGACGGACGAGGCCCAGCGCGGCATAGTGCGGACCTACGTGGGGTACAGCGCCGTCTCGGGGCGCGAAGAGGGCGTTGAAGATGCGAACGTGCTGTCGATAGCGGCAGAAGAGCGAGTGCGGGGAATCGGGTGGTGTCAATTGAGCTTTCAGGGAATATGTGTTTAAGTTTGTTTCGGGGGTTTGTGTGTTTCGGGGGATGGGGAACGAGTGCGTGTGGGGGGAGCAGTGGAAATTCACAAGTGAGCGAGTGAGTGAGTGAGTGAGTGAGTGAGTGAGGGGGGGGCGAGTTTCGTGGCCGATCCTCGAGCGATACTGTGTCCCGCCGTATCTCTCTCTCGACCTCTTCTCGACCTCTTCTGATTTTCCGGCGGGATGGTCACGAGAAACCGAAAAGGGCCAGACGCGTGTCGGTTGCTACCGCCGGGACACGCTGGAGAAGGGCGAAAGTAGGCGGCACGCAGGAAGAGGCGGGCGAGAGAGGAGGGCGAGAGAGGAGGAGGGGGCGAGAGCTGTCCTGACGCCCATTTTCAGATGGGAGGAGTGGCGAGAGCTGTGAAATGGCCCTCTCGGTTTGGTTTCCTTCTCTTCTCCTTCTTCTTCTTCTTCTTCGTAGTGGACGCCAGTCGAACCCATTTGCATGCACAGGGAGATCGAGAGATGCTCATTGTTGTTGTAGTGTGTGCGTTGTCGTCCCGTAATCGCTTCGCGACTTGCAGCACGACTCGTAAGCTCTGGCCACGACGCTTGGCCGCGCTCGACTGTTTCCCGTCTGCTTCGTCGGCGCATTTCTCACCAAAGCGCCTGCGTTTCAGCCACGTACGTACGTACGCGACAGCTCTGTGTTCAACTACTACAGTGGCACACGCAAGCAGACAAGTAGTTTTGCACGCCGGTTCGGGGGGGGAAAGAGTCCCGAGGGTCGTATGACAATACTGTCGTTCCTCACGCGCCGTTTGAGTGTGCTGTCCGGACCAACGTACACGACCGGCTGCAGCCTCGCGACCTTAAAGGCGTTGAACGAGTCGGAGGCTGGTCAAGGACCAGGACGTTCCACCTTACATGCACACATGTATCTGCTTCCTGCAGCCCCAGGGGCAATCTTTGAGGTGGGTGCATCCCTGGAATCTAGAAGAAGGAACGGCGCGGACCAGCAGCAGCTTGATTGAGATCCCGCCCAGCTTGGAGCCACTGGATGACTCCTCAGGTGCAACACGCAACGCGCCCAATATGGCTTACCGCCTCCACGTGTGAGCTATTCCGCCCACGTCAGCTGATGATGGACCCGCAGGGTGGACTGTGACAATATGCAGATTGGACGACTTGTTTCCTCGTGGATCGTAACGTGCTTTCCAACTATCTGTGCCACTGTAGTGCCCCTGCGTGAGCGTCTCCACTTTGCTCCATTGACTTTCGATGTTGCGTCTGTCTGTCTGTCGTTCATTGCGCGCGCGACATTGTCAAGTGGACACGTGTGTGTCTGAGTGAGTGGGTGCAGCAGATCGTGGAGATCAGATGGGAACAGAGCCGTAGGGGGCCCGACAGGTTGCAGCAGCAGTAATAGCTGTCGGCGCGTGCCTATCGATCGTTGTCGCATCCCTCTCAGCTCCTGACTGGATCTCCACACTTGAAGTTCGACAGCGCTACTGCTGCTGCAGGTGGTCCCATAGCGCGTACCTCCCAAAGGAGCCACTCACTCGCTCACCGTCGGTGGCCATAACTCGTCTTTCTCGAGCGCTCCCGACTGACTCTATCCCGTTGTGCGTCGGGGCACCTGCAGCCGCCCGTCTGGTGCCACTGTGGGCGTCGCCATACTGTGCGCCTGTCAGTCAGTCAGTCAGTCACTCCGCCCACTCGCACGTCGCCACATGACAACAGCCCGGACGCAGGCAAACAGCTGCTGGATCAGATGGAATAGAAATAGGGTGCGGCTCTTCTGCACAAGCAGACGGCGTTACGTGACGAGAGTGCACTTGATTACGGTTGCGGTGGAGAGCAGTCACGTTCAAGTGGTACATAGCGCCATCCGATGGCTGATAGGGATACATATGTCCACATACAAATGGGTCGTCTCTCGATCTCGTGCTCGTTGGGGTAGCAAAAAGCCGCTGGACGTGCATCCCTCAAGTCCCGAAACGGTCAACAGGTCGACACACAGCGAGAGAGAGAGAGAGAGCTGCAGCACAGTTCAATCAAAGGCTGAGCAAAGGTTTCGAACGAGAGAAAGTTGTGCGAAGCCATATAGTCCATGTGCACGTTTTGCGATAGCACATGGCACTGTCCCTTCGAACCTGTCGCCTCCTGTAACATCATGCATGATGCAGCTTTTGTCTGGATGCTCTTGTCAATGCACGATGACGCAGCACTCAGTACTTCGGACCTCACGTGCGTTGCATTCAGTGCAGTGCAGTGCATGGAGAACCGCCTCGGCGGAAGAAATGGATTATGGTGTCACGTCATCCATCGGGTACTTGCGCCGGCCATTGACTCCGCCTCTCTCGTCTATACAGAAGTACACGGAATTGTTTAGACCCACGCGCGCGCCGCAAAAACGAGCTCAAGAGAGGCTAATGCTCTCCCGGCTCTGGAACTGCAAGGAGCTGCCGCAAAGCAGATGCAGTTGTCGCTGTACCTTATTTCCGTCGAGTGCCGACGAATAGAGTCCCCTGTTCGTCGTGACCGTAATCGTTAACGCTCGGCCACCCGTATCGCGCGTCGTCCCCCCTCGTCTGTCTCCCAGCCATTGCGGCGACTGGACAGACGAGCAGCAGCAGCAGCTGCTGAGCGCGCCGCCTGATTTATGTCGATGCTATAGATAAGGCGGACAGCGAGACGGATACAGAAAGGGGCGCCGCGACTTCAAGCTCGACCTTCAGCTGCAACAACGTGTCAGTCGCGCGCGTGAAGGCCGTGTCGGATCAGTTGCTGCACCACTCTTGGCCATTGCGGTGCCCGTGTGTGTATACGAGCGACGACGTCTGCTCGCTCGTTTGAGTCCAGTAGACACACACACATACCGGGAACGCCTATATGATCTGCTCGCGCGAGTGTGGTCGTCGGCGACAGGTACCCAACGCTATCGAGAGCTCTATCGCGGCGAGAAGACGTCCGCGACAACGGCACTAAAATAGAGAGCTCTATCGAAACGGCTCGTGCCTTCAAGTGGACCCGCACATACGAAAGAACTGCTGGGCGAAATGGATACAAAGCTTTTGCATTCGATGCAGGTCGGACTGTGGCCTAAAGAGTACTGCGGACTGAAGTTTGGTATTGGCGACGCTCGAGCGGTCGCACGTACGGCACCTGATGTCGAGAGCACAACAGTCGATGTGGATCACCTTATTCGTTGACGCTGCAGAAGACGAGCACAAGTGGCACATCCAAACTCAGGTGTCACCTCGAGAGGCCGTTGTATGCCAAAAAGATACTTTCGAGACATTACTCAGTCAAAAGCCATCACGGACTCTACCGGATCCAGAAGGCAGGATGTGGTAGTACACTGCCGATCTGGAGAGCTTAACTCCACAGCAACGAATTGGGTCAACACCACCGGAACGGGTATAGTTTATACAATGAGCTACCAATGCATCACTTGTCTGTGGGTCTAACACTGTCGAGCTAAAGTCGTACTTGTATAACATGTAGACATTGCCATTGAGAACAGGCGTTACAGCAGTACTGGGAAATAGACCTGCGGCGACTCAGAGTGATAGCAAAGCGGGAACGCACTGGCATGTCGACACGACAGTACAAGGGGTCCGTCTGCTGTAGTGCCAAAGAGAGTCGTCAGACGAAATCCGTATGCTGTTTCCCAGAACTCACTTGCCCAATCTCTTTGTATCGTAATGCCAATGTATGCAGCAACACCACCGACGTCGCGCACGACAGATGTCGTGTTCACGTGTTTGCCTTATGGATGACGGCATATGTATCCGCACCGGCCAAGCACAATCAGGTTGAGGCTTCCAGCAGTGCCTTACCGATTGCACTCTTCGAGGTCCATGCGGCAGCACAATTCGTGCAGATACGAACGCATCCACTTATGGCCGTTCCCTCGCGACTTGACAAAGTTGCTCAGTGTTGCCTCGCGCTGAGTCGCTGGTGCGAGCAAGGCACGCAATGTGGGCTCCATGACAACTTTCTGGCGTCCCGTGAGCATGGGCTCGCCATTGTACAAATAACACGCTGACGTCGGCAATAGTGGAAGGTCTTGATCCAGATCAGCACCGAGCACCATGTGTACGTCGGAAAATACGGGCAAGGCCTCAACGCGACGGATACTCTCGCAGGCAAAGGCGAGATTCACAAAGCGAAAGGAGCACGCGGGCACCTGCTTTCCGAGGAGGGAGCTGGCTGTGCTGCATTTAGCTCCAGCCTTGATACTGCTTGACCATAAAAGCGCGAGGATGTGGTCCGCTTCGCACTCGGACACCAGCAGCACTTGGCCATTCGTGAACACCAGCATGACGTCAATGACGCGTAAAAACTCGATCGTACGGTCTGCGGAAGTCGGTGCTGCTACTGTGGTGAAGAAATTGATGGTCCCAAAGACGCGTGTGTTGGACCAGAGTCGACCCGCAGAATGGGTCGAGGAGGCCCAGTGTCGAGCGTATGTGTCCACTTCCATCACTTCCACTTCGCCGCGGAGGTCCTCGACCGATCGAGCTTGCAGGACCTTTCGATAGTCCCACTTCACCTCTTCCGACGGCGTGCATTCAGGCGTCTCCGTGTCGTCAATTTGGTTCCGTTCGGTCTCCACACGTATCTCACGCTCACATTCGCCCGTGTGCGAGACACAACAGACTTCGTCATCAAGTCCGTATGTACAGCTCTGAGAGCAGATGCGAGCAACCAGTGCGTCTTCACAGTCTCCAAACATCAGGCGCGCTTGCGACTCGACAATTCGAGCAATCTTGTCCGTGGCCAATGCTTCTTGGTACAGAAGCTCCAAGGACCGATTCTCATCGACGAGCTCCGACGCGGGATTAAGCTGATTTTCACGGTAGCGAAGACCGCTTGTCGCCCATTCTTGAAGGCCGCGGATACACTCATCTCTCGTGTTGTCCATGACCCAATTCAGCACGTCAACTGCGGTCAACGTCGAAACATTTTGATGAGCACTTGACTGCGAGATACTCTGCGCCACCTCGTCGAAACTTGCGATCCAAAGTGTTTGGTCGCATCCGAGCTGCCTCATTCGTCCCGCGCCTTGCATCAACTTGTCCTTTGCAAGTTTCGGTCCCAGAGTCAGCACGGCGGCTGCATTGTGACGGAGTTTTCGATCCGACCCTCGCGAGCGTGCTTCGTCAAAAATGACAAACGTCTCCTTCTCCAGCATTGGCGCTTGTTCCAACGGCATGACGACCTGTCGAGTCTTTTCGGCAATCATCCAGCAGTTGTGCTCTTTTCGGCTGTCAAAGTACGTCACGCCAGCAAAGACAAAGTCAAGTTGGTCCAAGAGAAATTTTGCTGCCTCACTGTTTTCCACACCCGCTAGAAGCGCCCCAGTGTCGATCAGACATTGTGCGTTCTTGTCCATGGCAAACAAAAGCACACTCTGCCATGGGATTGGTCCGCGATTCGGACTCGGAACAATCACCTCATAGCTGTGCGTCACTTGCATGATCTTGTCAATCATTTTCCCGTTTGTGCCTCGTAGTGACGGCTCATTCGGCTCGTGCTGTGCCACGGACAGCGGAAGCAAACGATGATTGTCGTTCGTGCCTGAGAATCCGATCGTATTGCCTCCTGCAGCAAGATTCCACGCTGTTCGGGACAATCGTTGCGGATACTGCTGCGTATCGTTGGGAAACACGCAGGTGTTCAGGTAGAAGTTTATCGCCTCCATGCAGTACTGGTAAACTCGACACAACGTCTCGAACTGTCGACTGTCGGCAAGACTGACATGCCGCACGTCGTGCAGAGCCTCTCGGTCATTGCTATTCAAGCCCGGCTCGACACTAGCAAACCATCGATCGTACTGATGTTCCTGCTCCGAGATGTCCAAGCGCAACAGCTTCTGAAAAGTACATCGGACCTCCTCCTTCGTCAAACCAGCGTGGTAATATCCGAGCAGCGTGAGCACGATACAAACGTCAGGATGGCTGAACTCCGACCGCTCTGACGGGACATCCGCAGCCCGAAACGGAATGGCAATCTTCTTCCGTCGCGTACCAGGATGTGGAAGCCCAAAATCAACTCGATAGCGTTTCTCCAGGCAGTGTTCGAGCACGCCAAATGCTAGCAGTCCTCGCATTACGAGCAGCTGTCGCATGTAAGGTGAGAATCTTTGCACGTATTCGGCAAGGGCCACTTGCAAACTCATCGTTGGATCCGTAATCGCCGTCACGAGCGCATCAACTGCACTACCATTGCCCAGAGCTTCCAGAAACATCAACTCGAAAGGTGCGTTGTCAATCAGATCGAGCACTAGTGCTTTCTTCAGCTCGTCTCGGTGACATTCTGTGGATTCTACGATCGTATTGAGGCGAGTGCCTGGATAAGCACCCAATCGGGTCGCGTAGTCCGGAGCATTGCACGACACACGTGGCGTCTGGAGCACATTCTTCACTCGACAGCTCAGCGAGGAATCTGCCACAATACGCAACAAGGCCTCAGCGACAGTCCACCTCTCGACTCCATTGCACAGCGGTTCTGGTGTGCCCACAGCGTATACCAAATGATACTTGTGATGAAGAAGTGCGTCGCACTCGTCAAGAACGTCAACAAATTGCGTCTTGTCAAGAAGTTGATCCAACTGCGGTGCGAAAGCGTTTTTGTCGCCTAGCTCCAAACGCTTCAGTTCCAGTGACATGCGATGTTCAGGAGATACCATTTGGATGCCGCCAAAGAGCTGAATCTCTTGAAGTGTATCGTGAATGAGCTCGAGTCTCCGAGCATCTATGGCACTACTTCGATCAAATGGCTGTTCAAACACGTCGAGTTGAGCAATGGAAGCCGACAGGTGGCGGTGCATGAATTGCCGCGTTTCGCTCAGCAAAGGCCCCAGAAAGTGTGCACGAACGACTCGTGAACAGTTACTTCGAGTGAAGTGCAGGAACAACATTGGCAAAATCACTCGAGTCTTGCCGCAGCCCATGTTGAGCTGGCAAACCGTTCCGCGCTCGTTGATCAAGTGTTTTGCTACCACAAACTGTTCATGCCGAATCTGAAGTCTCCCTTCCACTTCAAATGCTAGCCAGTATGGATACTCGGTCAATTGCCACTGACGCACGTTCAGGAGCTCGTTCACCAGTTCAGACTCGGACAACTCGCTACTGCGCTTCGCTTTCCAGATCAGCCGTTCGACCTTGTCTTCTAAGACACAAAGCTCCATGTATCGCAAGGCGCCCTGTTTGAATTCCTCTCTCGACGTCGTCGTCAGTTTCTGCGTCAGTGCATACAGCATCTCGTCGTCAAACGAGCACTGTACGATATCACGGATGGTCATTGTGGGCATACCGTTGGCGAGAAAAAGAAGACGATCACGAGTGCTGCTCGTGGCCTTCACATGCACGCACCGCAAGTACGCTTCCATCTCGCCACGACGGGATGCAACATCACTGAGCAAGGACGTCAATTCCTCAGTTAACACGCTCGGTGTGACGTTCAATTGCGTGTGAGCTTGCGATTGATAGCAGTCCCAACTGATCTGTAGGTCCTTCATCATCCTCTCGCTCATTACACCAGCTGTAGCTCGACTCTTCAGCGGGTTGTCGGCTCTCGAAGTCGTCGTATGACGCACAAAACGTTGCAGTTTTCTTTCGACCTCCTGAACGAAGTCGGCAGCTCCAGGGAGTGGCATTGGTGACACCAAATCATGGGCACATCGAGCATGTGTTCTACTTTGAGCACGGCCGAAGAGGAACCGCTCTTCTTTACTTCGAAAGCAAGAGCGCAGGCGGTTATGGTATACCCGCACCCGCCCTGAGCACAAGTCGCCATATTCTGTTTGTTCATCAATTCCAGCCATCGACATGTCCACCATTTGACTTTCTTGATCGAGAAGAAAACTTATCTGTTTCGACTTCGTGAGCAGAGCCACTGCCAGAATTTTCACTGCGGGTACGCGAAAGCTCAGCTTGCAAATTGACTCCAGCATCGTTCTCTCTGGCTCTGAATACGGTCGGCTCGAGCGGCACGCCCGTAAAATTTGCACAGCTGCCTCTGATCCTGTCATGTTCAACCGCTTACTTGGTATGTTTGTTCCCGCACGAACGCACACAGCAGCGAGCAGAAGTCTGGAGCTGATGGTCTCCGTTTCGAACGTCTTCAAGCGGCGGTGAACATCAAAGCATGCTACACCGATGGAACTGTCTGCTGTACCAGGGCTTTCAATGTCAACCATTCCATTGCGAGCGTCGTGAACAGAGCCGATAGGCAGTAGCATGCGAAGTTCCGGTCGTGTTGTGTCGAGTCTGTCTTGCGGATCAAGCAGCAAATACCTCTCAAAGCGCGGTAGAAAGTCGTCAAACTGCTGCTGCGTTGCCAAGACGTATCCGATGTGTTCTACCGACTCGAACTGCATTCGGTCGTTGAGAAAAAAGCTGAGCTTGAAACGTGGCAGCTCAATTTTCAACACGCCGTCAGGAGATCGCAGCGCATGAAGGAACTGCTCGTTTTCAAATTTCGTCAGTACACTAAACACGCTCTGCAGCACTTCGTCTTGCTGCACAAACCGGTCGTAGGTTCCGCAGTGCTGTAAGATGAAGTCGTAGGAGCATTTCGTGTCACCATATGGCACCCGAAAACATTGCACACCGTTCTGTTCATCGAATGTAGCAACAAAGAAGACGTCCCGGTCTTTGGCTTCCTTAGGTCGGAAAAGCAGACAATGCTTTTCCACCCAGTGCCAATGTGAATATAACTCCCACAACCGAGTTGGGTAATGGTCACAGAGGGACTTGATCCACTCTAGAGAGCACAACTGTAGCGTACTTCCGCGATTCCCCGATGCTCCCACGACGAGCTCTTGAACATAGAGATCATCCTCCCCCTGCATCGCAAACTCGTACAATCGATCGCAGTACAAGCTTTCAGACTGAAACACGCCGTTGACGTAAAACACTTCGAAATTGCAGCGTGGGAATAGAGTCTGGAATCGCGGGTGCTCACGAATGGTAGGCGGCAGTCCCCCGGGAGGATTGCCATCAGTCAAGACAACCCCTGTGAAAAGATTAATGGCGTAATGGGCTTCGGAGGATTCGAAGCAGCTTACCAATTGCTCCCCGTGTATCGGCTCGTCGCTTACTCGCGTCCACTCCAGCTGATCAGGAGACTGCGGACATACCAAGCTTACCAAAGACGTCAGGACAGAGCTCGTGCCGCTTTTCTCGACAAAGCCGACCAGCTCTGCAATCCTTCGAGCCATCATCTCACACACTCTGCCTTCAATGCAACGCATTTTATCCGTGGAGGAGGCACCGATGCTTGCACACAGGAACGAAGTGCGAAACAAAACGATCAACTCGCACACATCCCGAGCCGCTGCATCGTCCAATGGTCCGAGTGTGTAGGCCAGAAGTGCGTAGCCATACAAGATGCATCTGTTCTGGTGGAGCGTGGTAGTCCGATCGACAGTTCGATCGCTTTCGCCTTTCACATGTGAATTCTCGGCCCAATGTCTCGCCATCCTCGAAAACGATTTCACGACAGGATCCGCGGCGCTGTCGAACTGGTGCAAGTATCCAGACAGTTCACTAAGGAGCGGAACATTCTCACAGCATCGCGGCGTATGCTCCAAATTGTCCGCAATAGCACCAAGTGTGGTGCAAAACGTGACCAGTCCGTGTTCACATTGCAACATGTCGATCTTCCAGGCCAACTTTGGCTCATCTTCATCCGTAATGTCGCCGATCTGATAAAGCGACTGCCGCACTATGGTACTCACACACGAGTTTGACCACGGCAAGACGTCGCTGAGTAAGACCAATAGTAGTTTTCGAAACTGTTGGTTCGGAAAGGAACGCAGGGATCCGAGAGCAATAAATGACGCTTTCTCGAACACGTCTGGAATCTGGTTCAATTGCGAGTACACCAAGTTCCCTCGAGCTGCGTTTCCGCTTGGCCACACGTTCATCCACTGGAAGTTCTCAAACGAATGTGGAAGTCTCTCGATAAAGCTCTCGGTTATGCTCGCTTGAGTAGCAGCAAATGGGTTCAACGTATCACCAGCTGAATCTTTCCACGTAAGTTTCGTATTCTGCAGTACCGGGCTCACCACTTGCTGTAACTGGAAGTGGTACATACTGTACAGACTGTCCACGGTTTGCGCTCTATTCGACATTGGCAGATAATCGGAGCCGGTGGTTGCTACAAGTTCGGTTGTGGTCGGGCGCAATGCTTGGCATCGTCGATGGTCAATGTAGAAGGACTCCCACGTGGTACTGCTCAGACTGGAACACTTCGTCATCTCATCTGTCGGGTCTGTTGGTGCAAGAGCACGTTGAGCAGTACAAAACAAGCTTCCAAGTATCTCCAGACTTCGAGGCATGGTCAGCATAAAGATGACTTGCATGGCATGGTCTTTTGCTTCTGGTAGTGGTCGGGTAATTGCAGGAGGAACCTCAAGAGCTCTCTTCAACGACTTATTTGTGGCTTTGATCTTAGATTTTAAGCTTGCAACTTTGTCGGCAAGTCGCGAAACTGCTTTGCTTTCGCCATAGCCATTCGAGCCATACGAACGCTCGTTTGTCAGCTCGCGCTGTTTCAACTGTAGCTTTTCATTTGCCACCGAAAGCTCCGCACGAATACCGGCTGCTCTGTTTCGTTTTTCTTCAACCTCTTTCCACTTGCTCAGCACATACCGGTCCCAGCTCTCAACTTCACGGTCGTAGATGTCGATCATACTATCGTTGCTCAGCGCATATTTCAGCGCGAACGCAAATGTTGCGTCCTGCATGGTCAAGTGGAAGAGAGGAGGTCCTTGAGTCTTCCTGTTCCATCCACGGATGTATTTGCACACGTGTTGCAAAGCAGTAATGGCGACCCGGTCTCTTAGTACAGCAACTTTCAAGTCCTGCCATGCGAGTGCAACGTTGTACTGTTTACACAAAGGAAATTGACTGACGCATCGTTGATGAACGAGGCAAAACGCAATCCACATGACCAGCATCTCTCGACTGCGTTGCTCGACATTCAGGATGGACGTCAATTGCGGAAGTTGTTGCTGTTCACCGATGTTTTTCTTGTACGCAGTCACGAGCACCCTGATCTTTGCAATGAACAAATTGTCGTCGCCGTCACCATCATCGTCATTCGAGGGCTTACCAACGTCGTCTTCGTTCAGGTGGATCGATCTTGCAAACATAAACGATTCGACCGTCCGCAATGCTAACAAGCTCTTGTACGACTTCGAGGCTTTGGTCGATTTTTCCCAGTCGACCAAAGTGCTTAGACTGCACGTCGCTCCATCGAGATACCAGCATCCTTCCAGATTCTTCATTACACGCAGGTGGCGTTCCTTCACGTTAGCTTCAGCATCCACAAGCTTTCCTCGTTCGGTCCAGTCTGCTTGAACACGGCCTTGAAGTCGTTGGAGCTGCTGCAACGTTGCATACTCGGGTAGGCAATAACGCAATCTGTTCTTGTGGTTTAACAAGTCGACTAGCGCATCAACGCGAGTTCGCAGGTCGCTGCACTGATGCTCGAGGGACGAGATGTCATACCCGAGCTCGAAGAGCTTCACAGCGTTTCGAACAACAACTTGCAGCATGTAAAACAGGTCATCAACAGCGTCGCACCCGTCTTTTATACCCACGCCGCTGTGAAAACTGCTCTGTGCCTCACACATAGCTGCATGCAGCAAATGCAGCTCAAACATCGCCATTGTCTTTTGGAACAGACCACGGCCACAGCAAACTCGTTTAGCAATCGCAGCCTGAACAATTGGCCAGCAGGTATCGCGTGGTTGTCCTCCTGTATGCTGTCCAACGTCTGTTGTTCCTCCATGAGGACGAATGCTCTCGATCGTGTCACTATCTTCATCCTCGTCGTCATCGTCGTCGTCTACACCTCCGTCTTCTTCTAACTCCGATCTTCCCGCAATCGCTGCAACAGCACGACGGACCACAGCCACGATAAACTGTGGTGTCTTTTGATGTCCCAGACTCTGAATTGCTGCGCTCCGCTTCGACCCTCTGCCTTGTTGCGCGTTCTGTAGCTTGCGCGCAAACATCTTTCCAAACTGCTTCTCCAGTCTGCACTCCAAATTCGCACAAGATACTTCGCTGAATGCTGTGGACACGGCACTGTGCACGCACGTCCCCGTTGACACAAAGTGTAGCGTTCGTTCCCATCCATCGACATAGATTACGTCTAGTTTCACCTCCGCTGCGTTGACCTTCGTCCGTTGCAATGCACAGCCATACGTCGGTAGCCACGGATCGTACCAGACATCTCCTCGCTCACGTATGTCTTCCTCGGAGGATTTCATGCTACGACAAGCATTGCGTAACACTTCCACTTCATGAACAGTAAAGTCAGTAGCTGGAACGATGCGGTCGTCAACGACGGGATCAGCCAGAGCACAACGGTGACCAAACTCGGACGGCACTGGATCGAGCTGGGCTACAAATGCTGCAAAGTGCTGCACCAAAGTCTCGCACAGACTGTCGTCTTGACGGGCACTTGGAGTCTTGTGCTTGAAGCGAAACACCACATTCAGCAGCTCGTCCTGGTTGTCCGTCTTGGACCACTTCCTCGGCGTGAACGCATCCAAGTCGCCAATATCTCGAGCGTGTTTCATTGCTTGGAAACGGAAAGTGAGCTCGGACGCATCCGAGAGCGAGAGATGTCGCTCGTGGTCCTAACACATCAAAGGTCAGAAGAGAAAAGCAGGTGGTCACTTACCTTCCAACTGTAGACCTCGGAAACGACACATCAGCCAAGTCACGGTCGTGCGAGTGCACACAGTGTGCGTCTGTATAACTGCAACATCTATTAACGACGGCTGAGTCCAACGAAATGGTAACCACTTGTAAAGTGATGGAAAGAAAGGATTGCTGGTCGGACTTACGTGCCGCGAGCGTGGTGCCAGAAACGAAACAATTGCAACGCACAAGCTATACGTAGATTCACAAGAAGCACAAACGAATGTATCCAGCACTGCTTGTCGAGACGATTCAACTTGCCAGTGAAGCAAATTGTGGTAAAATTCCCTCAATCACTTAGTTTCCATAGATGCGGCAACTGACTTCGTGCGTCACTTGAATGTCGGTTGTAATTATCTGACTGTAAGCGACGATCGGGCTGCGTCGTGTCAGTGGCATTATTTTGACAAGTATCATTAACTCTTCTGTCGCTTACTCTCACTGGGATCATCACACATAGCGCGTTTGTACGTGCAGCACTCCAGATCCATGCGGCGGCAAAGCTCGTGCAAAAACGAATGCACCCACTTGTGGCTGTTACCTCGCGACTTCACAAAGTTGCTCAGCGTAACTTCGCGCTGTACAAGTGGACGAAGCAGGTCACGGAATGCTTGCTCCGCTTTGGCTTGCTGTTCTTTTGCTATCATCGTTTCGCCGTTGTACAAGTGACACGCCATCGTCGACAAAAGCGGCAGTTCCTGACCTACTTGGTATCCCAAGTGACATGCCATCGTCGACAATAGCGGCAATTCTTGACCTACTTGGAACCCAAGTGCCAGGTAAATATTACTGAACTTGGTGGTGCGCGTCTCGCCTCGAGCAAGGCTTTCACGAGCGAAAGCGAGATTCATGAAGTGAAAACTGCGCTTCGTTCTTGTACCACGGGTAAGCCAGAGCAGCCCAAGAATGTGATCAGCTTCACATTCAGACAGCAAAAGAACCTGTCCGTTTCGGAACACGAGTACAACATCAATCATCCGCAGAAACGTGTTGACGTGGTCCCCACCCGTCTGCGTGATCCTCCTTCTACTCGTCGTACTCGTCCGCGTGTTGCTCTTTCTGATCGTCGTAAAGAAATTCTCAGTCCCGTAGATTTGCGAACTCGACCAGGCCAGACTTGCCATCTCCTTTGGAGCGATCCGCTGACGTATGAAACTCGTCATCTCCACCACTTGCACATCTCCGTTCAGATCTTCGACCGACCTGGCACACAATATCTTCTTATACTGCCACGCCTTCTCCTTGGCCGGAGCACACTTCACCACCTCGACTTCTCGCTCCTCGATTAGCTCTTCCTCGACCTGAAGCTCCCGCTCGCACTCGTCAGTGTGTGAAGTGACACATACTTCGTCATCAAGCCCGTACACGAATCCTCTGCAACAAATTTGCTCAACCACAGTATCCGTAGAGATGTCGGAATCAAAGTGCGCCTTTGACTCAATGATCTGTGCAATCTCGTCCAAACGCAGCTTTTCTTGGTACATCGTCTCGAGAGACCAGTCGTCATCTACCAGCTCTTTGTCTTGGTTTATCTGAGTCGTTCGGAAATGGATACCACTACCTGCCCAGTCGAGCAATCCACGCACTGACTCCGCTTTCGTGTTGTCCATCACCCAATTCAGCACGTCAACTGTCGATACGCGTGAAAGCAATCGTTGACCACTTGTTTGTAGGACTGTCTGCGCCACTTCGTCGAAACTTGCGATCCAAAGCGTTTGGTCGCATCCGAGCTGCCTCATTCGTCCCGCACCCTGCATCAACTTGTCCTTGGTGAGCTTCGGTCCAAGTGTTATCACAGCGGATGCATCTGGTAGTAGCTTCATGTCTGACCCTCGCGAGCGTGCTTCGTCGAAAATGACAAACGTCTCCTTCTCCAGCATCGAAGACTTCTTTAGGGGCAACGTTATCCTACGAACCTTCTCGACAATCATCCAGCAGTTGTGCTCTTTTCGGCTGTCAAAGTACGTCACGCCAGCAAAGGCAAAGTCAAGTTGGTCCAAGAGAAATTTTGCTGCCTCACTGTTTTCCACACCCGCTAGAAGCGCACCAGTGTCGATCAGACATTGTGCCTTCTTGTCCATGGCGAACAAAAGCACACTCTGCCATGGGATTGGTCCGCGATTCGGACTCGGAACAATCACCTCATAGCTGTGCGTCACTTGCATGATCTTGTCAATCATTTTCCCGTTTGTGCCTCGTAGTGACGGCTCATTCGGCTCGTGTTGTGCCACGGACAGCGGAAGCAAACGGTGATTGTCGTTCGTGCCTGAGAATCCGATCGTATTGCCTCCTGCAGCAAGATTCCACGCTGTTCGGGACAATCGCTGCGGATACTGCTGCGTATCATTGGGAAACACGCAGGTGTTCAGGTAGAAGTTTATCGCCTCCATGCAGTACTGGTAAACTCGACACAACGTCTCGAACTGTCGACTGTCGGCAAGACTGACATGCCGCACGTCGTGCAGAGCCTCTCGGTCATTGCTATTCAAGCCCGGCTTGACACTGACAAACCATCGATCGTACTGATGTTCCTGCTCCGAGATGTCCAAGCGCAACAGCTTCTGAAAAGTACATCGGACCTCCTCCTTCGTCAAACCAGCGTGGTAATATCCGAGCAGTGTGAGCACGATACAAACGTCAGGATGGCTGAACTCCGACCGCTCTGACGGGACATCCGCAGCCCGAAACGGAATGGCAATCTTCTTCTGTCGCGTACCAGGATGTGGAAGCCCAAAATCAACTCGATAGCGTTTCTCCAGGCAGTGTTCGAGCACGCCAAATGCTAGCAGTCCTCGCATTGCCAACAATTGAGCTACGTAAGGCGTGATTTCTGCCAGACCTTCCCCAAGAGCTTCCTGTACACTTACACTCGGATCAGTAATTGCAGTGACAAGCGGTGGACGAGCAGCATTGCCACTTAAAGCACTAAGCCACATCAGTTCGAAAGGAGCCTCATCGATAAGATCCAGCACTACTGCCTCCCTGAGTTCATCGCGTAGCAACTTCGTGCTATTCACGAGGGCGTTGAGCCGAGTTCCGTCGTATGAACCTAACCGGGTGACGTAGTCCGGGGCGGAGCAAGAGACATGTGCGGCTTTTAGCACCTTGCGGACACGAGAGTTGGCTGCTTGATTCGCTACAACTCGCAAAACAGCTTCTGTAGCCATCCAGCGTTCCACCCCATTACCAAGAGGATTGGGAATACCGACTGCGTACACCAAATGATACTTATGGTGGAGTATTGCATCACATTCGTCGAGCACGTCCACAAACTGGTCTCGAGCAAGAATCTCGTCCAGCATCTCTACCGTGGAATCATCATTGCCCAATGCCAGGCGCTTGAGCTCGAGTGACATGCGATGTTCCGGGGCTACCATTTGGATACCACCCAAACGTTTTAACTCCACAAGACTGTCGCGGATGAACTCGAGTCTACGAGGATCCAGATCAATCGTACGGTGGAACGGCTGTTCGAACACGCCTAGACTGGCACTAGTCGCCGACAAATACCGATGCATGAACTGCCGAGCTTCGCTTAGCAACGGACTTAGGAAATTGGCACGGACGACTCGCGAAGAGCGGTTTTGAGCGTAAAACAGAAACAGCATTGGCAGGATCACTCGGGTCTTACCGCGTCCCATGTTCAGCTGGCAAACTGTCCCTGGCCCATCGATGAGGTGGCGAGCAATCACAAATTGTTCATGTCGGATCTGAAGTCTACCTTCCACCTCAAACGACAACCAGTATGGATATTGCGCCGATTGCCACTGACGCGTGTTCATTAGCTCATCAATCAAGATGGTATTCGATACCTCCCCACTGTGCCTCGCTTGCCAGATGAGTCTCTCGACCTTGTCTTCCAGCACGCATAATTCCATGTAAGTGTAGATACCCTTCCTTACCAGCTCTCTCGATGCTTCACTTAACTTCGGCGCCAGTGTGTGCAGAGAAGCTCTGTCAAAACCACAACGAACGATATCACCGACAGTAAGTAGCGGCAAAAAGTTCGCGAGGCTCAAAAGGCGATCATACACGCCGCTTGTAGCTTTGGCGACGCAATCCCACACATACTTTTCCACTTCAACACGGCGAGATGATACTTCTCTCAGCAGCGTCTGAAATGTGCCAAGTAATGCAGCTGGTTCAGTCTTCAGTCGTGGCTCACATCTCGAGTGGTAACTGTCCCAGCTTGATTGCAATTCTTCAAGCATTGCTCGACCCATGGCGTTGGTGGAATTGCAATTCAGTGGAAACACCGGAGTTCCTTTCACGTTGTCACTGTCCTTCCACAGAAACAGTTGAAGACGCTTCTCGACAGACCTAACGTAATCGCCAGCAACAGAAGACGAGTCACACGTTATCGCTTCTTCGACAGCCGACGAGCGTTGCACATGTCCAAGGATACGTTCCTCTTCATTGCTTCGCAATTGCGAACGCAAGGGGTTACGCTGGACGTAGCTTGAACACATGTTCGCGTACTCTGTTTTCGCATCGGTACCACCCATCGCTGAAGGAATGCGCTGCGTGTGTCCGAAGAGAAACGCAAGGCGGTCAGCTTCTGTGAGCAACGCGACCACCAAGATCTTCACCGCTGGCTCACGATAACTCAATGGGTATATCGACCGTAGTGCCTCTTTTTCATCAGCCGAAAACGGTCGACTTGACCTGCATGCTCGTAACACTTGTATCGCTGCCTCTGATCCGGTCATACTCAACCGCTTGCTGGGCACATCCGTTCCAGCTCGAACACAGATAGCAGCAAACTCCAGTCGTGCACAAACAGTCTCAGTTTCAAACGTCTTTAGTCGGCGGTGGATATCGTAGCATGCCACGTCCATAGCATCACTTGCATTCCGACCAATGGCGATGTCAACCATGCCGATCGATGCTTCCACCACAGCACCTACAGGAAGGAGCATGCGAAATTCTGGTCGGGATGTGTCAAATCTGTCTTTCAACACCAGCACTAAGTACCGCTGGAACCTTGGTAGAAAATCGTCAAACTGCTGACCCGTCGCTAGAATGTAGCCTTTGTGCTCCACTGACTCAAACTGCGTCGAGCTATTCAAACGGAATACCAGCTTGAACCGAGGCAGCTCAATGTATAGGACTCTCTCAGGTGATTTTAGTGGATGAAGAAAACGCGCTTCCTCGAACTTTGTCAACACATCGAGCACGGCAACGAGCGATTTCTTCTTGCGCACAAAACGGTCGCACATATCAAGATTCACCAACAGTTCGTCATACGACCGCGTCGTGTCGCTGACCGGTATCTTATAGCATTCCATTGACCCGCCGTCGTCAAGCCTGGCAATGAATAACACATCTCGCAGCTTGGCTTCTTTTGGACGGAAGAGAACACAGTTCTTTTCCACCCAATACCAGTGGGAGTACAGGCTCTGCAACCGAGCTGGAAACTGATCGGTCAGTGCTTTCACCCATTCATCGGAACACAACTGAAGTGTCATGATGATGCTGCCTGCAGTGTCTGACACCAGTTCTTGGACAAACAGCTCTTCACCCTCGAGTGCAAAGTCGTACAAACGATCGTAATACTTCCGTTCACTTCGAAACACTCCATTCGAAGTAAGCACTTTGAAATTGCGGTGGCCAAATAAAGACCGAAAGCTCTTGTGCTCACGAATAGCAGACGGAAGACCGCCAGGAGCGTGACCATCAGTAAGAACGGTACCCGTAAAAAGGTTGACGGAATAATGCACATTTGTCACCTTGTCGATCGCTTCAAAGCAGCTGCCAAACTGTCCACCCGCTTGCGGGAGCTCACGAAATTCCTTCCATTTCAATCGTCCGGGGGCCGTTGCACTTACTAAACGCACTAAGCCGGTAAGCACGTGGTCAGTGCTGTGTGTCTTCACAAACGCAACAACCTCAACTATACGGCGAGACATCACTTCAGCAATCATGTTCTCGAAACGAAGCATCTGGTCAGTACAATCCAGATCAATACTAGCACAAAGAAACGACGTGCGAAACTGCACGATCGTCTCGCATACTTGTTCAGCTGCTCTGTTGTCCCATGGTCCGAGACTGTAGGCTAGCAATGCAATACCATACATCACACACTCCTTTCGGCGAACTTCAGCAATACGGCAGGGCGAAGATTCTTCCCTGCATTCAGCACGCGCGTTTTCTGCCCAGCATCTCGCCATTCCAGCAAATATTGTTACAATTCCGCTTGCATCGTCCGTATATTGCATAGCGAATCCAGCTAGCTCACTTAGAAGAGGAACGGACTCAAACTTTCGAGGAGTCTGCTTCAACTTGCTAGCAATATTCATCAGTGTCGCGCAAAATGTTGACAGGCCGTTCTTCTCATCTAACATATCGGACTTCCAGAGCAGCTGGGGAAGCAGTTCGTCAGTGAGTGCCCCCACTTGATACAGTGATTGCCGCACAATGACTCCCACAGAGCGGTTTGACCACGGCAAAACGTCATCAAGCAAAGCCCACTGCAGTTTTCGATACTGCTGGTTCGGGAACGCCCGCAACGACCCAAGGGCGATGAATGACATCTTGTCAAAATCGTTGGGTTGGCGGTTGAACTCGGTATACACCACATTTCCTCGGATACCGCCTGTGTCAGGCCAAGCATTCATCCACTGTAAGTGGTTGAACGATTGCGGCATTTTCTCAACGAAGCTGTCAATAACGCTCGACGCAGTGGCAGCAAAAGGATCAACATTGACGCCGAATGCGTCTTTCCAACATATGATCGTACCGCCCAGGGTGGGATTCCATACACAGACCGACTTGTACTGAGAGAGATTGTACAAATTATCGACGCTGGCTGGTCCCCATGTGCTTGGGAGCGTGTACGGACAAGGACTCGCTGTAAACACCTTAGTGGTCGCAGTTATCGCTCGCTTCTGAGTACGTTGATAGTAAAACTGTTGCCATGTCGTCGGGCTCAGCTGCGGCAAACGCGTCATATCAGATGTCGCATTGGCAGGAGCGAGGGACCGTTGAGCGGTCATGCATACATTACCCAGGATTTCGAGATGGCGCGGCATGGTCAGCATGAATATGACTTGAATCGCGTCATTTCTCGATGGCGGAAGTGGACGCACCAGGTATGGAGGGACCACAAGAGTCGTGCGCAACCAATCTTCGGTCTGTCTGATAGTGGAAGAAATCTGATTGATCTCAGACTCCAAACTCGAAATCAGGCAGTTGATGGAACGCCTTTCTCGATCAGAGTTGTAACAGAAACGCCGCGCCCTTTCCGTTGCGAGAGACGCTTGCTTTGAGGCCCACCTCTGGTTTAAAGATACGATTTGTTGTCGATAGTTTGCAGCGTCACGCTTCTTCTTTTCGACTTTCGCCCACTGTTCTGCTTCGTAAACTTCCCAAGCTGCAACTTCACGGTCGTACGCAGTAAGCATACTGGTGCTATTCAAGCCAAATCTCATGCCAAATTCAAACGTTGGCGCCTGCTTGCTCAAGTGGAATAGTGGCGACCCCATCGTAGTAGCATTCCAACTACGGATGTACCGTGCGACACATTGGAGGGCAGAAATGGCTGCTCGATCATTCAGCACAGCCACCTGGAGATCTTTCCAATCCAAAGCAATATTGTACTGCGCGCATAGAGGGAACTCGCCCACGCACCGCTGATGAACGAGGCAAAACGCAGTCCACATTACCAACATTTCGCGACTACGCTGCTCCACGTCCAAGATGGACGTCATTCGCTGAATCTGGCGCCACGACCATACGACTCGGTGGTACCGATTAACGAGAGTCTGCATCTGCTCCAAGCCAAAACTATCATCGTCGGTTTGGCTGTTGGCCGAACCTTCTTCATTCAATCCCAAAGCCTTCTCAAACATGTATGCTTCAAATGTCCTCAGCGTCAGAATGCATTTATAGGATGCTGGAGCACTGTTTGCTTCATCCCACTGTAGCAGTTCATCCAAACTACACGATGACCCCTGCAATAGATAGCACCCCTGTAAATTGCCCCATGCGCGTCGGTGACGTTCATCGTTGCTCTCACCGCTTTTGCCGTCGTTGCTTCGTTGCGGCGAAGTCATCTTCATCACGCACCTCAACTTATTCAGCTTCTGTAGCTGTTTACAGCCCGGCAATGCGTACTTCGTTGCAGTACGGCAGTTCACATCATCAACAAATTCATCAATGCTACATCGGAGACCAGCGCATTGTTTCTCGAGCAACGAGACCTTGTAGCCGACCTTCACAAGCTCGGCCGTGCTTACGACAATGACTCGCAGCATGTAAAATAGATCGTCTACCACGGCGCATCCATCTTTCACGCTGATGCAGCTAAAAGAAGTCTTCGCATCGGTCACTGCAGCGTGAAGCAGCTTCAGCTTCATTGCAATCATTACTTTTCGAAACAAACCTGGTCCGCAGCAGAGGTTGCGTTTAATCGCAGCTTGAACAATCGCCCAGCACGTATCGCGCGCTCGGCCTCCAGTATGCAGGCCCACGTCTGTGGTGCCCCCTCGTGGAGTAGTACCGACCCCATCAGTCTGTTTCGTCAACTGCGTTACGGCTCGTCTCACGACGGCAGCAATGAACTGTGGTGTCTTCTGGTGACCCAGTTCGTTACTTGCTGCACTCCTACCCGACCCCTTGCTCATTTGCGCAGTTTGCAGCTCCGATCCAAAAGCCGTCGAGAACTTTGCTGCCACGTCCATGTCCAGGTCTGCACAGTGCACAACGTGGTGCGTCGTAGCAACGGCACTGTAGATACACTCGCCAGATGGTACAAAGTGCAGCGTCTGTTCCCATCCGTCGACAAACACCACTTCGATCCGGACCGTTGTTGCATTCAATTGCGTGCGCTGGAGCGCACATCCGTACTTAGGCAGCCACGGATCATACCACACCTCGCCTCGCCCACATCTCGCGTCTCCTCGTGATGACGCTCGCACGAGGCATTGGCCCACTTGCTGCAACATTTGCACCTCATGGGCTGCAAAGGCAGACGCTGCGACCACACGATCGTCGGCCAGAGGTTCGACGCGTTTGCACGGGAGTTCACAGGCAGCTGTCGGTTGCAATGCCGCCACAAATGCAGCAAAGTACGTGGCGAGCGCGCTGCATGTTGCAGCCTCTTGATCATTGCTCGGGGGCTTGTATTTGAAGCGGAATACACAGTTCAACAGGTGCTCGTCCATTCGCGCGGCGTTTTCTTATCCGTTTGTTGGCGGTGGTCCACGAGGTAAATGCGCAACTGGGGAGAGAGACACAGCAGCAGCAGCAGCTCGTGCGTGTGCTGGTGCAACGGGATGTCGTTGGCAGAACGTTCCGTCGCTTGCGCTCGTGCGAGGCCGTTGCTGTCGCGCCGGGCGGCAGCGGCTCACCATTGGACCGTGTTATTGCTCCAGCGAGTTGACAGATAGCGACGTGAGCAATGGCAGCCAATCAGAAGACGTCCATTGGCTGTTCACGCAAATGCAGCCAATCAGAAGAGTCCATTGGCTGTTCACGCAAATGCAGCCAATCACTACGCGTTGTTTGCCAATCAAGCGATTCCAAGTGTGCGATCGGGCTGAGGGGCACCGTGATCGGACTTAGGGCAGGTCGTCGTGACACACCAGTGACACACATCGCACCTGCCAGCCACGGCCGCGTCAACACGTCAGTATGCTCCGCGCGGTCGTGACAGCTGCTGCGACGCGCGAGTGCGCTGCTGTCGGCGGCATGCACGTCCAGAGCGTGCGGTGGATGGGCCGTGGCCCGACGATCCAAGGCAAGAAAACTGCCACGGACGCGGTACGTGCGTGGCCGCAGTGGGCGTATACACGTCGCCACGATGCGGTGTATACATTTGTGTACGACGCTATGATTGGACAAAATCACGTGACCATGGCAACGAAAACGATAGAAACGCACGGCCACCAACGCGAAACTCGCCCGCGAGATTATGGTCATTTCTAAATGTACGGAGCATCAAAGCTGATACTAAGGTGATAATGGCATGTACTGACATAAGGGTGTTGTGTGTCGTAGCGGTGGCAGGAGACGTGAACAATGTCGTGCGTAGATGGATCATGTAGCTGGGTCAATGGACGATGCAACAGCGGGCGAGCAAACGTACTGCGGCTGCTGTGTCGCTGCTTTTCTAACGACTTGCAACTGATGTCGAGCAGAGGCTTCTGGCTGCAGTAAACAAAGCAAAAGCGGTCAACATGCCGAAAGAAAAGATCGAGGCGGCGATTAAGCGTGGCGTCGAGGGCAAAGACGGTACGCGTGTGGTACCATGCAGCTCGCTGGTCATCGAGTGGGTCTGCTGGCCGCATCGTAGTAACTCGTGTGTATATGTGTGCAGGCAGCAACGCTGAGGCAGTACTGTACGAAGCTTCGGGTCCCGCTGGGAGCGCGCTGATGGTGGGGCTGGAAATGATTGGGACGCTGTGCAGCACAGTCGTTCTCATGTTGTTGCACTCTCTTTGATGTGTGCTCGTAGATCGAGACGCTCACAGACAACAAGCGCAGGACAGCACCTGCACTGCGCCACATTTTGAGCAAATTTGGCGGTGTGTTGGGCACTAATGGCTCTGTGTCGTGGATGTTTGAGCGCAAGGGCTACCTCGAGGTATGACTGTTGCTGGTCCGGCATACAGCGAGCAACGGGTCCTAACGATGTGTTTGCTGCTTGATAGATTGAGCTGCCGGTGGCGACTAGTGACAAGCCGGAGATTGACGAAGATATTCTCATGGAGATCGCGGTGCGTTCGGGCACAAGTTGGTCGAGTTTCCTATCTTTGTTTCGTAACCGACACTTGTTGCTGATGTACGTGGACCATTGTATGGCTGGTTGGTTAGCTTGACGCAGGAGCGGACGACGTCGAGATGCGTGAGGGCCTGGCACAAGTCACGTGCGGTCCCAGTGGCTTAGCTTCTGTGCGCGACGGTTTCGCCAAGGCCGGACTTGAGCCGACTATCTGTGAGCTCGTGTACAATCCGAAGGAGTTCTTGGATCTGGAAACTGAGCATCGGGAGACCTTCGACAAGCTCGTTGACGCTCTCAGCGAAGACGACGACGTAAGCCAAATACACCACAACATCAACGAGTGAGTCTGCTACAGCTGACGGGCATCACAAATCGAGTGGTGTACAAGGGAAGTCATGTTGTAGTTGCAAGCGGCGAAAGAAGCGCGTTCCAGGTCTCGATATTCATACTGTTCTCCTTCCAATAGATACGCTGCTGACTTACCCAACATCCGTGTCAAGTGCTCCTTCCACTTTCCTCCTCAAAGATCGGAAAACGACATGCGCTTGTCACTCCTGAGCGCCGAAAACGTCAGCGGATCTGACTGTACATCGTCAATATCTGCACCAAAACCTGGACGTGCAGAAGCCTCGACACTGTACGCAGCAGCATCAGATGCTAAGCCCAGTTGTTCCATCGGGAACGCTCCAACGACGTCCTCCGCGCGGACAACATCGCGCTTGCTCACTAACTGGACAGCATCGACGATCTCGTCTGGGCTATCATAGCCGTCGTCGTCCTCCTCTTCCGACTCGACTTCAAACTCGCGGCACATCACGTCCGGGTTGAACGAAACACGCCGACCGCAAGCCCGGTTTTCCTTCCTCTTTTTCTGGATCTCCATCAGCGCAGCAAACGACATGTGTTCGTCCCTGAACTCGAGTGGAACGCGATTGCGCGCTTCCCGGATCTTCCGCGCCAAATCCGCAGCCTTCTGTTCTTCTGCTGTAAGGCGCGCATGCCGCACCGCGCGCTTGCGGTTCACCAGGCCACTTGCACCTGATCGTCGAGAGAGTTGGCCCTTAAAGCCGCCTACGAAATCCGCCACGCTCGTTGCGCCCGACGACACGCGTACACGACCAGCAAAGTCGGGCGAGTTCACATCCGGTATGCCGTCCTCGCCGCCCGCGACGGCCTCCTCCTGCTCCTCATCAAGCTCGCGCTCGCAGTCATCCTCACAATCGCGTCCATCGTCCTCATCGAGCCCACGCGGCTTCGCCCGCACCAAATCCACATTCCGCACGTTCCGGAACGACTGACACAACGGGTTGTCCTGTTCGTCATACGCGTCGGGTTCCAAAGGCGGCGCGGGCACCTCCTTCTTCGGCACGAGTCGCGGCAGCGCTTTCGCTGTCATATTGTCCTGCCTTGCGGTACTGGGGGCACCCACGAGACCCGGCGAGACCAGCGACGAGCGCTCGCGTTCACCACTACTACTGCTGTTATCGCTGTCGTTCGTAGACGCTGGCGAACCTGCCGCCCCGTCCACTTGTGCCTTCTCTCGTCCGTGTCGAGTCGTTTTGCTCACCACCGGCGGCACTTCGCAGCTCGCGTCCGCGCGACTGCGGTCCACTTGGCCCAAACTCGACATGAAACTCTCCCGTTCGCTCGCTGGCCACGCCACTGCAGCGTCTGCTACGCCTCGCGCAGCGTCATCCGCAGTAACAGCAACAGCAGCTGCCTCAGCAACAGCGCTCGCTTTCGGCTCTCGCTTCTTGCGCACGGGGAAGCCACACAACGACCGCAGCGTCTCGGGTCGTCGCTTTCCGTCTCCGTCCGACCCAACTGCAGCGGTCGGTCCCCGCGGCAGCGTCTGTTCGCCGTCCGAGCGCCGCGTCGCTTGCGACACCTGCTGCTCGCCGGCGACGGGTTCTTCGCTCAAGTCCGACTGTCGCCCGCGCCCGCGGCGCTTTGCGCGCACCGAGCGGAGAAACAGCTGCCCAATGGCCGAGTTCTCAAAGTACTTGTGGCCGTCGGACGCGGCCACGTACGGCGTGCCGTCGACCGCGTGCTCGACGACGTACGTCACGTTGGGCTGGAGCGGCGTCGTGTCGACAATGTTGTTCAGCGCTTTGGTCTGTCCACTCAGCACTTCGGTCAGCACGTGCGACAGCGACGACACGACGGGCGCGGGCCGCGGCGTGTCGTAGCACGGGCACAGGCCCTCGCGTGCAACGGCCGCGTCGACGGCCTCGACGGGCGCTGCCCCGCGCCACGCGTGCGTCAAGTGGCGCCGCGAGAACGACAGCTCGTAGGTCGTCTTGCCCGCCTTGACAAAACGGCGCCGCGGGCGCACGCGCACGGGCGGACCGGGGAAGCCGTCGACCGGGTCGAGCTCCAGCACGTCGCCGTCGCTGTCGCTGTCGCTGTCGTGGACGTTGGTCGTGTCGGCAGTGTCTCTGCTGCGGTGCAACAGGCGGTCCCGCGGGCGGCGCGCGCCGGCAAAGAGTTGTTGCGCGTTCATCGCCAACATGCGCAGCGGCGGCGGCGGCAAGCGGCGGAGCGCGCGGCTGATTGGTCAATCCGTCGGTCGATCGAGAAGCGCGCGCCCAAAGGGAAACGCGGGACGTGGAAAGGGCTGCTTTCGCTTCTTTTGCGCGCGCGCAAAAAGCGCTGGAAAGGAAATGCGTGTACGAGACGAGACGCACCGAGCGACAGGGGGGGAGAGCGAGGGCGATGCGTGTGGGATTGAGACCTCGTGCGACCGACGCGTGCGGCGCACGACTGCAGAGAGCGAGTCGGGGCCCGTGGGGTCTTTTGGTTGTACTGGATGCTGCTGCCTGCACCAGTCTGTTTTATTCGAGACGGAGAGCACGCAGTCAGTCGACGCGTTGTGGACGACGACAAGTCCGTCCCGGCTGCTTTTCACGTGATGTGTTGGTGTGCACGCGATAGGACACGCCGTGTTGAACTGGGGGTTGCTCCTCGAACGCAAAAAAAGGCCACCACCAGTCGCACTTGGCGATGGCTCCACCAGATCCTCTGCCAGAAAGCTGCAAGGGGTCTTCACTAAAACCCCATACAGTGCGCTTCGTATCCTAAGCGTCGCAGTCGCCCGCTGTGTCGTAACTGAGCTCCTCGCACACGAGCCGGTAAGGCGGACCGGCGGTCGTACCCGCACAGTGGTTCCAATCGAGCCGATTGTGGTATACACGTTGTCGGTCACCAGCAGCTAATCGTAATCACGCAAAACAACAGCGTAGCATAGCACGGCGTTGCATTGCACACAAGGAGCAACGTAGTTCCGCCATCTGTTGTGCAATCTCCAACGCGGAACGTCCAGCGCTGCTTGTCGCACTAAATGCGGTTCTACAACGCAGCAATGAATGCGCGGGGCGCCCGCGTGTCTCCCCTCTCTTTACTGACGGTCACTCTTGTCGGCCAATCCACTCGCTCGAGTGACAGCCCGGCACTAACGATCCGCCGAGCAGACGCTTGGCCATGAGCGCTCCGGTCTCGTCGCCTCCGCGCGCGTCAGCGCCTCAGAGCACGCGCATGACCGCGTCCGGTGCTCCGTCTTCATCGGCAGCTGCGTCTCCGTCTTCTCCGCTTCGCAACGGCCTCAAGAGCGACGCAGAAGACGTCGTGGGTCAAGAACTCATCCAATGGCTCGAAGCCAATGCGGCGGATTCCAAGAAACTCGTTCTAAAAGAGTACGCGCCGGAAGTTCGCGGCGTCCATAGCCGCAAAGTGCTCGTGCCGGGCGAGCGCATCCTCGTGATCCCCAAGAAGTGCCTCATAACGGTCGAAATGGGCAAACAGACGGCCATTGGGCGCGAATTACTCGCTCGGAACGTGGAGTTTGTCGCGCCAAAGCACATTTACCTTTTGCTGTTCCTCCTCACGGATATGGAGCGCCTGGAGACGTCGTTTTTTCGCAATTACTACAGCACTTTGCCCCGTACGCTGCGAAACATGCCCATCTTTTGGTCGGACGAAGAGCTCCAGTGGCTCAAAGGCTCGTACATTATCCAGCAAATCCAAGAGCGCAAAGCTGCGATCCGGAAAGACTATGACGTCATTTGCCGCGTCGACCCGTCGTTCGCTCGGTTCTCGCTCGACCGCTTTAGCTGGGCCCGGATGATCGTGTGCAGTCGCAACTTTGGCTTGACCATTGATGGCGTCAAGACCGCGGCGCTCGTGCCGTTTGCAGACATGCTGAACCACTACCGGCCACGCGAAACGAGCTGGACGTTTGATCAGAGCATCGATGCGTTCACGATCACGTCGCTCGGCACGATTGGGGCTGGGGCACAAGTGTATGACTCGTACGGCAAAAAGTGCAACCACCGCTTTTTGCTCAACTATGGCTTTGCCGTCGAGGACAATACCGAAGAAGACGGACGTAACCCGAACGAGGTGCTGATTGATTTCCAGCTCTCGCCTGCAGATGGACAGCTTTTCTACGACAAGCGAGCATACCTCCACGAGAGCGGCATTTTTACGATGGACGCACGTCTGAGCTGCTCGCATTCGGATGCCAATACGCGCGAAGGCTTTAGTTTTGCGCGCTTGATTGTTGCTACGGAGGAGGAGTTCTCATTGATGAAGAGGAAGAGCCCAGCGCACTCGTCGCCGCCTATATCGTTTGAGAATGAAATCCGCGTGCTCCAGTACTTGCGCACGCTGATGACCCATCAACTTGGTCTCTACGACACTACTATCGAAGAGGACAACGAGCTGCTAGCATCAAAGCAGCATCCGCTGTTCTCGAACCGCATTCAGGCTCTGTTCTTCATTCGCGGTGAGAAACAGGTGTGCCGATATTTCCAGGAGCTAGCAGACAAAGTCATTCCGCTGTTCAGCCTACCACTGACAGAATGTCGCGAGGAATTGCAGCGCAGTTTCGATGGTGATAGTGATGTCGACCGCTACGCGCAAGACGTGATTGCGTATTTAGTCACGCAAGTTTACCGCGAAAGCTAGTGGGAAGGTGGTGTATGGCGATTTTTTCGCTCTCTCGGTGCTCTGGACGTTGTTGATATGCGGACGAAGCGTGGTGAGGCTTGACGCACTTGGAACGCGACAGCATGACTTTGGTCGCTTGCTTATTCTAGGCAAGAGCGATGTGGCGTCAGTGTCCTGAAGTCATTGAGGCAGAGAATGCTCGTTAGGGATAAAGTTAGAAGACAGGACAACAACGGTATGTACTGCAGCTGTGTCTTGCTGAGCAAATGTATTCTTGCACTGCTTGCCCGCATATTTTTGTGCTTGCTATCACTCCTCGTCTTCTTGCTCATAGAGAAAGTCAAGGCTGACAAGATAGCGCAACTTCACTTGCTCCTGGCGATACACGATAAACTCGTTGTAGAGCAGTGCGCCGTCGCTTTCGGAAGGCTCAAATTCGCCGACAGGAACCACAACGTCGTGATCACTACAACAGACCAAAAGCATTGAGCGTGTCAAAAGGTTGGCAGGCACTGCTATGTCAGGTGATGATGCGTATCGTGTACGAAAGCGTACATGGTCTCGTAGCCTTTGACGGGAGCAGCCATTCGACCGACGCCTAACGTGCTGTCGCAACGTTTGGATTTCTGCAACGTGGTGTATGTCAAATCTTCCGCTTCTCGTGCTAGGTACGTCGTTCCCAAAGCCACTTCCGCCAAGATGAGCACACCCTGCAAGCAACAGGTCGAGTGAGTTTGCCTTGTCATGCGAAGAGTACCTCATTGTGTGTGTACCTTTGGGTTCTGTGGCGATGCCCAGCAATAGTTTGCAGACTTGGACACCGAGTCAGCAAAGTAGATCTGTAAGCATTGCATTGCCCGACCCCATGAGTACAACGTGCATCGATTGTATGTGTTTTGCAATTGTAGACCTCATTCTGACGTACTCCTTTGCCAAACATGTACCCGTTGTTGGGGGCTTCAGGTGGAGCAACACGAAGTCCTTTTGACAAAATGCCCACGACGTTCGACAAACGAGATCCGTGCCATAGCAACTACACATGACAAAGGCGAATTGAGATCGCACTGCAACATACATACACTGACATTCTCCTGCTGTAGTGTTGACATATACCATGTGGTTGTCCACGGACTTGAAAACGTCTGCATACTTCTCTTCGTCTGGACGCAAAATCGCCACAACCGAATTGATGCGCAGCTTGTACTGCACATGAGTCGGAGCATGCGTCGTCTTCACATATCTACAGTCAAAACGTCAGTCGAACAACCGGTTCGATGCGGCGATCCCAAAACACATCACATACTTTTCAATGATCTTGAACTCGTCAGTCGATTCAGATAACGGATCCATTCGGATGTTCAACAGGTTGTACTGCACATCAAGAGAGTTCAACTTGGTACCGTCACGAGTCTTTGCGTTCTTCTTCTTCTCAGCCTGCAGCTTTTGCGAAATCTCAATGTCCGCGAGCACTTCGAGCAAGTCGATCTTCAGCTTCACTTCGTCCAGGGAATCGATTGCAGGCGGCAACTTTCGCCCAAAGTCGTGTGGAATGAGCGTGTAGAAGTCGCTCGAGAGCGTCTTGAGACTGTTTTTCAAGCGACGGATTTGAGCAGCATGCGGGGTGGCCGGTTGCTTGACTCGAGCAGATCGACGCGTTTTCGGTCGCTGTCCTCGTTCTGCTTCATCTGCGTTTGCAACGGCCCTGCTCAGATCTTCGATTTCCTTGAGTGCTGCTGATAGCTGTTGCAGTAAAGCATACCCCTGCGAGATTTGACGCGTTGACAGCTTGCCTGGTCACGCCAACGAGTTGCATAGTGTCAGCACCGTCAAACCTCAATGGCATTGGACTGAGCGTCCGACTACAGACCTAAGGGGAGTCGCTCCAAGTCGAGGTTCATGTTTGCTACTTCTTGTGCGATCAAATCGGCATCACAAATGAGCTGCAGACACAACCAGTAAAAGACTCGTTGTCAACCAGCAGCAAAGAGCATCTGGAGAACTGTTTGTCGAACATGCCTTTACGACGCCTTGAACAGTCTCATGCAACGTTGACAGCACTTCTTCCTCTTCTTCTTCCTCTGCGCCCGCTTCTTCGTCCTTTTCGTCCACTGGCGCTTTGTCATCCAGCTCTGAAAAAACAACAACGAGAGCAGCTCGTAAGTCTTCTAGCGACGCGTAATCATGAGCACCATTGCCATCATCACGCACCGACAAGCACATACTTTCCGCTCACGTTTCTGAACGGTCCCGTCAGTGGCCATTCATTCCCGCTCTTGTCCAGGAACTTCTTCGCAAACGATGCCTGTGCTTTCTCCAAAGCCGTGTTATAATCTTCCAGAGCTCGCTATCGAAGCAGCCGTCACCAGATCGTTCGCGTCAAATAATCGTGCAACTTGTCCAGTCCGAACATCTTCATTTTTCACGTCAAAGAACACACATCGTACAGTTTCCTCCTTACCTGCGGCGTTTTCGCTCCAACTCGTCCCCATTTGCGAAAGATCATGTACTTGGAGCCGTCCTGGATCAGCTGCATCATGTAAAACTTGTTGTTGCTGCATCGTACCAGCTCATGACTCTATCATTAGGTCATGTTGCAACGGCTGTGATTCGGATTGAAACACATACAAGTGCAACAAGACGTACCCATACGTGCCGAACGAGAGGTTGGTATAGTTCAGCAGAAAACTCCATCGAACGCCATTGACGTCCTACTCGATCCGCCAAATCGACACGTCAGATACCATAGAACGGCCGGACCCGTCTCCATCAAGTTGAAGTATTACGTGAAGCTCGAGGTGTACCTGGTAAACAGTGGCCGAATCATTCACGCAGCCACTGAGCGGGTCCACGCACGTTGCGACATTTAGAGATCCCATTGTTTCGACCCGTTCTGTCGCGACAGTTACTTCGGTGGTTGGTTGGCTGTGCTTCGTTTGGCCCGTTGACCGAATACTATGGACGACCAAACACAAACGGAACAGGGCGGCAAGTCGGCATTCAGTTGCTGGTACCGGCACACTACAATGGTCTCGTTTGTCTCAGCTAATGCAACGTGTTACTAGTACATAGCAAATAGGTAGCGCAAGTGAATCTGCTCGTAGCGGTACACAACAAAATCATTGTACAGCAACTGCTGGTCGCCATTGACGGACTCAGCGACCACCCGCTGATACGACCACTTCGTCCTCTAACATCTCAAACTCGTGCTCTGCTGGTGCCATGCGGTCAAAAATCGTGCGTAATTGTTACATGCCGAGCTCATTCTTGACTCGGCGGTAGTCGAACAACTCGCCAGACAGTGTCTTGAACGGCGGGCCGAGCGCTACATCAGCGAGCAAAAGCATCGCCTGCAAGGCACGAGCCAAAACGTTAGTGACAGCGAATGATGCACTGGCTGGAGTCGACCATACGGTCGGAGTTGGAGATGTTGTGTAGCACTAGTTTGCCGATTTCGCCAAAGCATTGGCAAAGCAGAGCTACGCAAGGACATGCGAGCTGTAAACAATGCATCATAGGCGTTGACGTTGACATTGACCACACGAGTGTTACTCCTTTACCAAACTGGTCCCCGATTTTTGACGCCTCAGGCGGAGCAATGCGTAGTTATTGGGATAGAATGCAAACATGGTTTGAGCCATATTTACAATAGAGTGCGATGGACACGTCACTATACCATGTGTTGATTGTCAAGAGATCGGAGTCCTCGCTTGTGGGAGTACGCCTCCGGTCGATCAATTCCTGTTGATTGTTGTCTTGCTCCCTGCATTCGTCTTGTTGATGAACCCGCTCGCCACACAACCACACATGCGAGTCAGTGGATGCCCGTGCAATACCTGTGGCACTACTCACTCCCTGCAACGCATGGTCTACTCTTGCAATGATCGTAAACCCCCCATTCGTGTTTGCTCAGTAACTCCATGTTGATGTTCAGCTTGTTCTAGTGGAGATCGAGAGGATGAAGAACAGGTCCAGCTACGTCTCTTGACTCTTCGATCTGCAGCGTCTGCGAGATTTTCAGATTCAACAGCACTGATAGTACTTCGAGCTGCAGCTTTATATCTGCTGTCGTAGCAATCGACGGGGGTAGCGACCGACCGACCGAAATCTTGCGATGAGCGCCTAGAAAGTCGCCTGGCAGCGTCTTGATATCGTCTCTGAGCCTCGTCAGACTTTGGCTTGTGGTTGCAAGAGGCCCTGTCGTCTTGACCCTTCCTTTCCGTCTGCTATTCAAGCCGGCTCGGTCGCCTTCACTTGCACCGCTGTCAACTCTGCAATCTTTTCTACGGTAGCAGATATGCGCTGCAGACTCACGCAGCCCATCGATATCTATGCTTTCGACAACTTCTTGCAACTCTTATAGCAGTATGTGCAGAACAATGAGCGAAAGACTATCACACACTCTTTTTGCTAGTCAGCCAACCCATCGACCAGGAAGCGCACGAGATCCACGATCAAACGAGCCATTTCTCGAGCAACCACTTCTGGATCGCAGATGAGCAGTATGTGAACCAAGTTGATGCAGTCAGCTATAGAGCAACACTTCGAGCATCTCAAACAATCCTTCGCGTAGCATAAAGCAGCTGTAAGAGGCCTCTTACTTGCACATGACGATCAAGTAATTGTCTGTACAGTGATGTTGATCACTGCCTAACAGGAATCGCGCAAGTGGTCCTGACTATATCGCATGTTAGCACTGCACCCCTGTGAAAGGGCGAGATCATGATCGTAGTTCACGCTGATCGAATTTGGTCGACGATCGACAATCGGATACTTGATGCCTCACAAGAAACGTATCTGAGTTATCCATCTGGTTTGTCTCACAACCGTCGCACGACGTTATAGTCATGAGTCATGCTGACGTTGCACCACAGAGAGCACATTCGTGAGAGAAACGTATAGCTGATGATGCTAATCTTGTACTTGTCTTGACCGATCCTGCTCTATCACACACCCTGAAGTTACTCATTTACCGAGCATGCCATCATAAAATACACAATGGCGAACATAACGTTCCGGTCCGACAAAACTTGCAAGTAGGGCACGAACGTCTGTCACACTATTTTTTTGGCGGCAGACATCTTGATTTCAGAGCTTGTTAGGAACATGCCGGCAATCTTCGATTGCAGTCAAATGACTCAAGCGGGGGATTGGTTTACACGCTAAAGCAAAGCAATGGTGTTGTCGAGTATTTGGCCTGCATCGGGGCCCCCAAAAAATACAGAGAGAAAGAGAGCTTAAGCTCCCCAGTCAACACGCATTCATTCGATGCTTCGCTTACTAGTCTAAACATGCAACACCTCTGTCAAATGCCATGATGTCTTGAGAAAATCGCGTATATTGCCGCTGACGTTGCTGTGTCTTCTACATTTCTAGACTTCAGTGTCGAGTGTCCAGTCCGCATTAGCCCGTTGTTGTCAAGTAGACGTCCCGACAAGCTCTTTTCTTTCCAGCAACCGTTCAGGTGTTGCGAGATGACATGTGTCCACACGGATCTGATAGATTGAAGTCGGCCTAAGCTCTGCCACGAAAGACGACAGAGTGTTAATGAAGCGAAAAATATGGTGACCTTCGATCCCACATCACCGTCGTTTTGGCTAGCCTACACGCGTGGCTGTACTGCAATCATTCTCTGCTCATTGACCACAATTTGTCGCGTAGCTTGGCTTTGTCTTGTTCACTGAAGAGTATCCAAGGGGTGAGACCACCGTGTTGAGCCAAACTCGTTGTACCTTGGTAGATATATCAATGAGGTCAATGTAGCCTACTGGCTTTACAATCAAACCTGAACGATTAGTTCCACCCCACCAATTTCGCGACGCAACCAAAGGCTGAGCGTGGGCGCATGTTAGCAGTGCGCACTCCCCGTTCTCTTGGATATCGAACGTGGCATCTTTTGGGTCATGCATGCTCGTTGAAACGCAGCGAGTGTGCACGCTCGACAAACGAATCTCTACTTACCTCTGATCCATTGCCGCTCCCCTTGAGCCAACATTTAGTCGATTTTCTTCTCCAAGGCAAGTTTCGATGCTACGATTGTGCATCCCACGAAGTACTACGTTTGGTCCACGACCGCGTCCCACGTGGGATCCTTTTGTTGGTATTCCGAATCCAGATGGCCAGACAAAACGGCTCTAGTGCCGACACCTTGTGATGATGTATACCTCTGTGTCTAAACTCGACGCTCGCTCGCTGCCGCGTGCTGCTGAGACCGACGTTTTCGGGTGACCTCGCACATGGTATTCGTGGAAAGTGCCTTCAGAACATGCCCAAAGTACTCGTTCAACCCGAAAAGTGTCCATGTTTGTCTACACCTCGACTGGATCAGGATCAGTCGCAGATAACGTGCCGCAAGTCATCCATCACCTTTAGGACATCGAGCACATACTCTGGCATTACTTGGGTCTCATAGCTTGAATGAGTCGAGTCTTGTGAGCGTACGTGCTTGATACGTTTGTGGACCGAGTACAGATAATTGCAGTAAGCTTCAAGCGTTTTGGTAGACGCACTTTTCTTAGTGACCACGTGCGTTGGCCGCGTTGCTCACGATTTATGAACCAAGTAGATAGTCGAAGAGCAATAGAGCAGCCAGAGTCATCTGATGGTCCTCTAGTTAGACACGTACAGATAGCTTCTTCATCACTTGGGCACACGAAGGACACCTCCTTTCACTGTACATTCCGCTTGATAGGGCCATCAGAAGTAGACTTGCACCAAGACACGATCATGCCTGAGTCACTCATCGATGGCGCGGCCTCGACAGCGGCTATCGTACCTGAGCCTACAACTCCGATTGCTGCAGCGAACCCAGGCGAAAACAGACCAGGTTCGTTAAGAGCGACTCCGATGCCGCCACGAGGACCGAACGTTGCAAACGTCCTTCGTGCGCCGACACTTGCTGTAGATCATTCTTTGAACCATGCACAAGGACATAGCATCTCTCCTGTTGTGGAGGAAGTATCGCTACCCTCTGGAGATGACGGACCGTTCAGCGCCAACCGCAACAGCGACATAGACAGTCAACAGAACTCCAGATCAATCTACAACACTGTCGACAACCACAACAACAGCAACAACAATGACAAGGCCATTCATAGTCGACGTAACTCCACATCAAACAACAGTAACAACACCAACACCAGCACCAACAACAGTCACGGCTCTGTGGATCAGGAAGAAACGGCAGGCGGAAGTACGTATCATATTGCTTTTCACACTCACCTTGATCTCGCTAAGCTGTTTTTCGTTCACAGGTTTGAGCGTCGGAGTCATTGTCGGCCTCACGCTTTCGTGTGCAGTGATCCTAACACTGTTGTTAGCACTACTTTGGTGCTGTAAACGAAAGCGTCGGCGTTCCAAGTCACAGCTGAGCATGCTCATGACGACAGCGAACACCGATTCTCCATCTCAAGGACCGATCGTAACCACGTATGCTCCTTTTCAATTCAATCGTCTGGAAAACAGCACCTCACATCATTCATCCGCAGCACTGACGATGTGGGAAGATGAGGAGGTTGCTGCGATCCGTATTCCTTTCGAGAAGATAACTTCGACGAAGCTCATAAGCTACGGGGGAAACGGGCAAGTATACCTCGGCACATATTGCGGCGACCAAGTGGCAGTAAAGCGCTTACTTCCTGATAAACGGAAGAAGTTGCAAGAGGTCAATACCTTTCTCGCGGAGATCAAGATGATGGCGAGTGTCGAGCACCCGCGCATCGTGCGCTTTATCGGCGCAGCATGGGATTCTCTCACGGACCTCTGTGCTGTATCGGAGTTCATGCACGGTGGTGACTTGCACTCGTTGCTGAAGCGATTCGAAGAGTTTGAGAAACGGCCGCACGGATTTGACTATGACAAGGCTCGCATCGCTCTCCAAGTAGCTCATGCGTTAGTGTATTTGCACTCCCTCGCTCCAACAGTTCTTCATCGCAACCTCAAGTCCATGAATATCCTGCTGTCGTCCAAGCTAGAAGCAAAGATCACGGACTTTGGGATGGCAAGGCAGTGGAACGTCGACACGATGACTGCCGATGTGAGCACCGCATTGTGGATGGCGCCTGAGGTCGTGATGGGTGAACGCTACGATGCAAGTGCCGATATCTTCTCGTTCGGCGTCGTTCTGTCCGAGCTGGACTCGCACTTGCTGCCGTATCGCGACACGTTGTTTGTGAACGGGCAGCAGACGTCCAACGTTGCGATATTGACGATGCTCACATCGGGTCAGCAAAGACGTATCAACTTTTCATCCAGCGTTCCATCAGAACTTGTGAACTTAGGTCAGACGTGCGTCGACCTGGACCCCAAAGCACGTCCGAGTGCCAGTGAGCTGCTTTACCGACTGCAGACTATCTTTCGGATGTACGAGATCTACACTATCGGATACAACAAGTCTTAGCGTGGCACGGCGCATACATATATGTGGCCTGTCCCAAGTGACTTTACCTGCTCACCAACGTCAGTGCAATACGCGTCATGCAGCAAAAGACTCTCAACTCTCGATTGTTTGTGCCTCGCCGGCACAAAAGCAGCAGACTGTCTGATAGAATGGAGCTTCTATCTGGCAAGGCCAGCCCAATATGGTAAGCTTAGGCGCAATTGCTACCCAGCTTGAACTATTCCGGGTGCCGATGCAAACCTTTAGGTAATGCGTAACGATCTACTGTGTGGAGCGTTGGCAAGCGCAGTAAATTTACGATACTGGTCAAATGCTTTGTACCGGTCGGGCCATTCGCACGTCGATGTAGCAGAGACGAGCTCTTTAAAACGCCAAACTAACGACGTCGCGAATAGCGTCGGCAAGTGCCGTTTTGATGTCATAAGTCAAGAAGGTCTCATATTGTATTTGTCGATGATGACACGAGTGCGGGCAGAAACGTTATTTAGCGTTTTTATGCGCCGATTGCGAGAGGGGGGCACGCTAATCATGTGTTTGTTGTGTCGAGGCGACGAGACAGCCTGATACAAAATGCAACAGAGTCAGCCCATCACATGTCGTTGACACCAAATTAGGTCCATCTGAATAATAGCTGGATTGCTTTTATGCTCCAGTGAATGTCTTATTAAGTACGAATGATTGGAACATTACATTCATTGGTACCATTTAACCCTGCTCCACTTATTGGTTGAATTTGCCCATTATATCGCCAACTAAGCCACTGACTGTTGTATGGACCGCGCAATGAGTGGTGCGCAAATCAATAGCACGCATAATTATGGGATCATTTAGTCAACAAAAGAGATCAAAATATCTTGTTTTGAGATAGACGCGTATCAGGAAAAGTAGTTTTGTATTCGAATGAAGTTGTCTTGTTCAAGTGACTGCGCTTTTCATTAACAGTATCGTAGACACGAGTCGCAAAGCATTTTTTGCACATTGAACTGTGTAGGCTCCCATGCCTCGTCATCGGCGTAATCGCGAGGTGCATCATCGCATATGTGTGGTGCTTATCGATCATCTGTGACAAACGCCCGCAATTCTCTCGCAGGACGTAAAGCAGACGACGACGATATAGCTCTATTAGTAAAAGTCGCATGTTTGGATTAGCGTATGAACATTAAGTCTTCAGTATAGAAGGCAGATGCGTTTGCTACTTTCTTGCCTATCCAGTCTACATCTGGTAAGTGAGTTTGTGCTGCAGCTCTTGACTGCATAGCTACACTGTTCTCGACACTAGTATTGTACGCGCTCTTCGCTTGACCGATGATTTCTTGCGCATTTGTGCAGTACTGCATTCACTCTGGATGTTAACGTACGCTCCATTCATATCGATTTTCTAGCGCACAATGCAATGTTGCCACAAATGACACCAAAGGCTCTGTATGGCTCGAGAAATAAGGAGGCGCTGGAAGTTTGCCGGGACCTCTTTGTCGCAGTGTCACATAAGAAGGGACACTGTTTTTTATACGTTCCTAGTAGTGCTAAAAAGGGGACAAACATCATGCGGCTACATTGCAAGCAGGTCAAAAGATACGCAGTCGGTGATCATGCCATTCGGTTGGCACAAACATGTCAACGAGTAATGAAACCTTTGCAAGCACGACCGAGTGTGTAAGAGACCGTCCTTTTGCATGCAATGTCGACATGGTAAACCCGTTGACAGTCACGTGCGCACGACAGTGTTTACTTGACCATAAACAAGAGCTCGGCTCGACTCGATGCAGCGGCGAGCTCAGCAAAACATTTCTGTAACAACAACAACAACTGAAAACGCACTTCATGGAGCGAGACATATGTCTCACAAACACGAGTCTGTCAGCCGCGCACATAATGGGAACACGTCTACGCCACGAAGTTCTACTATCCATCGCATTTCCATCGCCATTCCATCACTTACTGTCATCTCTGCTGCAACAAACTGAATAATAGCGACCACTTCCACACGCGCTCGCTCTGTCTCTTTCTCCCACATACTAAGCACAATATCTCTGTTCAGCCGTGTGCTGACCCTGTCAGCCGTAGCCATGTGTGAAAAAAACTGTAGCCATATCTTCGACCCTCTCGATCGTTTTCGCATCGAAGATGTACTGTGCCTCTCCTTCTAAGTGCGATTCAGACCAACGCAGTAGAACACAGAACAAACTTCATGGACGACACTGGACGCGACGAAGCGTCGTCTTTGAGCGACCAGGAGCGCGCGACGGACACGCCGCTGCCGCTGCCACGCACACCCATCGACGCCGGCGCGTCTGGTGCACTGAGCGAACCCTTTCCGACTCGCCACAGCGTCGTCGTTGCGCCAGGAGAGACCTTACTCCTCGACCTATCATCGTCGAGCGCCACGGGTCTGTCTGTCGCGGCAGCGCGGCCGCTCGTGCTACAAGGCACGCCGGCGTTAAAGATGTCGCAGACGTCTCCAGCCCACACTACTGCTCGAAAACGCCGTCAAAGTAGCGGTAATGGGCCGCCGGAGGTGCGGCAAACGTCGTTAGAGCGACCGCTGCTGTCGAACTCGCAGTGGGAGCGCGAGATTGCGGGCTTTGGCTCCGTGCTCAACGACGTGCTCCACTGCGTCACGAACCGGGAGCTCGTGGCTAAGACAGCCGAGTACATGGCGTCGTTCCCGCAGCACGCGCGGCGGTTCCAGATCAAGATGAAGCAGGTACCAATAAAGGACCGGCAGCAGCAGCAGCTTAAGCCACTCATTATCCCTTTGTGTTAAACCGCCACGGCCGCTACTTTCTAACCGCAGACGCACATACGCCACAGGCTCCATCTAGTCACTCAATCAGTCACGCAGTTACGCACTTACTATTGCTACTACACCTACTGCCGTCGCTACACATGGAGGATGCCAATGATGGGAAGGAGGGTTTTGGCATTGTAGGGGGTAGTATAGGTCTATATCTATATGTTTCGTGGATGTATAGTGCACGTGTGTATTGCTGTCTGTGTTCATGCGTGGCTGGAGAGGTGGAGTGGTGCTGATGGTAGTTGTTGTTGTGGCGGTGGCGAGTATAATAGAATCGATGTCTCGTCGTAGTCTACTGTTTCTACGCTTGCAACCATTGTCGTGTTTACTCAACTAACATCTCTTGTGTTTGTCTATCTGTTTGCCTGTCTTCTGTCTGTCTTCTTCTTCTTCTTCTGTCTGTCTGTCTGTCTTCTCTCTGTCTGTCTGTCTGTCTGTCTGTCTGTCTATCTGTCTGTCTGTTTGCCTGTCTGTCTGTCCGTGTGTCTGTATAGCGAGCTCATGCTGAGAAAGCGCGGGGATTCCAGGCCAAGTTGATGCTGTTCTACGTGCTACATGAGTTTCTCAAGTCATTTGACGGAGAACGACTGGAGCAGGTGCAGCGTGAGTGGTTCCAGACAGTGGACGAAGTGCTCAATGCGTGTGCGCGAGAAATTCGCAGTGGAGACAAGCGGAGTATGGAAGAAAACCGGAAACGAGTGTTCAAGGTCAGTCGAGTTGATGCTCATGACGTGGATATGCACAGACCTACTTCTATATTGCTACGTGGATGCACTAATTGCTGTGGTAAAACTGACTTGTGTGTAGACACTTGCGCGGTGGGAAGAGCTGGAGCTGTATCCAAGGAAGATAAAGGCATGGAAAAGTGTCGTGATGGGGGAATGCAAGCCACGCAGAGCTCCCATGTCCTTGCCGCGCAGTGAATCAGAACGACAGGCAGAAGCTCCTGACCAGCTTCAGTCGTTCGAACTGGCGCCTCCAAGCACACCTCAGCTGCAACTAGATCGGTCGAACTGCCCACTGGTCTTCGAGCGTCACAACTTTGGAAGCAAGCTCGAGGAGAAGCAGCACTGGCGTTACACCGCTATTGCCTTCATCGACATCCTGTCGCGGTGTCTTGGCCTGAGCAGTGACATCTCGCTTACTGCGTGCACCTTCTTCCACCGCGTGTTCGACCGGGGCATTTACGCCCGAGAGAGGTACAAATTTGCAGCAGCCTGTCTGTTTCTATCAGCCAAGGCATCGAGCAAGCGCATGAAGCTGCTGCGCATGGTACGTGTCATGTACGACATTTTGGAGACACCGCTGTTTGCTGGCGACGAGGAGCTGTTGGAGATCGAGCGTTTGCAGCTGCTGTACTACGAGATGGAAGTGTTGCAAGGCATTGACTTCGAGCTGACTATGGACCTGCCGTTTTACTATTTGCGCCGCGTGCTGGACAAGATGCCCGAGAAGTGTACGTACCCGTGTACTGGGGTATCACAAACGAGGCTAATGTGTTGTGTTCTTATGATCGCGGTCCTGCAGTCCGTCTCCATGTGAACGACGATGCGCAAGCAGTTCTAGAAGAATTGTACGTGGCCTTAGCTTTGTAAGTTGATGTAGACTAACTGTGATTGTTTGACTCCTGCAGGTTTTTCCTACCAGCATGTGTAGATATGTCGCCGCGGCTCATTGGCGAGAGCGCAGCTTACATTGCAACCTGGGCAAAGGGCAAAGATTTTAAGTTTAAATGGTGCAGCTCGAGTCAAGAAGACCAGCTTTTCAACGAGCGGACAGCGAGTACGTATTCTCCTTCTTATGTACTGGCAACAGGAAGCTCGTTGTGCCCATTGCTCATTTTTGTACATGTGTTACAGAGGATGTGCTTCGGTATTATCGATCACTTCAGAAATGGAAGGACATCCAGCAGACCGAATTTGACGCGCTGGTCAAATCCTCGGCTTCGTTAGAAGGCGACAAGGCGGTAAATCTCAAGAATGCGTTTGAGCATCAGCTGGGTGGTCTACGGCTGGATCCTTCTCTTATTCTGAATGAGGCGGAGTTTACAAAAAAGACGGAGGAAGACTCAAAAGCATGGACAAAGAGTGGTAAGAAGAATGGCAGTAGCGCATGGTCGAGCAAACAACGCGCATCTGGACGATACAAGCGAAGCGAACGCTATACAAAAAGTTACAAAGACGATAACGAACCGCGGATCAAGGAAGAACCTTTGTCACTTGCAAGTGAGCAAGAAGGGAAAGATCGGCATGGGCACAGCAACGTTCGCAACTCTAGTCGTTATCAGCCACCGAGTCGTAGCCGCAGCCAGAGTCGCAGCGGCAGCGGTTCGCGATATAGAAGTGGGTACACTGTAAAGCATGCCCGTGAAAACAGTCGGGCGCATAGTGGGGAGTATCGCGATCGTGACAGGTACGACTACGATGACTACGACGACTACGACGACCGAGACCGACATCGTGAACGCAGACGAGGAGAGGACAAGTACGATTCTCGAGACCGGTCTTTTTGCGTGGACAGAGACAGCCGAGATCACGATCGATACAGCAGCCGAGACCTTGACTACCGTCGTGATCCGTCTTACTTTGACCGCCGCGATCGGAAGAAAGATCGTCGTGGCTATCACGAGAGCGATAGCCGCAGCACGAGCCGTAGCAGCAGCCAGTCCCGAAGCCCGCGTGATTTTTCACGAAGCAGCAGCAAGCGCCAACGAAAGTACACTAGATGTGGTCACTCGGAAAGTCGAAGTCGCAGTTCGAGCCGAAGCTACAGTCGAGATCGTAGCGAGTACTATCGGACTGAAGACACTTTGTCGTCGATGTCGTTCCGAAGTGGACGAGCGAGCAAATATGGTACTGTCCGCTCGAGTCACCGAAAAACGGAACGTCCTCGCATCAAACAAGAGCGCAGCGTGGTCTAGTGGAGGACATCAGCGTGACGAGTGAGCTCCGTGGCTTTGGAGTCGATTAAGGTACGTTTGTTGGGAAAACTGTCAATGCTAATTTGTTTCACACAACTCACGTGCGCTTCACCTCGTGAACTATAGTTTCGGCTGGTCTACACACGATCGAGCAGCTGGACAAGAGCGTTGAGCTATTGAGATAGCTTGCAATGAAGCAACTCACCTGATTCCTGTCGGTGCAAAGTGATCCTGCAGCAGCTCATGTGATTGACCACCATGACAGCAACGGGACAAGAAAGCTCATGACTGCAGTTGATGAGCAAGGCGGCTATAATGTGCGTGAAAATGTTTGACACGAGGGAGGACTAGCTTCGTGGGTTGTCGCACTAAGTTCCTTTGGCACATGCACGTCCTGCAAAAGAACTGGTTTGTTGTAGACGGTGTCGTGCAGGCTTGCATCGCTAACATGGATGAACAATAGCGAAACCCCGAGGCCGAAGGAGAGTACAGGTAGTGCATAATGTGAAGAAAATGACAGACAAATTAACACGATCGGAAACTGCGTCAAGGTCAAGGAAAAAGTTGGATGTGCTCAGTATGGAAACGGTCAGGCACGCTCACATCGGGTCGTGCTGGAGCGCTTCGTGCGCATGGATCGAGTCCGGAGAAGGAGTGTCAATCACTGCGGAGGTCTACTGCTCGTAGTCTGAGGTGGACCTCTGATCTGAGTCAATGGTTTGCCGACAGCGCACGCTATGCGAGGAGTGGCTTTGCCACAGACCGCATGGAGAATTACGTTCCACTCGGGTGTGTTCTCCTCCGGCAGCGGGTAGTTGCGATCGTAGTACCTTTTGCTAACTCGTTTGCTGTCATCCAGCTTGATGCCGCCAAACTTGCCCGATAAGTCGCCTTTTTCACAAACTAGTGGGTCCTTCGCGTACGTGTCAGGACTGCAGCTGTATCCTGGAGTCTTGGCCAGACACTCGTTTGTTCCGACAAACTCAGAATTGGGGCCGCACGCCTTCGACGGGTCATAGTGGTTGCCAGTGATGGCCAGTCCACACTGCTTGAAGGACTCGGACTCGCGATCGTGAGGCCATTGGACATGAATGTGCCACTTGTACTCGCTCACTTCGTCGGTGCAATTGCCATCAAACGCCATGATCTCGCTCTGGTTCACGTCGCTGAAGTCAAGTGAGAATGTGATGACCGCAAAAGTGGAGAAGGGACCGGCGTACTGCACACTAATGGTGCCACTCACGCCGCCGGAAAACTTGGGGTCGAACGTATAGACAGAGGCTGGCAGTGAGCTGCTACTGTTGTCGATGTAGCTGCTACTGCCATTGTCATGGCCATCGAAGAACAAGTCGGGCTGGGCCGTCGCCGAAGCAGCCATGACGATGCCGAGCACGACAACGTTGGAGCAGAGCATTCCGGTCGTCGAGAGGGTCTGCTGCGAATCAAATGGAGAAATGAGATGACACAATGGCTGGCACAGCCTCTTCAGTGATAAGCGAACGACATACTGTTGTTGTTTGACTATCACAACGTGTCGCATTCGCAAAGTGTTTGATGTGGATGGAACCTGATACCTCAGCGGACGTCAATACAATGTCGGGCTTCGGTACTTGCGATCAAGTCGTCTGCTTGGACAGCTGATGGCCTCCATCAGCTCGTGGAAAAGCCAAATCGAAGCTTTTTCCATTTCTTTGTCACTGCTACAGCAGCAAAGCACAAAAGCGCAGACCCCTTTGACGATCTGCACAATCCTGGAGACAGACGGATCAGTAGCTTCAGAAATCGATGGTCACGATGGTGCACGTTGCGGGACTATTGTTTACAGTACGTGATAATAAGCTGAGACCTTTTCGTTGCTGTGACATGTCAAGTCTTGGCTCAAGTTGAAGCTGTCTGACGTGATACGAGTTGTCACATTCGTACGACATGACCATCCTGGTTTGTTTGGACCAATTTTTGGTCCTTTGGTCGCCGCTCGACTCAGATTTTCCCAAAAGCGGCGTTGAGCAGCTTCAATGAGACGCTGTGGGCAGTGTCAGGTGCGCTAGTCGCGACGCTTGCCGCTGTGCCACACCGATTGGTACAACGACGAGCTTCACTAGCGATACGCCTTATGAGTACAGCTTCAATCGCGTGTCGTGAAAGCGAACGATGGTCACATACCCAGTGGGATCGCAAGCGCCGGCCGACGCAGTGCCAAGTCGGTCGACAATTTGCGACCGAAATAGTCCGGATTTTTTTATGTGGACCTTTTTGTAAGCTGGACCCCTCGGCGCGCTGTCGCATTTCACAGACCGCACACTATTCTTCCCCGCCAATTGAGCTCTTTTGTTTGACGTCAGCGAGAGCGATGATTGGCCATAATTCCGTCCAGACCTTTCCCGCGTCTTTTCCACTCGTACGCGCCAAAAGTCAAAGTCTGCGCGCTGGAGCCGCCGCGTCTTTTCGCACTTGCGCGTGCTTTTGCCACCTGCAGCAGCAGCTCATGAGCGTGTACAGTCCCAATGGCGCGCGTACTGTGGTATCACGAGCAACGGGTGCTGCCACGTCCTTCTCAGACGCCTGTAACGAAGCCAAATTGCAAGAACTGGACCAAAAAGGGGCTGCAAAGCGCACGTTGACAAGCGAGAGCCAAAGCCAAAAGGATGCAGCACATAACGCGTTGTTATTGACCGGAGAAGCTGTGGAGGAGACGCTGGAGATGGCACAGGAACAGGCGAGAGAGAGACTGATGGCTGGACCGCTGCGGGTTTCGGTTGCGTCGAGCTCTCCGTCTCGAGTTCTCAGATATTATACAGATACGAGTGTCCAGACAGAAGAGTCGCCAGTGGGACACAGTATTGAGTCGGTACGTCCTTTCACGCCGACGAAGAGCGTAGTGGAAGCGACCGATCGGCTTTGTCCGCGGGAAAAGAACGACATTATGCCGCTACCGACACACGAGCAGATGAGTCTTTCTGCTGCTGCTGCTGTAAACTGCAGTGGTACTGTATTGAATCTGGATGGTTGGCGTGGCAGTGCGGTGTTGAGTAGTGGCAAGAAGCGACGCCTTTCGTGCACATCTCCACGCACTCTGTCGCCGTCCCAACGGCCACAGCTGCTTTCGCGTCGACTTGCAAACGTGCTTTACGATACGGATCCTAACGTCGAGGAAGAGGTTGTTTGTGGAGTTGTGCAAACGTCTAGTGCTGCAAATACACACCAAGTCGATGCTTGTGCGTCGAGTCTTTGTACGGACGATATCAATTGCGCTCCTAGCGGACTGCTTGCTAGTCCACACGAGCACGGCTCGTTTTTCTCGTTTGTAAATTCGCTTTCACCACTTATGGCTGCTGAGGAGTTCGAAAGCAGCTTTACGTCGGTGAAGCTCTCACCGCTCGCGTTGGTCTCTTCGTACGAATTTCCGAGATTGTACGTAGAATCCCACTGACTTCATCTCGACTGGACTTCTAACAGTGGATCGTTCAATGCGTTGTACAGACTCCCGCCGTTCCCTGAACAAAAGCTACATGGTGATAGAGGCAAGATAGACAGAGCTCACGTACGCCCTTCTGTTCTTGGGGCACCAGAGAATAACCTGGATGAAATCGCATTGGCTGGAATGTCGGTCGAAGGCTCAGCTCCTGGATCCACATCTGGATTGGTGTCTTCGAACTCTTTCGCTGAGTCATTTCCCAACATCCGGGCCTCTACGAGCGCTACACCGGGAAAAGACGAGCGTACGAAGCTCGGTGATCACAGCGTCATGAAGATGAAGCTTCACACACTGTATGGAGTATCTCCATCATTGCTAGACTCGCATCCCGCCCGCGAAATTCAGGCCATTAACAACAGCTTGTACGTTTATTGCGACAAGTCGTGCTCGAGCTCAGACGCGTATGCCGCGATCACGTGGTAGACTCATTGGTGTGCTTGTAAAAATTGGGTCTGTGCAGGAAACGAAAGAAGCACATTATCCGACGCGACGCTGAAGAGAAGTGCGAACAGCTATCGCCTGCGAGCAACGTCCAACGTAAATTGTTGCAGACTCCGGTGAAGTTGTTTTCGTCGCCTCGCCGTGTCACTCGATCGCCACTGTACCCTTGGAACGGGCAAACGTCGCAGACCAGTGTCCTCAAGACTTCCACGTCTCGAAAGTTGTCACCAGGTCATCAAGACACGGAGTTTGCTGCAAATGGAGCATTGCGTTCTTCACCAGTAGCTCGCCAATCAGCTCCAGCAACAGACCCAATATCGGCCCTGGCGACATCTAGTGGCAACAAACTGGAGCGAAAAGCGTCGCCGTGTATCCCGATGCCTTCTTCAGTGACCAGCATTTCGAGACTCGAAACGCAAAAATCGTTGATGGATGCCAACCAAGCGGTAGCTCCGGCAATTGCACCTACGAAGCAAATCAAACGAGAGGCAATATCAACTTTGGGCAAACACATCGCGTGTAGCATGCTGACGTCAAACATCATGGGGACTGATGGTGAGAGCGGTGTAGCTTTGTCCGACGGTATGCTAAAAACGCCGTCTCGAGTGGAAGTATCCTGTTCAGTGACGCTGCCATTGCAATCAGCACCCAAGGCACCATCCGGCATTTCATTGAAGGTGATATCAGCACAAGCGCGTACAAGAGCTCCGTGCAACTGCAAAAGGTCCAAGTGTCTAAAGCTGTACTGCGAGTGCTTTCGCCTCGGTGGATACTGCGACGAGCGTTGCAACTGTATCGACTGTGCCAATAGCACTGAGATGGAAGAGGTGCGACAGCAAGCCATTGCCTCGCGGCTGGCGAAGAATCCCAACGCGTTCAAATCAAAGATTGGCGCCATACCTGCTAGGGCAATGTCGGCGTCGAAGGGTGTGTACCGCTTATCCGGCCATGTCTTCACGGGCACTTCGTTGTCACCGCACGATCCAATAAGCTGTCAGCAACAGCAGCAGACCCCAAGTACAAGTCTGGCGATTACTAAGATCCACAAGCACGGCTGTCACTGCAAAAGGTCAGCGTGCCAGAAGAAGTACTGCGAGTGTTATCAGGCGGGAGTGCAATGCGGCGAAAACTGCCGGTGCATCGTACGTATCCCTCACTATTTGACCCGGATCCCGCTGCTTACCAACCCCATGTTGTGTCTATGATGTTTACAGGAGTGTAAAAATCATGGACCGAGCTGTAGCACACGGAGCAAATGACATCGTAGGAGCAGGATCAGCACGACAGGTACTTCGTCGCGCATTGCAACGAGCTCGACGAGACTCTCGTATCCCCGGTCCTTCAAGATGCCCGACAACGGATGTGTGTCGATGAATATGTTGGGAGACCACTTCGTCGCCGCTTGAGATATCTACAGGACAAGACGGTACTCGATCAGAGCGGCTGCAGACAAAGCGGCGAAGTACAGGAGCCGCTGATGTTTAGAAAAGACGATACCATCACAATCGCCACCTGCACCTCAAGCAAGATGTTACATCGATGCCAAGCGATTTTGTGGCATGTGACCGATCAAGAGCAGCAGTGATGCGATTGCAGTAAAGCCACGAGCATCTCAATGCCCTCGACGAAACGCAAGCTGCAGCACTACAAAGCAAATGATTCCGCATTGACGCACGTCCCCATTGAATAGCGGCGTCAGTGCAGGATATATGTTGTTTTCTCACGAGCGCTGTTCTGCACAGTGCCAGCTTATTGAGCCACCTCTGGAAGCAGATCACTCTGGGCGGCAACGTCATACGAAACGAAACGTTGCGGCCACTCGACGATTGCGAAAGAAAAGGCAAACGATTATTGTAAAGCGTGGACCGTGTGTTGGCGGCTCTGAGAAGCGAATGTTGGACCGACCGTTGACGGAATCGAGTGGTAGCCGAACCTATTCATGATGTAGGAAAGCATTACCACGAAACGTAATTTTGACCTGAAGTAGGCAAAAGTACAAGACTGGATGGAATTGAATCAGCTGCAGACCGAAGAAACGTATTAAGCACATGAACGATGGATGGGTGGATGGAACACGCAGGCGCAGAATCTCACCGCGTCGTCTTTCGTCCGAGAAACTACCGAGGTCGTGCGAGCAACCCACAGCAAGTCTGCCCATACTTCGCTTGTTTACGACTCTATGCCCGATGGCAAAAGCTTTGGCTTGCGGCGCGCATTGTCGAGGCTAACGTGCTGCAAGCGAACAGCGCCAAGAATGATCTCAGGTAGCTCTTCGTCGGATTGCGCCTCAAGCAGGAAAGCCATGTCCACCACCAACGACTTGGTCACACCTTGTACCATTCCGACGACGGTGTTGGCAACCGAATTGGACGAAATATCGATGTCCACCTCGAAGTAATTTTCGCCGCGGTAATACAGACACTTGAGCTTGTTGCCCAGCAGCGTCGGCTTAGACCCAACCGATTGCTTGATGATGAAGCTGCCCTCCACGACAGTGGGAATGAGCTTGAAGCGCGAGTTCCGGAACTGGTCGTCGCCATCGAAGAAGTCGTTCAATAGCTCGGAAAACGGTGAGCCGTCCTCGAACACGTTGTCGCGCGCCGGGTGGAAGTAGAACACCATGCACGTGTTCTCTGGGCCTGGAATGATCATGTTCACGACAAACGTAAACTTGGAGCTGGTGCGGCCAATGCTGTCCACACGAGACGAGATATCATATCTCTCAGCTGCACTCTCGAACGACAGCAAGTCCACACCCACGACGTGGAACATTGCTGGCGCCGATGGAATCTTCTTCTTGTCATTCAAGTAGTTGTGTCCACGCACACTGAAAAGCGAAGCGTCGGGCTCGGCCCACATCGACTCCGGTAGACTCGTCTGCAGCTTTTGCACACCCATGACAACACCCATAGAGTCTACGCTTGTCCGTTGTGTGACGGGAGAGTCGTCGCGATCCGCGCTCGATTCCTCGTCCTCGGCGTCAGGCGCCATCGAGACGTTGGGAGTGATAAAGTCAGTGGCGCTCATTTCATCACGAATGCCGATAACGCTGCGCAACATGGGCATGACCAAGTCCACATCCATGCCAAGCTGGTGGTAAATGCGTGACCAGCCGCCAGGGTCGTATCGGAGCACGTACGACACCAGCGTGCGAATCGATCCACTCGGAACGCGTTGCGGCGCAATCACAAAGCCGCCACCCAATATATCTGCTCGCACGTAATTGTGACGCACGCGGCACTCAGGGTGATCAATGCTCTGGTACATGACAAAGTACGAGCCGTCTTCTTCGCGTCGCCAGTAGCGCATAAACACAAGATCACGAGCCTTCTGCCACAACGGCCACAACCGTGTCGGACGTTGCGTCACGTAGACAATGTCCGCGTTGTTATCCAGCTGCTGCACGACACGCATCGTCGCAGTTGCCGCGTCCCATCGCTGGAATCGCTTCGAGTTCATGATGAGTCGAAAGACTTCAGTGGGCGAGCCATGCACCACTTGCGAGACACGAAAGCTCGGGATCTCGGGCGCTTGCGTTGGCGTCACTGCGACACAGCAGACTGCAATCGCTCCGAGCGCAGTCAGGAAACTCAGCAGCATATTGTTAGCGAACGAGTACATGCTGCTGAAACTCAGTGCAGCGCCGAGCAGAGCACTCGCAATCAGCCCGTTCGTGGTCGCTGCGTGCTGCGCGTACAGGTTCGCTGCAACGTTCGGTCCCAGCGGACACTCCTGCATGATCCGCAGTCCCCCTTCCACCCGTGCGAGCCACCACGCCTGCTCCGCTTTGACGTTATCCGCATCCAAGTTGAACAGCGACACAGTGTCTTCGTCCGCCTTGAGCATCCTCGGGACGTGCGTGGGCGTGGGAAAGATCTCCGCGTCTGTCTTGAGCTTGCGCTGGTGCGCCACGAGCTCCTGGAGCGACCGCACGGCGTTCTCGATTGCGCGTTTCCACTCTTTTGCGTGCTCTTCGCTCTTGGCTCCGAGATCGAGGAACCGGTCCTTCTTGTACGACTTTTCCATGCCGCTACTGCTGGTCAGAGTGGCGTCTCCGACCGCACAGAACGTGATGCGGAACATCCACACGGGCTCGTGGTGCTTGTGCTTCTCCTCCGAGTTGTACACGGGACTCACGACGCAGTTGTCCGTCAAGATGTACGTCCCGCGAGGGGCCGAGTCGCCCCGTTTACGGAAATAGCGCAGCTGGTTGCCGTCCAAGAGGAAGTACCGGTCCCCTATAGCAAAAGTACATACAAAGACACACATTTGTACAGTGAGCCAGAAGAAAAGAGAGCGACGTAGACAGATAACAACACAGAGAGACGTAGGTGGAGGACGGAGGAGGTACGTACGCCAGATGAGGTTCATGTGGTCGCGGCGCTTGGTGAGCCAGCCCTCCATGGTGCGCGCAGGGAAAGAGCGAGAGGAGAGCGAGAGAGAGAGAGAGGACGCTGCGTGTCGGACGGAAGACCGGCCGATGACGCGCTGTGTTAGGACGGATTGCAACGATTTGTGACGATTTGTGACGATTTGTGGTTTGTAGGCGACAAAGGCGTGCCGTTTGTGACTTTCTGGTACGGTATTTTGGGTGACTGTGTCTTTTTTTAGGTCGACCCGTCGCATGTACGAGGGAAAAAAAAGACGCGTTTTGCAACGTCGCAACCGAACGACCGGACAGTGACAACGTACGTCGCTTGTCGGACAAGTCGTCGATACTGTTCTTTTTATCGTCTGTTACGCCTTTTGTCTGCGCTTCCCCACGCACACGACGCGTGTCTGCATCCCGACGGTACGTACAAGTGCAGACGTTGTGCCTTTGCCCACCACAGCAGGGGACGCAACAGCAGTAGCAGGAGTGGCGGCGAGGCCGACGTCTAGAAGCCCATCCATCCACTGTACCACGGGTTCTTCATCTTGTACACGCCCGTCATCTGACGGTACGTGAAGAGAAAGCCCAGCACGCAGCCGACAATCGCGAGGTGGCGCACGATCGGGTTACGCACGTAGAGCGCCCACTGCGAGAGCAAAATGACGCACACAGCTGCAACAACGTCGTAGCTGCCGACGATCAGTCCTTCGTAGACATACTGCTGTCGGCCTTGCGAGTGAAAGTACTGGATGTTGCCCTTCCGATCGGTCGCGTACGGCGGCGGGTTGCGGATGATACAGTAGACCATCCCCGACACCGAGAGGCCGTAGAACAGCAGCGACACAGTCATCCAGAGCTGTTTGCGTCGTAGTTTCATGAGCAAAAAGTCCAGATGGTCCACGACAAGCTTGGCAGCGACCACGAGTCCCACGATCGCGACCGCCACAAACACGTACAGGTACACCTTGGACCGTATGATGGTAAACTCAAAGCCCGTGCGTTGCTGGACAAAGACAGCCATCCCTTCCGCTGCAAGGCCTTGCGTGTACGCATTGTAGAAATCCTGGGGCTTGACCTCTTCCTTCGCAACCGCTGCAGCCCCCGTGTCCTGACTGCTATCCGGGGCCACATAGACCACAAAAGGAGCTGACGTGAGCTCGTAGAAACGGAACACCTCCTGGTTCGTTTCAAAGTCCGCCACGGCGAAAATCACGTCCAAACCGTCGCGCGTGTCGACTTTCACTTGGGCCGCAGCTTCGTAGCTCTTGCTCAGGAGCTCAAACTCGGGCGCGAGCTTCAGACACGCGTCACACTTGTGCTTGGCAGATGCCGCCGTCAAGAGCAGCACCAGGTGGTACGGGCGCTCGGGGCGCAAGCCAAAGCGAGTGAACAGGGCGTTCGTGAACGGCACGACGCCGTTGCGCGCGCGCTGCTGCAGCTCCTCGAGCTTCTCGGGGCCCGTGAGCACACTCTTCGTGTCCGCACGACTTGCCGCAGCATCGGTCGTGGTCTGTTGCCAGCCAGTGGTCGCCAGGAGCGCCGCCAGGAGCGCCAACGTCCGCGCAAAGGTCCGCGCCATGTGTCTTCGACTTGTGGTGCTCGGCCACGTGGAGGCGGATCGCAAACTGACGAATCACAAGCCGAGACGCTGGGCAGTTGGGTTTTATGAGGTCGCAAGCGGTGGCGGGGCGTGGGTTGTTTTGCCGGCGTTGGGTTATTGGATTTGAGAGGGAACGCGTTGCAACATGGGTGCAATTGCGTGCCGTTGGCCACGTAATTGTTTTTGTGCAGTTGACCGAGTCGGTACTTCGGGGTTTGCTGCTTTTCGACCAATCCGATCTGGCTCTGCGTGAAGTGGCATTGCGCGTGTGTGGCACATTAAGGGACGTGTCTTGCGCAGCATGGCGGCCGCCGAAGCGCCGCGTGTGAACTCTGTCTACGCCAGTGCAGCGTTCGTCGCTGTGGTCACCTTTATGTACACGGCTCTGCGTGGACTGTACGTTGATCCGCTTGTGTCGACCCTGTCATCGACGATCGCGTCACGCGATGGGAAGTCGCTGCATGACTGGACTCGTGCTACTTCACGCTCTGTTATGTGGGGCACATACCGTCCGGGTCTCTATTTCGGTCTGCGGTCCCGTTCGGTGCCTGATTTTGTGTCGGCAGGACTATTATGGACGTCGCACCTGGACGACGTGTCGCAACTCAGACACGACTGCCGCCAAGAAGACCACTTGCAACGGTACGGGTGGCTCGAGCACGACGGGAGCAGTTACGGGCGGCAGACCGTCGAAGACCAATTCAATCGCTTGCACGTCAGCACGAGCTACGTCCGCGTACAGACAGAGGCGGTGCAGGGATGGGGCGTTCGCGTCGACGCTGCGCCTTTGACGCCGCGGGACGAGAAGCTCCGTCGCCGCCAAGTCCCGAGGCACAATACGGTATCGCTTTTTTTCTATGTAGACCTGAGCTGTGGAGACGAGAGCCTGGACGCGAGCTGTCGCTACAAGCTGCAAGACCTCGTGCAAGTGGCAGCTGCGCCAACGCCGCTGTCGTGTGGCCAGCAGGCGCAAGACGTGCAGTGCGTGCAGATGGCGTTGGCGAGCGATGGACTGGAGACAGAGGAGACGAGTGCGGCGGACGATGCGACTCCGTTGGCGTTCCAGATGCACGTGCAGCTTAAGACTCGGCCGACTGTGCGTAGCGTGCAGCTGCACTATGCTGGACTGAAAGACACGAACGTGATCAATGTGAAGGATCGACTCGTGTCACTGGCACATCGTCCGGGTGATGAGGGTGAGAAGAAGGAGACTGAGAACTGGCAAGTGGACAAGGAGATCCATCTCGACGATCACATTGAAGAAGGCAGCACGTTGGTGGTCGTGCAAGCGATCGTCGACGTGGATGTTGCCTCATTTGAAGCGGGAGATATCGTGCTAGACGTACTGTTCAATGAGGCTGCTGTGTCCTTGGCTGGCGCTGAGGTTGCAGCGACTGCCATTGACAACATGGTCACCGACAAGCTGGCTGAGTACTCGCAACGCTTTACGGACAAATTCGAGCAAAGTTTTCGTTTGTCGAGCAAGACGTGGCCGCAAAACGACAACGAAGACGTCGGTGACGCGTCTGCGTTCAATGAAAGCCTCCTGACGTTTGCCAAGGCAGCTTTTAGTAATCTGATTGGTGGCACGGGCTACTTCTACGGCAGTTCGTTGGTGCAACACGACCCGGAAAAGCCGGAGGTTGTCGAGTCTGCTGTAAAGCCGCTGCTTACGGCAGTCCCATCGCGGTCGTTCTTTCCTCGGGGCTTCGCATGGGACGAAGGCTTTCACCAAATTGGAGTGTCCGTGTTTGACGACCGTGTCACGCGTGACGTGATTGTGCACTGGCTTGATCTGATGGAAGAGGACGGCTACATTGCCCGCGAACAGATCCTTGGCCATGACGCTCGTCGTCGCGTGCCGGCGGAGTTCTTGATCCAGCACGCGGAACACGCGAACCCTCCCACGCTTCTTTTGACTGTAGAAAAAATGGTGCAGCGCTACTCGAACTCTGGTTTGGACAAGGAGATGCAGGACTTTGTGCGAACGATCTTTCCGTTTCTCAAGCGCTGGTACAACTGGTTCTTGACGACGCAGTACGGCCCGCACAGCGATAGCTTTCGCTGGCGCGGGCGTCGACTGAATGACGGCAAGCTGATTTCGAACACGCTGTCTTCGGGCTTGGATGACTATCCACGCGCATCCCTTCCCAGTGAAAACGAAATGCACGTGGATTTGCTGTCGTGGGTGATCCGAGCAAGCCAAATCATGGCACACCTTGCAAGCTTGTCTGGCCAGGATAGCGACGTGCATTACTTTGAAGCCAACTACGCGCACTTTTATGCTGGACTGGACAAGCATCACTGGAATGAAGAGGCCCAGTCGTACTTCGATGTCGGTGAGCACAGTGAAGACGGCATCATTGAGTACCAGGTTGCTGTGCGGTGCCGCAATGACCAGGGCGTGGTGGTCGATGCAACTGCTCCCGTCGCGCGAGTCCAAGCAACGGAAGTGGAGTGTCCAGCGACCCACCCCCACTACATGTTCCCACTGGGTGACGGTCGCGGCGGGCTGCAAATGTTGCCTGTCTTCATGCCTGGCACGACAGAGTTGCAGCACGTGAAGCACGTGGGCTACGTCAGCGTGTTTCCGCTTCTCCTGAAGTTGCTGCCACCGGACTCGCCCAAGTTGCTCGCACTTTTAGAGCAGATCACGGACCCTGCACAGCTCTGGTCTCCTTTCGGGCTTCGGTCTCTATCTACGCAGGACCAGTTTTTCGAGCGAGAGAACGCACCTGGAGACAACCCCTACTGGCGAGGAGCTATCTGGATGAATGCCAACTATTTGGCGCTGGATGCACTGCATCACTATGCGCAGTCGAACACGGGAAGTCCGTACCAACTAGCGTTTCAAAAAGCGTACACTGCGCTGCGTGTGAACGTGATCGCCAATATATATCGGGAGTACGAGCGTACGGGATATCTATGGGAACAGTACAGTGGTGACATTCACGGCGGAGACCGGTACGGCCGCGGACAACGCTGTCATCCGTTCTCGGGCTGGACGGCACTTGTGGTGAACATCATGGCGGAGATGTACTAGAGTGTGTGCATAGAGAAAGCGGTTGGCAGTCGGTAACGGGCGCTTGGTCATTGCAAGGATTTGTTTGCTGCAGGATCGGCGGGTGTGTGTTGGTCTTGCTTGAACACCGGTCAAAGATTGTTGGTGCGTCTGATCGTTTGTGGCCCATGCAGCTACACGCACTTCTTACGGAAAAAAGAGTGACAAGTCGGTGAAGGACTTGGGCTCAATCGTAGAAGAGTGAGTGGAGTCAACGTGCAGTAACGCAACTCCCATGCGTTTCGCGATGAGATTCAGAACACGTTTGTCATCATTCCTGTCACCTAACTTGGGTGTCTCAACAAAGGCACTGATGGGCGTGTAACCTCACACTTCAACATGATAAAGTCACAGATGTGGAATGTATTGCCTGCTGGTTCGAGTAGACCAGTGCTGCGAGTTTATTTGACAAGAGTAACAGCGATACGCGGTGCAGAAGTCCAGATTGGTCTGCTGCTCGAGGCTGACAAACCACAGAGCACGAAGACGCTGGCTGTAGGTTGTGCTCGTCCGATGATGGCGAACGTGTATCAGCAACACCCATCGAGCTCTTCTGCCAACTCACGATCACTGGACCCGAGAAACGCACAATGCACCGCCATCCACAACTGCGAGGCGGCAAACAGCACACTGCCCCGAGAAACGAGCAGCAAACTAACTGCGCCGGTCCAGTAGTACCACGAACATCCTTGGAGCTACTTACAAAGCGTTGCATGCTGTCGCTGTCTGTTGAGGAGACTGCTTTGTCGAGTCTGGATGTTCAGTGCTTGGCTCGAGCTTGCTCAGCTGGCGTATGCGACAAGAACTCGAGCACCAGCGATTCAAAGTGCACGAAGGGACACAGTGAGTCCTGTTCGTGGCCCGCAAACGTCACCACTTCGTTGTCGTAGCGTGGCGTGATGAAAAATTCATGCGTGGCCTCGTCTTCGTACATCTCCAAGGCCAACATCGACCCGTACTCGGGCAAGTGCGTTCCCGCGTCAATCTGCAGCGCTCCCAACAGCGCTACAATCGAATTGTCATGGGCTGAGAAGAACGACAGCTTGGCCGGCTGCTTGTGCTCGACCACTGTCTTGAGAAAGCTGTACACCTCATTGACGCCATCTTTGAACGCTCTGTAGCAAAAGTCTTTGCCGCGATACAATCGCTGCCAGAGCCACGTGTCGTACGCCTCGACCTGCAAAAAGATCGATTGATCGATACCGTCCGGGAACGGCCGCCCATGCGCGGCACAACACTTGAGCGCGTCTCGAATGGCCGTCCACGACAGTGGCTGGTCACTCGTGATCCCAAGACACTCGCGTAGGTACAGCGCCAGCTGTTTCGTAGCCTCCCGCTCGCTCTCGCTGCGCAGCGTGAGCACGTCATCGTTCACCAGGAGCTCAATCTCGTTGAACACTTGGCGCGGATGGCGCGGCGCCAGCACATTGTGCTCGTACGTGTGCACGTGGAACTGGGGCACTTGGGCAGTGTCGCTGTCGTGGAAAAAGCCGCGCAGGAGGCACTGCACGGACTCGACCGTGCGGGGGACGCTGCTCGAGAGCACGTAGACGTCTTCGCGCTTGATGTTGCTGCTGTCGATCAACGCGCCGTAGCGCGCTCGCAGTGCCCGTCCCTTGTCCGTCATGGCCCGAACGCCTTGGCCAGTCAAGAGACCGTAGGGGTGCTGCGACGCTTTGGACGGACAGAGCACGGGCGGGTGCAATGCCGAAGCGCCCACGGGCTTTGCCGTCTCGAGTAAGACCTGGAGCTGCTCGGGCGTTGCTACTTTCGACGCCCAAAAGGCCGTCTCGTCGACCAGAGGCGCTGCGGCTGTGCCAAACGACGTGAGCACAGGCGTGCGGTCGCCGTGGCGGTGGAAGATCAGCACGTGGCGCAGTGTCACGTTGCGACGCGGCGTGGGCTTCGGCGATGTAGCCATGTTGTTGCCGCCCGTTGTTTTGTCCAAGTGGCTGTTTGCGAACTGCCACGTCACCAGTGGCTGATGACGCGCTGGTGGGGGACGACGGCCGTTACATCGCTGGGGCGATCTTAGTGGCCCGTGGGGGATTCGGTGGTCGGATGACGTCATGCGCGTCATCCGACGCGGACGGTTGCGGGACTTGCGAGGTGGGTGTATACCTGTTTACCGTATAGCGTCGAGCGGTCGTCCAAAAGCGGGGCCAGAGAAAGAGCTTTTTTTTGCCGTGCAAATGGGACGCGCACGCCGCTTCGTGTGCGCTCGAACAGCTACGAAAAAAGCAGTTTTAAACGTGGCAGCTATGGACTGGTCAGTCGCTGTTTGTAGCTTCTCTTGTGCCTGATCGTCACGATATTAGACCAATTAATGGACCCGTAGACTGACTATTGGGCTTGGTAGCGTCCTGCCGCGCTTGCGTATCTGCTGTGCTGTGTCGCATCGCTTTATTCATCGCCACTTGTGCGCAGCCACTGCGCTCATTTGTAAGTTGACCGCTTGAGCGTGCTGCTACTGATAAACGGTCGTACTTGTTCGCTTGGACACGACTTCTACACCTTCGATTCAAATCTGCACACATGTATGGATACTGTACCGAACTACAGTGCAATGTGGTAACGCATCGAGGATCGAAAGAACGACATTTGCATGCTCTATTCGTCCACGAAGGCGTACATGCACATGGCGCTCACAGCACTTGCACGCCCATATCTTTTGACCAGCGTTTTATTCTCACGACCGAATGTTAGCATTTACTCCAACCCAAAGGTACAGTCCGTCGTGTGCGAGAGCCGATGCAAACAATCATGAGCGAAGTGAAGGCTCGTTTCATTCGGTTGCACGAAGGTAGATGAACTTCACCAAGCGTTACTTCGCCTACCTTCGCTCGACTTGCGCATCAATCGTCCGCTCCACATGGCGACTGCATTGCGCTGCTTGATGCAGCGCGGCATCTCAAGCGCTGCTACTGCAGCCGTCCGTGCGTCTCCAGCAGCAACAGTAGCAGCACGAGACAAGCAGCACCTGGAGCTGCTGCTGGAGAAGAGCGTCGCGCGCTGTGACGCGTCGCGGGCACTCGCTACGTTTGACAAGCTCCAGACGGACAATGGCTACAAAATGACGCTGGACGTACAGTTACTTCAGCGACTTGCGCTGCTCGTTGCCAAGCGCGGACGGCCCCACGAGGCGCTACGAGCCGCACAGATTCTGCAGTACGTGCTGCGACAGGCGCCGCACTTTCAAGCCGACGATCGCACGCAGTTGGCCGTGATTTACACGCTGGACGCGTGTCTACAGCAGCAAAAGCAGCCGCCGAGACGTGGACTAGAGGACGCGCTGTTGCTGTATGCTGCCGCCAGTAAGAACGACGTGCTGCTGGATTTGCCAGCTATTGACGCGCTGCTCCAGGCGCTCGTGGATGCGCGTCGCGTGGACGAAGCCGTTGCGCTGTTGAACACTCTAGTGGCCCAGCACGATAACGTGCGGCCGACAGAACAGACGTACGAGGCCGTTCTTGTTGCTATGATGCAGCAAAAGCGATACGAGGACGTGATGGAGGTGATTGAACATGGACGGGCTCATGCAGTGGCGTTTTCGCCCGAGGTGGGGGGGAGGAGATCGATGAGAAAATCGAGTAGATGAAGGAGGAGATTGAGAGAAGAGGGCTGACAGTGGTGGTGTCGCTTGTGTTTTCTAATATTGTGGACGATGTAGACGTACGATGTGTTGGTGGACATGTCGCAGGAGCACTATACGGCAGCGAACGTCGAGAGGCTGAGCAATTTCATGGCGTATGTCAATGACGCTTTGAGGGCGGATGGGGTGCGTTGCTGAAAGGTTGCTGTCTCTCTTTCGCGACATGTCGGACTCATGCGGTGTGTTTGTTGCTGGTGTGGGCAGTACTGGGAGGAAGAGGACGACGATGAGGAAGAGGATGACGACGATGGTGATGGCGGTGATGATGATGATGACGATCGATATGACGACGACGACGAGTTTGACGACGATGAGTTTGACTAGACGCGTGATCGTTCTATTGCAGGTACCTCGCAGCCAGTACGAGATATGTGGGCTACTGCAGGACGACTGATCGATAATTGGCTTTAGAGCCTTTTACCACTCATTTTTTGCTCGGTGTGTGTAGTGTATCCTGCATGCCTTTTTGTCAGCAAAGACGTGATGCTAGGTCGGGCACGCTTCATCTGCGCTCAAGTCTTCGGACCGGCTGGTCTACTAGGTTGCCATGGATGCATCACAAGCTGAGGAAGCTAGACACTTGGAGGGCAATCTTGTAAGAAACAAGCTGGTCCCAGCACATCTTTTACAACTCTGGGTGGCTGTTGCGCTGCATTTTGCTTCCGTGAGTGCGTCAGATGGAGCAACCGATATTGCCCAGATCTGACGACACCACGTCAAACGTCGAATTTGTGTAAATTGACCAGCTTGTCTTTGTTGTGAGCTTCCAGGAGCTGCTCAGTCTATCCACGTCTTGCCATGCTGAACAGTGCAACACGAAGGGATCAGGGGAGCCAGCTGCCATTTTTGGTAGATGTATGCGCGTTCGCTGTCTTTGCTTCTGGGTAGAACAATGATGCTCCATGCGGTAACGATGTTCGGTATCTAGTGGTCGACATGCGCTTTGCGTTGCAGATCGGACTGCAAGGGATCTTCGCGTACGCTACAATGCCCGGCGCCAAGACATCTTTGGCTTCTCACGCCCCCGATGTCCTGAGCTGCCAGAGCTGCGTTCTATCCACGGCTCACGCGTGCGTCAACCGAGTTCAGGATTGACTCGGGTGTCGAACAATGTTGAGGACCGACTGCTCGGTCACTATGACCAAGTCATGTCCGCCACCCGTGCAGACTACAGAATGTCCGCTCGTCCGCTGGAAGGACAACTGCGTGAGTCTGCAATGTTTCGCTCGCAGCATTTGCAGTACAACAACCGCTCACTTTTGACATCAAGAGCTCAAGAAGACCTCATTGAGGTGACGTCGAGCTCATCGTCAACGTATTGCAACATTGTGCTGGCGTTCACTCACGACGAAAGCTCTAGCTCAGCAGTATTGCCTTCGAGCCACTCGATCAGCTGGTGTGCAGATGGTCGACTAGAAGGGTCAAGAGACAAACACGCCAAGCCAACTCGTCGAATTCGTGGGGGGCAGTCCCGTGAAAAGCTAGGTCGTAATGAACCAGCCATGACGTCTTGCAGAATCTGGAACGACGTGGCCTGGCCGCCGCTTTCCGTCACGGCGTTATGGTATGGAATCGCGCCGGTGTCGAGCTCAGACAGCACCACACCAAAGGAGTAAATATCGGCCTGCTCAGTGTACCGCTTGCCTTCCAAGATCTCAGGAGCTGCCCAGTAAGGCGTGCCAACACCTGCGGTCATGGTAATGTCAAGGAGTCCGCGGCTGACGCCAAAGTCAATCAATTTGGGCTCCAGATTGTCCGTCAGCAAGATATTGTTGCACTTGAGATCGCGATGGATGATGGCCGGTAAGCGTCCGTGCAAATACTGCAACGCTTGTGCTATCGCGACGGCCATTTGGATCTTGTCTCGAGCCCACGACAGCAAGTCGGCGTTCTTGTGCAAGTAATTTTGCAAGTTGCCTCGTGGGAAGAATTCGAGCACCATTGCGAGATTGTCGAGACTATTCCACGCCACGCCGATAAACTCGACAATGTTCGGGTGGACGAGGCTCGCGCTCAGCTCGATTTCTTCAGCGAAGGTTCGCACGGTCTCTGCGTTCCGACTTCCGTGGATCAATCGTTTCACAGCGACGGTCTTCCCATTATAGTCGCAAATCCAGACTTCTCCGGAGGCACCCTTCGAAAGCGGTTCCTGCAACGTGAGGTTCTCGTATGGAATGCGTTTGTGTTGCAGACACTGGCTGCCGAGCAGTATCTTGAGCGTTCGGTTGGTGCCTGCACTCTCAAAGTCTCCCGAGCAGCTGAAGAGCGAGGATTGATGGGTAAGCCGCAGGGAGCGATCGGTCGACCTGTCTTCTGGTTTCGAGGTCCAGTCGTCTAGACACTGTGGAGCATCAGCAGCAAGATTGTACACATCAGAAGTGGTCTGCTCTGAGCGACTCGGTCGATGGCGGCAACAGCACCAGGCCAATGCGAGCAGAAACAGCAGCGTGAGAACGGCCGGAATGATTGTCACCAGCATGGACGTGTCGAATCCGGATGGCACGGCAAAGTCGTTCTCAAGCCATGTCGTCACCCAATCACTTCCGCTCGGCGCTGTCATTGCCATCTTCACTTCACCCGTGATCATATCTCGCCTGTGACAAGGCACCGTCAGCGACGCATACTTGGTGTGTACGGGGCATTGGTTCCAGACAGCGTCCAAAGCGTTGGGGACCGTATGAACAGCGTAGACACTGAACGAATCGTTCGAGATCGGGTCAGTCCACGAATGATCCCTCAACCGGATGAGTGGAGTCATGCCGCGGTCGCCACCTTTCGACCACATTGCACCCAAGAAGCCAACTGCACCGTCGTCTTTGAACGTATCGATCACACAGCGCGAGACACTGAGCATCTGGGTACCGGAGCAAGTTTGCGTGTAATAACCCGTGACGTCGTTCGGCTGCACGCACTTTTTGAGCGTGCAGCCCGCATCTTTGACGTGGGCTTCTGGTACAGCGAGGTCTGCCATGGTCAAGTTGTCGAGCGTCCAGATTTGCACGGCCTCATTCACTGGCGAGACAGCAAAGCCCGAGTCCCATAGCACAGCACGTTGGACAAGTCCGGGCAAGTCACTGAAGACGATATTGTAGGGGTCCAGTCTCTGTCGTACGGCCAAGGGGATCGCAGTGAGCTCGACTTTATCTTCGGCTTTTCCTGCAGCGTAGCGGATGTAGAGTTGACGTGCAATGTCGGAGTTGGTGCCGTCAAAGACGAACGAGTCCGTGTCGAAAAGCAGAGGGGATGATGAAGCTGATCGAAGTTTACGAACGACATGCCGACCTCGCATTGTCATTACGGAGACTGTGAAGTGGACCAAAGTCGATGTGCGCACTGTTTCGTTGTGGAAAGAGCTCATCGTCGACGACAACAACAGGCGGTAACGGACATATCGGGTGGCGGTTCACACCACTACCTGACTTGCATACGACGATGACCGATGCCTGAACGAGCACTTTTTGCTTCATAGGACATCGATCGCCTGTCACGAAACGCCCTTTACACGATGTCAGCAGTTTTTCTCGTCGTGCGGGTCGTGTGGACTTTGACGAGTTCGCAAGGTATGGAATCGCAGGATGTGGACATCTTCGACATGTATCTCGATCGCAAGTACTGGCACGAATTCCTATCATGGAACCATACCAGAGTAATCATGGATAGGGCAATAGCTGGAGAGCATGGCTTTCGACCAAGGAACCTCTTCGACTCGCTCGACAGTCTCCATCCACAAGATCATGTGAGGGTCGAACCTGGATCAAGTTCATTGATACCGTACAAGTGTATCGTCGTGGCCCACGCAGATCGTGACCCCCTGCTCGTATCAGCATCGCGTTTTGGACCAGATTGTCATGAATGTTGGCTAATTTCGGCAAGCGCAACTTGTTGAACCGAAAGATAGTCGACGACGATCTGCTCAACAACACTCGCGGCTTTCTCGTGTGTGTTTCGGAATGAGCCTTTCCACAGCTGCCAAAGTGACGGTTGCGATTTGCAACGTAACGGCATGTTTGCACTGGACTCTTACACCAGACGCTGCTTGCGTGTTTTCCTGCATGTCGGACAAAGCATTACGAGTTGTGCGCCAACGCATCAGTTGTCCATCTATGATCGCTACACACGAGTGAGCTTCCGTTCTTGTTGTATTAATCAACAAAGACAGCATTGACAGACGTATGTGCTGACAGCGAGTGCGTTTCGACAGTATTTGAGACGCATCAGCCATCTTTGTAGCCTTTGTGCGCCTGGCGTGTGTGTTTCCATGTTGTTTGACTGCTCTTGTCGTCCGAGTGCCCAGCAGTTTGAATCCCAAGGCAGTTGTTGGCAGTGGGATTCTGCTTGCAGCTACAGGAGCATGGCAAGCTGTAGCTATATCATCTACCGGTGAATGCTGAAGATCAGGCACTGGAGCACAGATCCACAATCGCCGTACGGAACAACAGTCTGCTTACTGACCGATGGTGTCTTACGCGCATTACGTCACTACTGTGGCCACATCAGTTGACATTGTCGATACTTTGGCAACAATTGCATGGAGATGAGAGCTGACTTCGTCGAGCAATCCATTGTAATCCTACGAGCACACTTCATTTACCTACTGCAAGTACCCAATGCACAGATGCAAGGAGTCTTCCTTTTGGCTAACGGCTTTGCTGTTCGTCCTAGAGAGGGTGCGTCGATACACTTTGTGCAGCTTATACGTTGAGAAACACGTGCATGCAAACATTGTGCTGCTCAGGCAGAGTGTTATAGCTCTCCGCCGTGTTGCTGAGGTTGTTAAATGATTAATTTACGGGGCACTGAATTCTAGCAAAGCTGTCTACTGTCAGGTTCCTATTCTTCGTAGCTTCCTAGCGACTGCGTCGATATGACTCACTACGCACAAACCTGATAGATGCTATCGTACCTCCTCGTCGATCGATACAGCACTTGACGTCCCTTAGCCTATTCGTTTCCTCTATGTTAGCTCTCTCTTCGGCAGGCCACTTTGAACCGGCTTCTGCATCGTGTCGAGATTACCACATCGTACCAAACGTTGACGGACCATGAACGGACGGCATCGAGTTCGAAACGAACATCAGCATCTCTCGAAAGGTCGTGGCCGTGCATTTGTCGCGTCGCTGTGGCACCATCTCGCCAAAGACTCAAAGTGAAGTGTGCTCGAACAAGCCACGTCGTCGCCGTCCAGCTTGCACTCGTCTCTTTGTGTTGCCCATGCTTGTTTGATTGTTTTGTAGCACACGGACGGCACATTAGCCATCCAGGAGTTTCACGAGCTCTGCAGCGGATGGCCTCAACGTCGGGTCGTGCTGAAAACACGCTTCGGCTATCTCACGAACTCGCTGGGGGCACCCTGCCACGAGACTGGGTCTCAAGGATCCGTCGACGACCTTCTTCAAGATGAGAAAAGGCTTGACCTTGTCCCCGTTCGCCCGAAACGCGTTGTGATAAGGAGCTTTGCACGTGTCCAACTCCGAGAGCAACACGCCAAACGAGTAAATGTCGGCCTTTTCCGTGTACTCTGTGCTCTCGAGCACCTCTGGTGCCGTCCAAAAGGGCGTTCCAACGCCGGCTGACATGTCGCTGGGAGCCCAGACACGACTCGTGCCAAAGTCAATCAGCTTCGGTCGCAACCGCTTCGTTAACAACACGTTGCGAGCCTTGATGTCACGATGGATAACTCTTCGACCATGCAAGTACGCGATCGCTCTTGCCACACCGATCGCCATGTCAATCTTATCGCACGCCCACGTCATCAGATCACCGTGCCGCTGTAAGTAGTTCTGCAAGTCTCCTCGAGAAAGATACTCTTCCACCATCGCCAAGTTCTCGAGACTGCTCCAGCTTACGCCAATGAAGCGCACGATGTTGGGGTGGTCCAGGCTAGCCGTAAGCTTGATCTCGCTCGTAAACTCTTCCGTCTCGCGAAACGTGGGTTTCTTCGACTGCAACAACCGCTTGACAGCCACTTGCTTACCAGCGTATCGACATACCCACACCTCGCCAAATGCACCACTCGAGAGTAAGCGATCGAGATTAATCCGCTCCCATGCGATCCGCTTCCCAACGAGGTTAGGATCCGTCGTCAACGTGTACTGCACGTTATCGGCTGCAGAGTAACGGCAAAACGTCTCCCTCATTGCAGGAATGAGTGCCCGGTCAGCCTGAATCGAGTCGCGGATCGATGGCAGCGACTCTCGAATCGGAGGCATCGATGCCGACTCACGAAGCTGCGGTGGATACTCTCGGCCGGTAGGTGCGTAGCAATACGTCGATGATCTGGTCGAACGAACTTTCGACCTCGTGTTCTCGCGTGCTGACGTCCGCATTGCTGCTGCTTCCCCTACTGCTGGCTGCGGGACATGATTCGAAGCCCCACGAGCCGACTGACTGTACTGCGCTCGTGTAAAAGAAGTCGAGGACCGATACGATGCTCCGAATGAAGGGCTCTGATCTGCTGGTATCGTGCCGCTTCGAATAGATCGTACGTCCGTCTGAACAGCAGGAAGCCTTTGTTGCACTGTCGAGGTCGCTCTCGACCCCGAAGCCGTATATCGACGCGAACGCGGTGCCACATCTCCAACCATAGGCACTGCTTCTTCGACTGAATACTCGTCTTCCATCGGTGAGCAAATCGTTTGACTATGTTCCCCGGCTGTCGGCTGCTCTGAGCGACCACGACGCTGCCCAGTGCCGTGTTGATACAGCGTAGTCAGAGGCACCATCGGCTTTGTCTTTCGTCCGCGTTCAGCAACGTCACTTTCTGGAAACGAGTCGTGCTGCCACTGCACGGACCGCAAGTACCGCTTCTTTCGAGACACGACAAAGAGGATCAAACACGCTGCGACGATGGCTGCTAGAATGATCGTAATCAGTAGCCACGGACTAAAGCCAATGTTGTTCTCGCTGGACTTGCTGTTCACGAATGTGTCAGTCGTCACCTGGTACTGCTTGACCCACGTCGTCACCCAGGGAGTCGTAACCGGTGTTGACATCACTGCAACAACGTCCGAAGCCGTGTGTCGCAATGCATAGCACGGCACCACAAGTGATCCGTATCCGCCTTTGTTGCAAGCACCATACGCTGGCTCCGACTCGAGACTCGTGGTATGCACGGCAGACAGCAGATACGAGCTGTTGGTCGACGCGTCGAGCCAGCCATGCATCACAGCTCGAATCTCAGGCACCATGGTAATGTCTCCCCCGTTCGACCACATGGCGAGGTGCGAGCTCGAGTCCGAGTCAAACGTATCCATCAGACACTTGGTCGCCGTCAGCATTTGCGTCCCCGTGCAATACTTGTTGGCGTAATAGATCGAGTCGTCCGGTTGGCTGCAGTTCAGGGCCGTGCAGCCCGTCGTGTCAAACTCGACTTTGGACACGGCCAAGTTGGCCATCGATCGGCCCCCGAGCGTCCAAATCTGCACCGCGTCGTTCACGGGCGAGATCACAAAGCCCGAGTCCCACAGCAGCGCTCGCTGCAGCAGTCCTGGCAACGCACTGAACGAGATATTGAACGGCGCGAGTCGCGTCGTGACGGCAGCAGGGACGACGTTGGGCACGACGGGGTCGATCCGCTCGCCTGCAATGTGCCGCAGGTACAGCTGCCGTGCAATGTCCGACGTCGCGCCGTCAAAGATAAACGAGTCGCGCACTGGCAACTCGGCCCCTGCACGCGCTTCCGACGAAAAGCTCAGCCGCAACTCGCCCGACGGGGCACCAAACGCGAGCGACGACAGACATGTCGTGATCATTGCCCCCATCACGAATAGCCCCAGCGCGGCGAGGCCCGCAATGCCCCGTCGACGTGACATGTCGTCCGGGCAATAGGGGAGCGGTGGACAACTGGGGCCTCAAGTCGAGGCCGCGCACGAGTATGGCAAACTGATCGGCTGCTGCTACTGCTGCTGTTGCTGTGCTTCGAAAGGCAGTGTCGGTCGACGGCACAGTCAGTCTGCACAGAGTCTGTGACCTGAGCGAGGGGATGTCGGAGCCCATCGTCGAGAGCTGTGCGGCGGTTTTTCGCATACCTCTCCATGCTGATGTCTCAAGTCCGCGGGGGTGAAAGGGCCAACTTGTGCTCAACGTGGGTATGTGTGTGTATGTGTGTGTATGTGTATGTATATATCCAGTCAGAGGCAAAGGCAGACACGAGTTTACGGGGAGAGATAAAAGAGCTGCTCGCTGTGCCTTTGACAATGGAGAGGGGGGGGGGAGACGGGCCAACTTCAGGGGCGGAGGTCGCGATTGGCGACGCCACGCGCGACTGCGGTTTCGTTTCATCGTTTAAACAGTCCGTCTCGCGGGTTTTAAGTGGTGAAACGAGACGGGAAGAGGCACGTGTAAGCCGTTTTGGCAGTATCGGCGAAAGAAAAGGCACTGTCGAAACGGACGTTGTGACGAGCGAGCGATTGCGATTACGTGGTCTGTCGTCGATGGACATGACGTTGAGTGAGAGAGCAGTGGAGTCGATGGGTCGTGATTGACATGGAGGCAGTCACGAGCCACGCGGGCTCTATACATCTAGAGACGGACTGCGCAAACAGGCTCTCTTGTTCGATCCGATTGAGCGTGGCAGAAACACCTCTCTAGAGTAATAACGCCGAAAAACGAGCTCGAACGGATCATATATTCTAGCAAAAGGGTGGGGAGGGGTGTCGATCTCGCCAGAGCAGAAAGCCGCTCCTCATCCTTCTCTTTGATCCCCGTCCGCGATTTGCTATGCTCCACCCACCCCTACTTAAGTATGCAGCTTTGTTTATAGGCACGAACAGGTGGCGTGACAGAGAAGATGCGTACAGAGCGGTCTTCTTCGTATCTGAGCGAGTGGACTGTATACACATGACAAGCAGCGTTGTAATCTGATCGGCGAAGACACCATAACCACAGTGCGTATACAAGTTACAGGCACGGCGGCGTCATTAAAAGATACCATGCGCCACAACACACCTGGCAATTGCTTTGTAAACACTAACTGTCATATCTCGAAAGCCGTAAACAGCTCCTTCATGTTACCTGCATCGATCGCGTGTACGCGTTGATCGTGGTATGACCCACCGCAAGATGATCTTCTTGCTCTTGTCTAGCTACAAAAGGCAAAAGACTGCTGTCCCGAGCTAATGATGGAGACCCTCATTGTGATGGTGCAGTCACTTTTCTCATCCAAACGTCCAGTGCATAGGCTTCGTCGGCCTAGACCACTGTGCATTGGAAGTCAAGCCTTTCCGTATCAGCCTATTGGTGCCATTGGAACACTAAATGCAAACACAATCGGCCTAATCAATAATTATATCGAAGTCTGGAACTAGTATTAAATAGGATAGCTCGTAGTTGGTATAAATCAATTGCATCTTGGAATGGCGTGAGCACGAGTATCACTGTGGGTTTTGCTTGGCAAATGACTTATAATGGAAAGGATAATCACAAAAATATATAAATGTACCATTAAAAAGCGATTTGACTTGGCCTTGTCAGTTCTTAACTAGTATTATTAATATGTAAAAACACGGACTGGAATGGCCGGCCACCACAGGCGACTACGATGCAATGAAAGATATGTACACATCCCGAAGCATTGATAATGGACGGATCAGCGAAAATATCCAAAACGATCGCGCAGGATCGGGCAGGTACGAGAATGAGCAGATCTCCGTGCCAGTACCACAAATGTACAAAAGTCCCAAAGCCAGCACTATACTCAACTCAAGTACTAAAAACATAAATAAATAGTGCTAAACATATTATACTTACTGCAACATGGGACAAGAAACGACTTGATTGCCAACGATTATTTCCATTCAATATACAACTGTCGCGCATGGTGCGAACGCTGCATTTTCTACCAACTTTCGTTCACCTATCAATTGTGCCCACGCGCCGATGTGCCCACTCACAGTGCGCACATTGCGTGCGAGTCCGGTCCTTGTCACACGAACTAGTGATCGTGGGGACTCCGTTGGGGAACAGTACCGTTCTTGAGCAGTGGCAGCGATAGGTCAGTACTGATTGTTAGTTACGATTGTGCTGTTTAACGATTGCGTGCTATGTCCGTATGTATGTATTGCAGTGCGAGGAGTACGAATGACAGGCAGATAACAAGCTGATGACTGATTCAAGTGGTGCGCACCCGTAATAGCTCGTGATCAGTGGAAGTAACTGGTCAGTCATACTGTTGATGACTATTTTGCTGCTTAACGATTGCGTACATGTGTGATTCGCGGTGATTTAGCTGCAGGATTTTTTTCATATATATCCAATGATACATTCAATTAGAAGATAGATATTTTATTAACTAGTGGAGACTTGCTTTGTTTTTCCTTTTTAGTTTGATTTAGAATTTTGCAGCGTAATACTCATAGCTTGGCAACACTGAAAATGCACAGCAGCAACTAAAAATGTAGAGTATGCATTTGATTCATATTCAAAGACGTTGTCGAAACTGGATGTAATTGTGTATTCGATCGATGAGATGTTTTAAAGATCGACACAATCCACCTTCAGCTTAGTATAATTGAAATGGATCCTCTTTCATGGCACCTGTATGGAGTGTTGTTAAACACCACGGTACTTGTCGTGACTTGTGGAACTGGAATTAAAGAACCCAACATGTTGTCCAAGTCAATTGGATGTGCAAGAAATAGATATTTTCTCTCGTCGGTCGAATTCGCATGGCGGCGACATGTTTTACTGTTGTGCCCCGCTTACGCGCGCAACCGGCACTTGTACTTAGGTCCAGGTTTTGTATTTCCTGAGCTACGAATACGTCTTTTTTGTCGTCATCCAGCCTGCTTAAAGTACGGGGGTGGGTATATAAACTCTGCAGGTGTTTTGTGCTGACAACGACTTTAATTGTCTTCCCTACAAAGCCTTGTTTGAAGTTTTTAACAAGGTAATACGGATGAAATATGAAGTCACGTCGATAGTGGACTCAATAGTATCCAACACGGCGACGATGTGGCGGCAAGGAATTCCCGTTTGAATAAAGGCTGGACATGAACACTTTTCAGCTTCAGTCTCGATACGCCGATATTTTGCATAGCCTTGCTTTGAGGCGAAACATACACAGGAGAATATCGTGGCACTTCATAAATTGCCCGCAGCCTTTTGTTCTGTCTTCCAAAGCGCTCGCGCATGAGGGGTCACTGTAAGGTGTTGTGCTGTTGATTTGATCTCAACGCATACTAAATTTGTCTATAGTTGCCTTCGTCAAAATTTCCATTGCCTCCAGAGGTGTTGCATCACGAATACTATTGACGAGAATCGTTTTGTTGTCATTCTCAACAAAACTGGTAGTTCAACATCCGAAAAGTGGACATGGTATCATTGGTGGCATGCTATTATCGTAAGCGAGGTTCCTTGTTGACTGTGTGTATTGTCACTGATAATTCCACTCGAAATCGTGCTTGCCCCATGATGACCAGCATCCATCTGCATATTGGCAAATACTGTCTAGTATATAGGATCGATTTTTTTGAGATACGTGGCCGCAACGTCTCCGTAATTGACTGAATAGACGTAAGGGCCTCATGGTAGTCAACCTCTGTCTCTGTGGACTGAAGTTTACACACAGTATTCTCAAATTCGCATCCTGAGCAGCCAAAGTTGCTCTTGACATTACTTACTATGTGTATCATGCAGAAACGAATTTGAACGCTGATACCCGTCCTTATCCACGCTAGTTCCACGGTTCTTCGATTTTCACGATCACACATGACAGCGACATTTATGAAATTGATTCCAGCGTTGATACACTGAATGAAAACCACGCAATATTATCGTTGGTTTCGACGTGAACAAATGCTAATGCAAGATTGACGTTTTTCTCTTTTCATATCGTCCAATTAGTAAAAGTATCACGCCATTATACTTTTCGTGACGAGAATGCGTGCCATCAAAGCAACCACCGAGACATTGAAAGGATGGCTGTCGACGGCAACTCAGAATGCCACCAAAATTGAAAAAATCGATTGTGTTGATCCACGTCAAGTGCCACAGTGCTGTCTAAATTGACGCAATTAAACTTCACCAAGTGTAGGGCAAGGATCTGGAAAGATGATTTCATTCTCCTTCCATGTCATCAACAACCGCATCATAGGCCCTATAAATCTTGTTTCGATACTGCTGTAGATAAGTGCCGTCACGATCCCGTACAATCGCCAAAATTGACTAACGCTTGATGCCCTTGTCTCCTCTAACCGCGGCACCGAAAGTTGGCAGCAGTTGATATTGCCGTGCTGATGGTTTGGCAATAGCCATGCACACATCGGAGTGGCTATCAATAAACGTACAAACGTAAAAACCGGGAGTTCCACCCTTCCATTCTCTCTTCGTCATACGTACCTCCCACGGGTATCTATCTTGTGGACATACATATGTCTTGCTTCTGCCACTACTCTTCCTCACCTTGCACCGTCAACTTTACTTATAATAGTAATTTTTATATACTCAGTTGCAGCGCCGGATCGAAAGGTTAGTCGATTCGTCAGGTCAGTAGAACCGTGAATAGCGCCCGATTCGATCGCCGCAGTTTCTCGGGGCATCTTGATGTTACGTTTACGCTGAAGGGCTCATACAAAACATTAGAAAATAAAACAATTAGATGAAGTGAAACAACCAAATTTAAAGTTTGATAGGCTATTTCGACTAGTGCTGGCTTTCAAACAGTTTACGATCATTCAGTACAGTCATCAGCTTGTTATTCGTCTGTCATTCATACTTCTTGTACTGAAATGTATATAAACGGACATAGCACGCAATTGCTAAACAGCATAATCGTCATCAACAGTATGACTGACCAGTTACTTCCACTGATCAC